TTAATTTTGAAATATATATTTAGATTTTGATTACAATACATTTTACAATATAATAACCCTTCAGTTGGTTGGTTCCCTTTCCTCGAAAGAGGAAATGAGAGGCATATGGTATCCGCAGACCATGATTGACGCAGCCAGCATCAGCATAGAAGAACCCCACTAACTGTGTTCGGTTATTCATTGGAACATCATGGGTCATCTGTGGTCATCTCGCCCGGTGGTCGCACAATCTGCGTAAATGACGAGCAATTACCGCAGCCATTGTATTTCGTATCTCTTAGTTGGTGGTAGTGTAATACTTATACGCCGGTAATCGCGGTAATGGTTTCGTTTCGATCGCCTTCTTTTCAAATATCGATGAGATGATGTAGGATTTCTTAAAACTTTGTTACTCAACACAAAGCCGCCATAAATTAAATCATTATCGTTAAAAAATAATCCTAAGACATTCAAGGTTTAAGTAATTAATATGAAGAAATCCACTTGGAATTCGATGAATTTCGTAGATCTTTGTTTATTATGTAAAATTATTCTGTGGGTCTTTTGTGTATTTTTAGAACAAGGTTATTAAGAAATCGGTTTTTGAAATATTATCGGAACAGTTTATAATTTACCGATATCAATTAATATTTCGATTACAAATAAATCCTGAATGTACTTTTCGTTCTACATAACGCTATATAATTTATCTCTGCATCACCTACGCACATGAATAAAGCGAACCTACGCAAAGTTCCGCTGCAGTGTCTTTTGTCCATATGCATTGTAAATTTGTAACAGCATCGCATAAATCCGATTCATTTTGCTGCTTGCACGGAAGACCACCACCTTAGTGAATCATCCTAACAACCAACCATTACCTTCTTCGTTACCACCTCTGAATCCAAAACGAATATAAACTTTTCTATTGAATCGACGACCAACCACGGCCGGAAATCTTATAAAAAAACAAAGTGAGAGACATCATCTATTATAAGCACAGAAATTATGCTGACATTAAAAAAGGTTGCAAAACTTACTGTGCACACCTGGCGTCGGATATTAACATGTAACCGGAGAGCAAAAAGATTTCAACTGGGCTGTCAGCTCGTATAACAGGGCTAATTGCGCTACACCCGCTGTCCCGTGTAAATTTGCCGTTAAAGGATTCCGGTTTGCTGGAGTGTGCAATAAGATCCTTGCCATATATGGTTTTCAAGCACTTCACTTTTCTCACCAATAGTAGTTTAAGCTAAGTGCACTGTGAGAACGGTTTATGAACTAAATCGAAATTTAATTTAAATTGTTCACTTTATTACCGTATAATCTTAAAAGTTCTAATGCATATGCATAGAGTATTTCATAAGTAATGTGACAACTTGCGGAGGAATTTATATTATTATATTCAACACGTCATAATTTTAAAGAATTAACTAAAAAATCGATTTCCTATAAATATTTTAAACTAATCTAAAAAGAGTCAAAAAAAATCCATTGAATCTAAATGTTTTTATCTCAATAACCAAAAGATATTTTTCAAAACGGACTTTATCATTGAAAAGTTTATGCCTTTCCAAGAAATCGATTTTTCGTAAACTTTTTAAAATAATCAACGCTGAAAATCGTTAGAAATTCTTCTTGAGTGTAAAACTTTATATCTCTAAAACAATAAATCATTTTTCAGCATTAAAAAGTAGAGGCTTCAACTCAGAATTGGTGATAAATTCATAACAATCAATCCAAGAAATCAATTTCTCATTTTTTTTTAAACTAATTCAAGAAGAGTCGTCAAAAATTCTCACTGATTGTGAGTCTAAATTAGTGGTGAAACGGATATCCGGCAACCATTCATTTTTTTAAATCCGGCCGGATACCGGATAGTTACCAAAATCCGGCTATGACTGACCGGATATTAAAAACCTATTACTTAGTACTCCACCATTCACAGGAATTAGTATTTCTTTTAGGTGTTGGACACTGCAGATAATAATCAAGTTCAATCCCAATGCAATTTTCATCGATAACTTTCAAAATTCGCTATAAAATTAATTTCTTGAAGGATCCTTGTGGAAATATCACCAATTATTAATTAAAGTATCCTCTTTTTAATGCAAAAAGCCGTTTTGAAAAATCACTTTTAGTTTTTGAGAATTAAATTTTTGAAATGATCGACAATTTTTTCGAATTTTGCAATTTTCGCCGATTAAGTTTTAAAAATTCGTATAAAATCAATTTCTTGGAATATGAGTATGAAAAAAGTGTTAATAAAAGTCTCCTCTTTCCAATGAACCAACCCGTTTTGAAAAATAACTTTTAGTTTTTGAGAAAACAACATTTGAAGTTTTCAAATATAACTTATAAAGATAACTTTTAAAATTCGCTATAAAATTCGTTTCTTGTGGAAATATAGCCAATTATTAATTAAACTATCTTCTCTTTAGAGTTGCTTCGTGAGTTAAATCAGCATCAAAAAAGTTCGTTTTGTATCTTGGATCCAAATAAGTTAACATATCTAATCAGCTTTCTTATTAGTGCCATTTTAGGGTGTATCACTTCAGAAATTTACCAGAAATTATAACCATAATAATAATCCGGCCGTATAGATATGCCGGATATCCGGCTTTTCGCAAAATCACTATCCGTTCCATCACTAGTCTAAATCTCTGTATCTCAATAACCAAAAGTAAGCTAAGTGTTAATATAGTTGGACTCGCAGCATAGCATGGAGAACTTTAGCTTATACTATTTCATTCGGCTGAAAAGTCTTAGCTCTCCAGGTTGAAGGTTGGGCGATGAGCCGATAATCAGCCCTCATAAAAAAAGTTTCTGTTACGTAACCTAATGTATAAACCACCCGACAAACAAAAAGTGGATTAGTCTTTCGGAACCAAGAAAATGAGATACTTGTTCCGGCCTGGAGCTCTTAAATCACTCATGGAACAGGTTGATAAATTCAACATTAATATAGTGAGGAATAGTAACGGGCATGAGTCACACACAATCTTTAAAAGTGGGAAACTATTGGGAAGCCACCAGTTTGGATTGGTTTTTATCGTCAATATAACTTCGCACTTAAACGGCAGATCACAAATTTCAAACCCATTAAGGAATGAATATGCACACTCCGTATAAGTGCAACATTTTAAACATCTAGCTTATTAATGTCCACGCCATAACAGAAGATAACAATGAAGCAACCTCAATTTTAGAGTCAGCTTGAAGCAACTTATGACTCATTACCGTCAAATGACTGCAAAATCATTAGGTGACTCCAACGCGAAGATCGGGAAAGAGGAGACGCATAGAAATACAACTGGATGGAACAATCTCCACGACATTAGTTACGACAACAGCCAATACCTGGTCGACTTCGTTTGCAGTAAGAATATCGTGGTGAGCTCAACGTGGTTTCCGCATCGGAACATCCACAACAAAATTTGGGCGTCACCATAGGACGTTTAACCAAATAGACCGTGTTCTTGTAGACAAAAGGGCAGACACATGGATATAAGAAGCTACAGAAGTGGTGACAGTGACTATAAATATTAGCCAAATACCCAATCTTCACGAAAAACTAATAGAGCAGCTATGGCTCTTCATCAAAAATGGCAATAAGGCCACTGCAGAAGAACTGATTTGATGATGAGTGTCGAGACGAGAGCCAGAAAGAAAACTCTGAACGGGGTGAAGCGCTTCCCGGATAGTACTTGGAGAAGAATGAAAAGGAAATTAAATACAATATGGAACTGTATAAAATGGACGAAGATTTTAAATCTAATAATCCGATAGCAACTTGTGCCTTCGTAAAACAGTGCCAAGGGAGATTCCAGCCGAGAGCGAGCCTCTAATAATCGGCAACGTACTAAAATTGAAAATATGTCCGATTAACACAACAAATGACGAACTCGACCTGTTAATTGAAGAATCTGGAATGACTTGACGCTAAGTCTTGCGCGTACTTTTTGGCCTGGTTTTAGAGTACGTCATAACAAAACTTCCAGTTCATCAGGACACCAAGAAAGTCTTAGCTAAACTCGATACGGCAGAACAAGAGGCTAGGCATCAACGGCGACAAAACGAAAGTCATGGTGCAATCCTCGGGAAACGTGACAATCGAACAGGATCTAACGGTGGTAATATAAATAGGATGGATAACTTCATATATCTGGGAATCAACCTCACTGGAGACGGCAATGAACTCAGTGAAATCAAGATGGATCTATGGAATTCTAAAACTATGTATCATTAAAACAAATAGTCATTTTTCAAACTTCACTTCAGTATTAAAAAATAAAGGCTGCAGTTCAGACTTATGTTAGTGATAATTGAGAAACTTATTTTAAAGTTGACAAAAATAGAACTTAAGGAAACAGAAAGCGATAAATAAGAAGAAAATATTCTAGAAGATGTGTGGTCTCAAATATGTCGTCGATGCGTTATATACGAACAACTATCAAAAATTGGCCAACAACTCTCATAAATGAAGACCCCACCAAACGTAGGGTTGAATTTGTAATAAGTGATGTTAAACTGAAACAAATTCACTGCATGATTTTCAATCAAAAACACATTTTTGAGCATTTTCTTCTTGAAATAAATCAGTATTTATAGAACTGAAATTGAACGTTTCAACTGCAAAACAGTAAACTGTATGGATTCGAAAGTTCTCTGCGATACTTGTCTGTTGGGTATAGCTTTTAATTCATAGAGAGCATTAGGTCTAACGTTACAGTAGGATTTATAGCATAATTTATTAAAATTTTCGCTTTATAAGAACATTTTTCATATTACATTATCACAAATATGTTTAAAAAGAATAAGTAAAAAATATAATATAGTATATACCTATTATTTATAAACATAGTTAATACAAACAAGTTAATTAAGCATAGTTGAAGTCAGCATATATTGAAGCATTGAGTTAATTAGGTATGTGTAACTAATTACTTAACTTTCTTAATTAAACAGCACTTGTTTTTCCATTAAAATTCTTGTAACGATAATAATTGTTTTTCTAGAAATATTTATATTCAACGATTTCATAAATTAATTAACCTAAAAAACGAAATGTATACATTACATTTCTAAGGCTCACCAACAGCAGCATATTTTTAGCAAAACTTGTGTAGGACCCTGTATATGTATAGACACCGTAATAATACAATTGGTTATTTTTAAGTTTACTGCGCCAATATTTATGTCTAAAGGTCAAGTTTACACCAATAAAAAATGTAATAAATAACGTAACTTTTGTGTAATTCTAAAAATTGTGTGAATGCTTCAAATGTTTTTATATCAAAACATTTGATGTAACGGGAATACGCCCATCCTAATTTCACTGACCTTGAGCGATAACTCAAACCAAAATACTAGCTTAAACCGTTCTGACAGAGCGTCTTAAGCCGCTGATCGCGTAAGATCGATGTGAGAATTGATTTAAAGAAAGATTAAAAAATGTTGAGAAAAGTGTTGTTGCATAAATCTGGTTGTCCTCAATTAAAAAGATGCTTCTCTGTATCGAATAATTTACTCGAAAAACATAAGTAAGTGTTCAAATAGATATATTTTTACTTTATAAGTAGATAAGCAAATAAATTTTATCATTAATTTTCTTATCTCATTTTTATTTTTAGTTGTAAAGTGTTAGTTGTCGGTGGCGGTACCGGAGGTTGTACGGTTGCCGCAAAACTCACAAAATGGATGAAAAAAGATGAGGTGATTGTCCTAGAACCGGCTGATAAACATTATTATCAGCCTCTATTTACTCTATGCGGAGGTGGAATTAAAACTGTTCAAGATTCATATAAATCCATGCAATCAGTTTTACCACCAAAAGCTAAATGGATCAAGAAAGCTGCAGGAAAATTTGACCCAGATTCAAATACAGTAACAACTGTTGATGGTGATATTATTACTTATGACGTATTGGTTGTAGCGACTGGTTTGCAGTTAAGATATGAAAAAGTTCGGTTTTGTACCTATTTAAATTAATGGAAAATTTTATTTATTTATTTGTTGCTAAATTATAGATTCCTGGACTTGTTGATGCTTTGGAAAAGTTTAATAATGTTGGATCTATTTATTTACCACAGTATGCAGAGAAAACTTTTAAAGTTTTGCAAGGTTTTAAGGATGGTGATGCCATTTTTACATATCCCCAATCTCCAGTTAAGTGTCCTGGAGCACCACAAAAAATTTGTTATATTTCGGAAGATGTTTTAAAATCTGTAAGTATAAAAATTATGAGAAGAGTTAAAATATTATTATCAAACAATAAAATCACACTGTATAAAATTATGTCACCACATTTTTTTAATGTATATTTTGGAAATTAGTGTTTTGTTTTAAATGGTAATGTCACGAACTTTTGTGTGTTATAATTTGAATAGTAAATAATCAACAGGTAAAAAGAAACGTTAATATTAATATTTCTAAGAAATATTTTCTGAGAAAGTTTTTGAAAAACATGTCATAAAAAATACAAATAAACCTTTGTACTTTATGCAAAATTGCTTATATATCTTCGAAAAAATAACATTTGTTCAACATAAAAATTTAACTACAACATAAAATTCAAAAAATTGCAGAGGTTGTATTTTTGAAAATTATAAAACGACTTTTATATCAAATTAAAATTTAAGCTTTCCTCTTTAAGAAAGCATATAACTTATTACTGTATCATTGCGTTATTTCAATAATTCTATTTATTCTATTTTTAATGCTATTAGATGGGTAAGCGTGGTGGAGCAAAAATAACATACAACACATCCCTTCCTGTAATATTCGGTGTAAAGAGATACGCAGACGCACTTTGGGAAGTAGTGAAAAAACGCGACATAAAAGTAAATTTGCAGACCAGTTTGGTGGAAGTTAAACCAGACAAAAATGAAGCAGTTTTTGAAAATCTAGAAACAAAGGAAAGATTTACCTCTGGGGTATATACAATAGATAAAATTTTTAGTAAATCCTTTACAAAAACCCTTTTTTATTTTAGTACTCAATGTTACATGCTGTTCCCCCAATGAGTCCTCCAGATGTGGTAACATCTTGTAAACAACTTGTTAACGAAGCAGGATTCGTCGATGTAAATAAAGATAATTTACAACACGTGAAGTATCCAAACGTTTTTGCAATAGGTGATTGTTCGAGTTCGCCAAATTCCAAAACCACAGCAGCTGTTGGTACGAAGTTTTAATGAAATTAATAACAAAATTCAGATAAATAATTAAATTATTTTAGCTGCTCAAGCACCTGTTGTTCACGCACACATAAAAGCATTTTTAACGAACGGTAAATCATCTTTAGCGTATAATGGATACGCTTCATGTCCGTTAGTGACAGGATACAGAAAATGTATTCTCGCAGAATTCGATTACGACTTAACACCACAAGAAACATTCCCAATTGCGCAAAATAGGGAATTATGGAGTATGTATGTGATGAAGAAAGATTTTATGCCTATTTTATACTGGAATTTAATGCTGAAAGGAAATTGGAATGGACCACAAATAGTTCGGAAAATGTTAAGACTTGGATTTTAATTATGTGCAATAATTTTACAACTCTGTATTATGTTACTCCACATTTACTAATATATTTCATGTTATATTTTTTAAAAACGAATTAAAGAATTCGCAATTATGAACAAATTAATACATAACATTTTTTTTCTTTCAAATTCCAAACCTTTTATATATAAATAAATAATTAATCCTTTCATTATTAAGTAGAAGTGGTCGTTACAACAAACTGTATAGAAAATAAGAAATAGTTTACAGCGCACTGAAACTTTATTAAATTTACCTTAAAAAGCTTTTTATTTCATCATGAAATCGCAATTAATTCGTAAGTTACGATTTTTTAAGTATCTGATTTTATTATCTTAGTATAAATCCAATTATATTTATTTTTTAGCTAATCTGAAAATATAATTATATTTCAACTATTATTTTTACTAAAGTCAAGTCATCAATCTGACATCAAATATAACCTTATGACTTAATAATTTAAAATAATTTCCAATATTCATGTTTAGTCTTTTAACCATTAAATACATCCCAGCTTCAAAATGGAAAAGATTTTTTTCTATTTCTCAACCATCCTTAGATAAATACAGGTAAATAATATTTTATTACTATTAAAGACGATTTAATATTTATTAAATATTTAGTTGTAAGGTTTTAATCGTTGGTGGAGGAGCTGGTGGATGTTCATTAGGTGCAAAATTATCTAGAATAATGCATAAATCCCACGTGATTATTTTAGAACCATCTAATAATCATTATTACCAAGGCTGGTTTACACTTTGCGGTGCCGGAATAAAAAAAATAAACCAAACCGTAAGACCCATGAAAAAAGTACTACCAAAAAATGTCGTGTGGATTCAAGATGCCGCAAATGAATTTAATCCCGAGAAAAATACCGTTACGACTCGTAAAGGGGTTGTAATATGTTATGATGTTTTAGTTTTAGCAACAGGAGTTGAAATGAGTTGGGAAAAGGTAAAATAAATCACAATCTTGTTAAATAAAAATTAAAATGTTTGAGAGTATTTTTAGATTCCTGGTTTATTACAAGCCCTTGAATATTATCAGGATGTTGGTAGTATATTTTCACCTAAATATGCCGAAAAAACATATTACGCTTTGAATGGGTTTAAAGAAGGCAATTTGGTGTTTACTTATCCTAAATCGCCAGTTAAATGTGCTGGGGCACCACTAAAAATATGTTATCTTTTGGAGGATCTTCTCAGATTGGTAATTTAAATTGATAATTTAAATTTTTATTACTTACTTACTTTGTCTTTCCCTAAAGACCTTACGGTGTCGGTGTATTGAAACATTTCCTGCATTCTTGCTTGTTATTGGTTAAGTTCCTTATTTGTTAAGTCAATTTTCCTCTCTTTCTGGCTGCTTATTCTATGTTGCCTTCCCAGGTTTTACTAGGCCTTCTCCCTTTTATCCTCATCTCCATGATTCTCTTTGGGCCCTTTTCAGGTATTCGTACCACTGAAGTTTTTTTTCTGAAGTTGTATTATTTGTACTATAAGATCCTGGTCTAGTTCTGCTCTGATACTTCTGTTTCTCACCCTATCACGTTTGTTCTTCGCACCACCATCGTAGGTATTTCATTTCTAACGCAGTTACTTTTGATCGAAGTTTTTCTGTTATCGTCCATGATCCAGCTCCGTATGTTAGGGTTAGCAAATATACAGTGTGTTAATTAATTATCGTACCCGACGTCATCATTGCAAGTACGCAACCAATAATGCGATTTGCGTATTGTAATACGAATACTGTAATATTGGTTGCATACTTGCAATGATGACGTCGGGTACGATAATTAATTAACACAGTGTATATGGGTCTTTCCTTATTAGTGTTTTGTTAATTTTATGGTATATTCTATTGGCATTACTATTCTGTGTCTTATTTCTTTATCAATGCACCCATATTTGCTGATTTGTGTGCCAGATACTCATGTTTCCACCCTTTCCATTCTCCTTCCGTCGATTCTCATTTCTGTAGCATTCTAGGGTTAATTTTGCTTTTTCTGCATTCAAGGCCATTCCTTTCTGTTTAAGGCAGTTCTTCCATATTTCTGTTTCCTTGTAATTGACGTTGACATTGAAGATGTCAACTACATACAATAAATACCTTGTTTTTATTGCGTTTAGGTTTAAGTGTTCAATTTTGTTGTTCAATTTCAAAATAACCCAATTAAACATTTAGCATGAGATTTGCAACACGGACGCTACTGACATCGCATGTGTTTGTGCGTTGATTATCAAAAGAAGAAAAAAGAAAAACACGCGTTTTTGAGTTCATCCTCTTATTAGTCAACGATTTAATGGTCAATTTTATAAACTTTACGAATCACTGATGGAGCCTATGAAATTCTTCAATGACTTTACAATGAATCATATGAGTTTTAATATCTTTCTGGCTTTAATGTCGAAGACCCATCCCATAGTGATGGGGATTCTGCAAACAGTAATGTATCTTGAGTTGATGGACTAGTAAAAGAGGTACATGGTTGAGGTTGGTACACTAACTGCTCTGGGAGTTCTAATGCAAAGTTAGTAAAGTAATAGCTCAACGGTGCAGACTCATTACGTTCATAGCTTCTGTCTTAGCCATAAATTTCTGGTCTTCGTCAAATTTCTTAAACGCCGGAAGTAGCGATAGAAAAAAATATCTACCTTCATCTAATCCCTCCATCCTCTTTTCACGTAGTATGACTCCTAAGACTTAGGAGATTCTCTTTTATCTATATTGGATGTCAAATTAGAATTATTTGCTGTTTATTTTTGTTCTCTGGCTGCATTTGATGCATGTAGCAGTGACCGAATAATCGCCAGAGCGCGCGCTCAAGTTCAAACGTGTACTTACGTTGTATTAAAATTGGGCAAGATTTTAGTTGCCATGATTAAAAGTCCTCTTCCGTTATTGGTTCCTGTTTCTACCCTTCTTGTGTGTCGTCCTGTTCTTTCTTGTTTTTCTTCTATGTTTTTCTCCCTTGTTTTCCCAATGCATGTCTGTTTAATGTTCTCTCCAGGCTTCTAGGATTCCTTGTGATGTTTCCAAACTTTTTGTTTTATTTTTGATATATCTTATTCTTTAGGAGGAGTCCTTTATTAGCTTTTTTGCTTCATTTCGTTTCTCAATATAGTTCCTTCTGATCTATTTTTAATAAAATTCTTTTAATTTTTAGAAAGGAAAAAGACAAAATGCGTATTTTACTTATCATACACCATATCCATATTTATATACGGTAAAATATTACGAAAAAACATTAATTGATATTGCCGAAAGAAGAAAAATTGATGTTGTCTTACAATCAAATTTAGTTGAAGTTGTACCAGATAAATGTTTGGCGGTTTTTGAAAATATTGCAACTCAAGATAAATGTGCTATACAGGTAAAGATAAAAGAAAAGCTGAAAATATATAATTAATAATTTTTTAAGTATTCAATTTTACACGCAACTCCCCCAATGTATCCCCCATGTTCAGTAAGAAGTTGTAAATCGCTTGTAAATAAAATTGGGTATGTTAAAGTGAACAAATACTCAATGCAACATCTTGAATATCCTAATATTTTTGGAGTTGGTGATTGCACTGCAATACCAAACGCTAAAACTGCTGCTGCGTGTGCTTCGCAAGTACCAGTAATATTTAAAAATATCCAATGTTTTCTTGCCGGGGAGAAAATGTGTGCTTTTTATGATGGTTACGCATCGTGTCCTATAGTAACAGCAATAGGAAAATGTGTTTTAGCCGAGTTTGATTACAGTTATCAACCCAAAGAAACGTTTCCGTTCTCGCAAAATCGCGAATTGTGGATGACATATATTATGAAAAAAGAAGTTATGCCTCGATTGTATTGGAATTTGATGATGAAGGGTTACTGGAATGGGCCGCATCTTATACGAAAATGTTTACATTTGGGGTTAGAAAAAAAAGGGAAAATGCAAAAAGATGAACGGAGTGAATAATTAATTTTTGTATGTTTTTTATTTTTTAATAAATAATTTATTTAAAATATTTTTAAAAAATGTATCAAATTCAATTATTTAATTATATGACACTACTTTTTACACTTCCTTCATAATGACTTTGTCATTAAAATTTTTTAATCATTTTTAATTAAATAAAAAATGTTAGGTTGAACATTTTTTGTTCTACAAAAAATTTATCATGGTTTCGCAACAAAATTTCAAGTCAATTTCATTTAAATAATTTAAAAAATCAATGTTTAATACAAATTCTGGCATAAGATTTTTCTCATTATACTACGGCTTATTAGGTAATTACAGGTAAGTTAATTACAACTATCTAAGTTTATTTATTCTTACTTTGTTCTCGTTAATAGTTGCAAAGTGTTGATGGTAGGAGGTGGGACTGGAGGATGTTGTTTGGCTTCTAAATTAACCCGAATTATAAAAAAACCTCAATTGATCCTCTTAGAACCATCGCCCGACCATTTTTACCAAGGATGGTTCACATTATGTGGCGCAGGCATAAAACGAATGAAAGATACATCAAAACCGACTGCCGAAGTTTTACCAAAAAACGTAATATGGATACAAGATGAAGTCACTGAATTCCTTCCGGATAAAAACGCCGTTGTAACATGTAAAGGAGATGAAATAGAATATGATATTTTAGTTATAGCGGTGGGATTGAAGTTGTGTTTTGATAAGGTTATTTCATTCTCAAATTGAGTTACTGTAAATGTAACGTTTAATTTTTTTGTGTTTAGATAAAAGGTCTCACTGATGCTTTAGAACATTATTATAACGTTGGTTCAATTTATTCGAAACATTACGCAGAGAAAACTTATCACGCTTTAGAAAAATTTAGAGGAGGAAATTTAATATTTACGTTTCCTCATGGATTGATAAAATGTGCTGGAGCTCCCCTTAAAATATGTTTACTTATGGAGGATATTTTAAGAATAGTAAGTGATAAATCAGTTCAAGTTTTAACATGGAAGCTTTTACTCCGCGTATTCTAATACTGCTCAATTTTTTCTAAGCTGCTTGAGAAATTCTCGTCTTTTGTAACCTTTTTTAGATTTCCAGTGTTTATTTAGATCCATAGAGCATAAGCGTTCACTGCGCTATTGTTTCATGTTACAAAAAAATGAAACTCTTCTAATGCAACCGGCGGATGCATTGTTACAAAAACTAGCTGCAAATGACGCAACACTACTAACCTCACCAACAAAACAGCAGCCCAGTATAAACACAACGCTTCTCCAACAATCTCAGCATGAATCCATCTATCACAAAAAAGTATTAAGAAGTCTATGACGGCATGAAAAAAATCAAAGCTCAGTAACTATTGCTACAAAAACCAATAGAAACGAGTAACAAACAAATTATACACATTCTGATGCAAAAGATTACAAAGTAATTATATCATGGTAACCACCGGCTTCAAATCGATTAAGATCCAAGTGTTCGAGGTGAAACACTTCAAGACTGTCAAGTTGCTACACCTTCAACCAAAAAATGGGAAGACATTTAGATTTGTAGTAAGAGGGCTCCATCTCTCAAAGCCTCTGGAAAATGGAGTCACCAAATACAAACAATATCCCCAACGATACCGGGATCAACGTCGAATACAAAATGGTAATCGTCTTCGACAAATCCTCTGTTATGGAGATGATGTCATACAAATTTACAAGAACAGCTGAAAAATTTAATATGGAACAAAGATCAGGAACCAGGCAAGAAAGCCGGTCGACCTTATCACAAGAAAAAATGAGACAAAACGAATAGGACTAAGTCCTATACCAAGAAGGAGAAGAAAAAGAAGGACTCTATCAAGGAAGGAAAACTGATGAAATAAAATCAGCTCTTCCAGATCTTGGAGACGAAACAGCAAACATAAATAATATAAAGCACGGAATCCTTTATCTATGTTCTACGCTGATCTAAAGTCTAAAGAAAACAATAAACAAGTATACAACATTGAAAGACTTGAAAACAACATCGTCAAATACGAACCAGCTCATAGTAAAAGAATTATACCTCAATGTGAATAAAAAAATTCAAACTAGCATAAAATGTACAAGAAAACATGAATCAAAAAATTGTACACGCGACTCAAGAAATAAACAACCTAAATGTGTTAACTGCGAAGGAAAATAGCTCACAAACTATAGAATATGCAAAGTTTATAAAATATTGCAACAAAAATTATGGTCCGCACTTCGTGAAAACATCAACAGTATGCATCGAATCCAAACCATACCAATATGACAAATTCAACCACGAGTATCATATGCCCGTACTCGATAATCAAACGATACCAGCCTTACATATCAACAAAGTATTTAAAATTGAAAAATTGCTGTCGTTAGTAAACTAGCTTATATGGCCAATAACTAGCCTAATGCCACAACCCAAATATAAGATAGCTATCTAGCAAAGATTGCCATTGGCCTGAAAACATTTTTTAATGAATAGAATGTTAACTTAAGAATTCCAAAATATAACCTATATCATACAAAACATCCCAGTAACAAAGCACTGGGATGATCATTCGAGACAATATTAAACAACATGATGGAGAGAAATTCACCAATAACAAAATCAGCCATATAATGTTCACCGAAACATAATAACAAAAAGGAATACTATGTAGTATTAATCAACACATAGGGCAAGAAGTTTTTGCAGTAGCCAATTATAACACTAATAATACCTAATATGGGGTTCAAGATTAGTAACACAAAAAAAAAGTATTGATCTTTATTATTAAAGGAATCAACACAAAGAAATATAAAGCAGAAAGTTGCTTTAATTTATCTTCAGACTATTCCTTGGTAATAATCAACGTTCATCTTACATAACAAAAAAAAATCTTGGGATGCATTCAGCGCAAAATTAGATAACCTAATCTGGCTAGATCAACCTTTAAAATTAGAACTGCACCTAGAAACAACGGTGGTTAAGCTGGCGAAGCATATACAAGAGGTAGCATGGACTATGAAACACCACTATGAAAAGATATAATTTCTTCATCAGTCAAACAAAAACTTAATACAAGAAGAACAAAACCAAAGCATTCCAAAATACCTAGGAAAGCCGCCAGAAGACTAAAAAAAATCACAACACATTCCCCCTACTAAATATGAAAATAACTTCTGAAAACATCTAGAGAACGTAAACCTTTTGAGCTCCTTAGACGTGACATTTTCTATCGAACTGTCTCACTGCACGTTCACAACTACAACATAAAACAGATCATAATGAAACAAAATAAATATACATAAGGCTGCTAGAATGAACGTTATTACAGGAAAAGTTCCTCAGGAACTATCTATCAGGTGCTAGGAATTCCCTAGCATCTGGAAAGTGGCTCCAATTATTATGGTTCATAAACTAGGAGAACATTGCTACCTATGCTCTGCAAGGTCTTCAAAAAGTTGTATGTCAAGAGACTCAACACGATAATAAAAAAATAGGGAAATAATCCTGAATCATCAATTAGACTTTGGCAAGAAACACGGAATAATAGAGCAAGTTATTTAAAATTAATGAGAATTGCAAAAGATATTGTTCTGCAGCTTTCCTCGATGTATCTCAAGCCTCTAATAATCTCCTTCCTCATCTACACTATCAGCTGTTGAAATTATATCTGACAGACAATCACTTTTTTGTGATGTCAAGGGAGTGAATATATCAATTTTTATCTTCCTCTATTAGTGTGAGGTATCAGAGTGCTCTAAACTAGCGATCTAAGCCTAGTAATGTAGCTAATGTATAAGTCAAATCTGTTAACAACGAAAAGTACCATTATGTCAACATATGCCGATGTATTGGCATCTTACACCGACTGGAACATAATTAAAACTTATTTCAATCATAGATTAAAACGAGGCGAATCAGAAAAAAAGAAGAAACCTCAATGTTATCGTGTAACAAATAAATGTGCGTGTCAAAGAAGAGCAAAGAGTGAAATGTAGTTGTAAGGGAAAGATAAATCCGAACACAAATTTATATAAATTCTATAATACTTAATTTGAAAAGATCACTTACTTGAGTAAGACTCTACATGACTTATGACAAACACACTCTTCTCCTGTGTAATAACCAATTATCGAAGAAGTTTCAATTTATTTTTTCGATTTGTACCCGAAATTGTGTCCAATTTTCTAGAAAGGTAATCTTCATTAACCCTTTACGTTCAAGCTGGTCTTCTATTTTTGCATTAAGCCATTGTACCACATCGATCAAATCCAGGATTCCAAACCCAAGAGTTTCCCCATGTTCAATCAATGTGCATTAAATATCGTGACACTTATTATTTCGGCATCAAGCTATTCTAACGGTTAAAACCCTAAGAATTCTTTTTTTAACTTTTCGTCAACCAAAATAGAAAAATGACATTTCTTTATCTCAGCAACCGTTTTTTCCTTAGAACATAGAACCAAAAAAGTAAACGAAACGTTTAAATAAAATTTTAAGTTACCGAATTCTCGTAAAGTATAAAACTTCACAAATTATTCGTTTTGCAGCCCTAATTTTATTAGCAGATCTCAACGATTAAGAGTCTAAAGAAAATAGAATAAGTTTAAAAATTAGCAACACATTTATCTATTACTTTAAATTATTAATAAAAATCACAATGATTGTTTATTACTTTTAGAAAGGTTTACGGAATAAAGCAAATATTTTTTATAATACACCATTTCCTAAAATATTCGCCGTAAAACACTACGAAGGAACTCTAGTAAACATTTGTAAAAAAAGAGAGATCAACGTAAATGTGTTAACAAAATTAATTGAAGTGAGGCCAGAAAGAAATGAAGCAGTTTTTACACACGTCAGAACCAACGCTCCATTCATTCAAAGGGTAATATTTGAAAAAAAAATTAAATTTGTTTTAATAAATTAACATATTATTTTAGTATTCAATTTTACATGTTACGCCGCCAATGCAACCACCAGATGCAATAACAACATGTAAATCGTTGGTAAATAAGTTTGGTTATGTCGAAGTGGATAAATACACAATGCAACATGTTCGGTATCCTAATATTTTTGCTTTTGGAGATTGTTCAAACACACCTAATGCGAAAACAGCAGCAGCATGCGGTAATAAAATTTCTGGTTATTTTTAATATATTAAATTAATGTTTTATTTGTAGCTGCTCAAGCACCTATCGTGTACAAAAACATTCAATCCGTTTTGAGCGGACAAAAATGTAAAGCACGATACAATGGTTATGCTTCCTGTCCAATAGTTACTGGTGTAGGAAAATGTGTCTTAGCAGAATTCGATTACAGTTTTTGTCCTTTAGAAACTTTCCCGTTCTCACAAAATTGCGAGTCAAAAATTATGTACTTTATGAAAAAGGAAGTGATACCATTTTTGTATTGGAATGTCATGTTGAAAGGATTTTGGAATGGACCTCATTTTATACGTAAACTTCTTCATTTAGGATTTAGTGATTAAAAAAAATATTGTGTCAAAAATAAAAAAGTATAATAATCACTTATTTGTTTCTCTAACGGCCATAAGACCGGTTGTACAATATACCGATAAACTTCCCGACAGCGTAATCCTGCCGATAAGTTAGTTTGTGTTGTATAAAGCAGTGTGTCCACTACCAAGTTTTCTTGCGGAAGTTGCTTCCAGAAGTGACTTCCAGAAGTTTTTGTCGTGTAAACACGTATGTTTTTGTCGTGTTTATACGACAAAAACTTCTGGAAGCAACTTCCGCAAGAAAACTTGGTAGTGGACACACGGCTTTACAATGTACGGATATTTCTATCGGTGAAATTATCGGCAGGACAACTTAGCGAGTACTCGGTGGTGCCGATAAGACAGTTATCCGCCAGATATTTATGGTTACCTTAGGTTTTGATATAAAAACTTTGTATGGTTACTGCATAGGTTAACCTATAACACTAGATATGGAGAAAAACTACTACCAACTGACTCTTATTTCGCCGATAGCAATCCTCCCGACAAAAACAGTTTGTACAACAGCGAATATCTTTATCCTCCCGTTAATTTATCGGCCAGATAGTTATCAGGATAGTTATCCATATAAATATACAGGAAATAGTTAAAACAACAAAGTACATCATTTAACTTACCTGTTTTATTAATAAATAAAAATGTACGTGATTAAGGATTAAATGTTAAAAATAAAAATTTAAAAATTTATTAAAAAATTATTTCATACCTTAAAATTATGGAACGACGATCTTTTTTCTTAAATCTAAAATCACATCGATTTATTATTAATTTCCAACCAAAATCAAAATATTCGTTATGGTTTCCTCTAAAGCCTGCATAGAGTATTCTTTTGCCAAATGTAAAAATGTCTTCAATAATTCAATCAATTCTTCGCGTGGTATGATTCCTCTAAATTCCCCAGCACATTGACAATGTTTTATCAAATTTTCCAATTTAATCTGGGTGCACTTTTTGCATTGCAAATCTTGTAGATTATAAGCGAGTAATTTTCTGGTTACAATATCAAGCAGTAAATTTTCTATTTCCATGTTATCATAAGCTGTGTTACATAAAGGGCACAACCAAGACGATTCCGTTCTGTGGGGATCTCTACCCAAGTCGACATCGCGACAATGATTACAAGCTTTACATATAAGTTGTGGAATTACGTAAGAAACAGTTGGGTCGGACCAAGTTGCTTTCTCGGAAAATTCACCAACACCTAATATTAATAAATAATGATTAATTATTATTAAGTTATATTTAGAAAACATTATCCGTAATATACCAATTAATCGTAGTAAATTACTTCGAAGAACTTGAACGGTTTCTTGCACAGCTGGATCTAATGATAATACGTGACATATGGATTTTATTAATTCTAGAGCTGGGTTTTGCCCATTTTTAGTTTGAACTTGTACTCGATCTCTTACTTTTTCTGTGATTCTAAACATTAAAACAAAAACAAAATTTATAATAATACAAATTTCAAAACAAATTTTATGTTAGAAGATATAGCTGAAATGGTTGATTTGAAAAGAGTACATTTTCTGATCCCTTCTGATTCAACACAGAAGCTGAACAAAAAGCCGGGTGCCTGTGGTTTGGAAGTCAAATGCTTTCCGTAAAGTTTTCCCTTTTTGGAAACTAGTGAAGTGATGACCAATACTTCATACCTAAAGTCGAATTAAAAAACAAGAAGGTCCCAGGCCTAGACAATGTGCAAACAAACTTATAAAGTAGTACGAATGGCAACATATGGCGTATTAGCTTTTGCATATACGACATCGCAAAGAATGGCAGGCCAGCATCATAATACTACTTTTCAAAAAAGGTAATAAACAAGACCCGAAGAAGTATCGTAATATAGTAGTACTCAACTCAGTGCTGTTTTCAAACTGCTAAAGAACATTATAACTACCGACCTGAGTGATTTAATTCACAGAACAACAGTGCTTCAAAAGCAACACATCCATTATTAACGCAATCTTTATTTTACGCCACATAATTGAAAAGGCCATAGAATTTGATAAACCAGCCTTTCTCCGTTTTGTCAACCACACACAAGTGTCTGACAAAAATCAGTAGATCCCAAAATAATAAAATTAATATCAGACATGTATAGTAACAAATATACCAAATTTAATTTAGATGATAAACTAACAGAGGAAATTTAGGTTGTATCAGGAATCAGCTAAGGAAACACCCTAAGCTCTTCATTGTTTAATCACATTATGGACAAATTCACTGAAAATGTTAAACAAACAACAGGAGGATATACCTCACGGGCTGAAAAGATAAAATATTGTGCTACGCATGCGTCATCTACGTACTCGCCGCCGGCAGAAAAGATGATCAGTAGCGCCTATTTCACAATTTCTACCAGACAGCCAATCACTATAACAGGGAAATATCAATACAAAAAACAAAATCAATGACTATCATCAAAGTCCTATACGTTTTAAGCCCACAGTAAAGACCAGACTAGTAACTATCTCACCAGACTAATAGAAATATCATGAACGAAGTGCGCACACAATCGAATAAACCGCAATATTCGAATAGCTGGATGCTTACAGGACATAACATGGCAAATAAAGCTATAATCACTGACAGTAAAACACGTATTTATAAAACAGCAGTAAATTCTATCATGACATATGCGGTTGAGACAAGGATAGACACAATCACGACGAAGCAAATTTTGAGAACGGCTAAGATGCCAAAGGTAATGTTGGTAGTGAGGGTCACTATTCACGACAGAATAAAGAGTGGCAAAATACGGCAGACATGCGAGATACAAGATTGAGATAGCATGAGCGAAAGATTAGCAAAGATCGCTAAAGTGAGCAACGCATAGTGCTCACTATGCGATATATAGTACTGCTAAAAGCACTATCACAAATATCAAGAAGATTTGTTTTCATCGCTGCTTGCCATTATCAACAAAACTTTTACAACACTTTGCTATTTTCTTAAACGAAAGATCACTGAGGTGTCTCAAGAAGAACTAAATATGACAATATATTCTTTTATACTGACTGTTTGGCAGAACAAGGTTGTAATTTGTAATACATAAAGAAGTGGAGTTATTAAAAAACACTTTTTCCCAGAAAGTGATTGTTTTTTAACAATGAGAACCTCTTTTGCCAAAAAAGCTTTAACAGGTAAACAAGCGAGTTCATAAAACTTTTTCCAAGAATGTTATTGTTTGTTGTATTTAAAAAATAATAATATTGATTTCAGTGAATTTAATGTTTAAAAAATGCCAAAAAATCTGATTTTGTTGAGTTGTTTTAGGCCGTATCAAAATAACGGAGGATTCGATTAATATCATCAATACCTCAAAATGTTCATCTGGATCTTTACTTTCATGTCCATATAGCTACAGACATGAGGATATTTTATGATATAATAAAATGTTCAATCATCAAGGCATTGAATAATAAAAATGTCTTCAAGTGATCTATCAAGTGTGTTGTTTATGCTCAGATAACAGCTTTTGGCATTAAAAAATATTGATAATGAAAAATTTACTTCAATCTTTACTTCTATGCTCTATGTTATGTTGTGTTAATTTATTCTTTAAAGAAAAAATTATCGTTTTTCATGAAATAAAGTGAAAAACAAACAAATTCATATCATTTAAAGTTATCTTGTTGAACGCGTATCTGGCTACCTCCCACTCCCAACTGTGCCCCAATTGCTATATTCATAGATTTACTGCTTACACTATTAGCAATGTTGATATTAGATACTAAAGTGTTAATGATGATGCTTCTATTAAGAACAAATTAGTGAAAGTGCAAAACTGTTGGCAAATTAATATGGAGTAGGTGGTACATCAACAATTTCTGATATAAAAAATAGTAAAGAGAAACTGAAAAGGTATGTTTATGAAACATTTTGTTCATTTTGTCCGACCAAGTTAATAATTTTAACTTAACTATTGCCAATTTTGTCAATATGATGGTTTGTTTTCTATTCTAATGATTATAAAATATTAAAAATTTTATTACCTGAATAAATTTTGACTAATTTCTCCAGAAATAATCTCCTTGGCAAATTCTACAACACTGTCATAAGCCGCCAACCCTAAACTGGGTTGACTCAACGCAATAGAATGACGATTAATTTCAATTTGACTGAGTTTCATGTGAATTGCATTGATATAACCAGCTATAACAGTATTAAAACTGTTTCGACATCCACCGACCTCTGGAAGTTGTTCTGCTATATTCCAATTCATAACAACAACAGGCTAAGAAACAAAACATGAAAAATAATTATTTATCACAATATATAACCTACCCCAGTGTTTTGTTCTTCGTTTTCTTCTTCTTCATTATTAACTTCGATGTGTTCTTCATCTGGAAGCTTACCTTGAATCCCTGCGTAATTCGCAGGATCTAACCAGATGAGTTGTTCCCAACATTGTCTTTAAAAATCAATTAAATTTTCATTTTAAATCTTTTAAATAAATATTAAATGATCGAACCTGTAAGAAATTTCCAACGAATGAAACAGTTCCTTATTTCTTATTGAATTCACAACAAATTCGATGTTAGCAACAGCATCACCAACAGTTCTCTTTCGTGTGGATACGATGATTTTATTAAAATTTGCATAAATAATCGTCGATCCCAATCGTTTAAATTCAGCCACCAACTGCATGAATAATTTTTTCATTAAATTTTGGAGATTTCTAAGAAGTGCTGGATCGTATAAAAGCGATTTTGGTGACCTTAACCACCTAAGAGATAAAAATAGATTAAAAAATGGATTAATACCAACAAAATTTACTCACCTATAGAAATGTATAACTTGAAAATCAGCAAAAACATTTCTATGCATAGAAATGTCTCTCATCCAAGTACTAGCCATTGTTCGTAAAATTTTAAAAGCTTCAGCACATCGTGCGGTTTCATCATAAACCGTAACACTGGTCCCAGAAATCATATCATCAATAGAGGTTGTTGTGGCAGCATCAAAAGCGGTCGCAGTACTGGTTCCTTCAATATCAGTAACATGATGTGCTTGCAAAAGCGTACAGATAGCCAAACTGTCGATATCTAATTCAACGCTCGACATTGAATACCAACCGGGATTATTACAAACTTCACTTGATCCTTCTTGATTTTCAGCTAATAATCGAGCATCACATTCTTGACTACCACCTAAATCGGGGCGATCACTTGGTGAACACCATAAAAGATGATTATGTTTCATTAGATGTCTTCCAAAGAAAAGATCTGCGCCGAAAATTGCTGTATCCGCGGACATATTACCCAGAGGAAGATGAAAATAACGACATTGTTCGGTCATCAACTCAAGAACTCTTTCGCTATTTAAATAATGTTTAATGAACGTTTTTGCGCCGACCGTTTGCCAATTTAATTTATTATATAAATCATCGATATCTTTTACGTGAATTTGAGCAACAGGAAAATCGGTACAACCTGGAATGTGGTTTATTAAATTATGAACATCATCGCACGATTGAACGGCTAATAAAGTCGGTCCCATTTTCGCTTCTTTATAAGCTAATAAAGCTTTTTGAATCTGTTTGTAAACTTGATTAATATCAACCTCAATTTTAATTTCAAAATTAATATTTGTTGGTGGTAATAAATCTTCTTCGACGTTTCTCTCAAGTTTTGACGATCTTTCCGTTTGATATAAACTGCTCAAATTTGGTAATAAATTCGTTTTGACGGTATCAACTACGAAAATGAAGGCTTTTTTTAACGGTGATAAAAATAATGCTAAAATTTGTTTTGGTCCAGAACTAGCGCGATGTTGATAGAAATAAATGTGTTTTAATGAGTTTTTTGGTAGATATGGTTGTTTCGCTATGCTTATTAATTCGAGCTCGTTTAAATTGAATGATTCTAAGTTTTGTTTTCCTGGGAGAACTTTACAAACGCAACCTAGTTGTAGAAGTACTCGGTATAATGGCGGTACTTGAGTTTCATAAACTCCTTCAACATCAGCGTTTGTCAAGTCAACATACATTTTCCTACAAATAAATATAATGAATTAGGCTTCACACAAGAATAACAAATTTGTATAAACCGACAAGTTAAGAGTAATAAAATTATATACATTATATAATATACACGTGAGTCAAATAACTTTGGCTAAAAAATAATATTTTAAATGTATACACTATGTACTTACATAAAGTAAGGAATAAATTCGATTAAAATTCGGGGATTACTCTTCCAGAAAAATGTTGGACATCTGTTATTTTTTTAAGCGCATTTTTTGAGAAATATTTAAAATGTACGGGGTGTATCAAAATTGAGATACAACCTGGATGTTCAAAAAAATACAACTATTTTATTTCAGATAAAATATAACATGATTTTATCTTAACATTGTAATTAATAACGCACAATGATTATCTACTTAATTAAGTGCTGAAACTGAACCTTTTCTTTTGCCCAATACTGACAGTTTTGTTAATTTACTAAAGCTAATACAGTATTACTGAACTGATATGGAAGCTTGTGATAAAGTTAAATGGTTTAAACAACACTATTGGCAGAACTTCAAAAAGTAAGCTACACACATGCTAGTATTAAGTCTCTGCACATTACCATTGTTTATAGGTATACATAGTTATTCAAAGAATTTAGTTCGTGGTCGTGATGCCTAGATGGCAGGGTGACTTATGTGTCGCCATTCATAAAAATTTAAATTTTACTATACGCGCCCTAACGTATTACTACGAAAAACGTAAAATAAGTTGCATATATTTTAGTATTTTTAGTATTTTAGGATGTAATGTGTCCTTCAAGAATAATACCGAATTGTTGAGACTATTCGTCGGTAGGTACCGATTTGTAGACGCCAAATTTTTTAAGTAGGTGTATGAACTTGTTTTATAAGAAGACTCCAACTGCGTTGAATCTTTTTAAAAAGTTTGTTTAAAAGACTATATTTAATATACTGAGTAAGGCATAGCAATTGAGACTACCTAATAATAACTCATAAAACATCGATTTTATCAAAAAAGTTTCATAAAACTTTCATCGTATAAAGGGGGAAGGTATTTTGAACGATATTCATTGCATTTTAGAAGCGCCATCAATATTTTTCATTTATTAAGTATGCTTTTCTAAAACGGCCCTTACACGATCAATAATATTGACAATACCTTAGCATATTGACAATAACATTGACAGTGTAAGATAAAAAATTTTAGTGACGGTAAATATTGATAGAGTATTGATAAAAATCCGGATTTTCTGATTTTCGGGCATCAACACTGAAAATTGGAGGGGATATTGATAATACTATTGACCGTGTAGGGTTGGCGCAAATATTTCCATCAATACTCAGTGTAATAAATTCAACATTCAAAATTACATACCTACTTTTATTTAATTATAACAATAACAAAACATGTCTAGCAACACACTGAAAAACATATGTTATTTTAATCCTTTAAAGGGCAAATTTTTTTTTTCTTTTTAGAAACGATTTAGCTGTGGTAATGCAGGTATTTGACCTTATTGATAAGTGATCTCTATAGAATCCACTAAGCGTTAAAGGGTTAACCCAGATGATTTGAAAACAGGTTTAATTCTTATTTTCTACATTACACTCAGTTCAGTTCAAGCCGAGCGCCTGTGACCAAGTAGTGAAAATGACCGTCCCATTAACTGACATTGTTGACGTTCAAGACGATGAAGATACTGTTGGTTCATCCAGTTCATTCAGTTGGTCTTGTAGGACATATATAAAGGTTTCACAGGTTTTTATTACAGCTTTGCTGTTAGTTGCATTATAACAGAAAACTTCAAGTCTTCAAAATTTCTTTCTGTGGCCAAGTACCTCAGGGTTAAGGCTAATCTTTCCCTAATGCTTGTACTTTCTCTCATATTGCTATCCTGTCTTTTCAAAAATGATTCAACCATCTGTAACAGTTTGTTAAAGGAACTTTCATCCATTCAAAAGTAGTTCTTGAAATCATCAACATCGCAGAGGTTGATTTCTATCAACAGTACTAGATAAGAATATTCATCTCTCTTCTTCAACCATTCTTTCATCCAGTGTTTGCGTTTCACTCGAAGAGTAGTTCCAAGCGCCAAAATAATAGCTACGCAAGCTTTTGTACGATTATCCTTATTTGGAAAGGAAAAACCGGAAAATAACCGAGCAAAACTACGTAGATTCGCCCTGTTCGTGGTAAAAAGGTAACTTATTGAGCAAACTTATTGACAAAATTATTGACAATAATATTGATCGGGTAAGGTAGTGAAGTATTGAGACTGGTTACCACGAGGATTGATGGTTGTATCAATAATACTAATACTAATCAATAATACTGACATTGTCAATACTATTTGATCGTGTAAGGGCCGCTAAAGGGTACATGTTTTTTGATAAGCATGTTTTTCGAAGAAAGGGCCACTTGAAAAGTTACCTATAATCCCACACAATATATTAACTGCCCAACGTCGTTAGTAATTCATTTCACGTAACCAATAAGAATTTTCTAGTAACCAATAAAGCATACTTGCATCCAATGACAAAATGAAATTGGCTTTTGGATATCATTCCTGAAGCTCTTGATGCAAACAGCGTACTGGTGAAATTTATGGCAATGTAAAAATCTAAGTACACTGTGTTGGGATACAGCAGAGTCATAAAAATTACGCGAGAAGAAATATGTGTATTATTACGAACAACAGCTTAAACATTGAATTTCTTGTAGCGCCTTCTTCTCTATTGCAGATCATACACAAAATAGGATGTGTCTGTCTAGAAATCTTTGTTCGAATAAATTTTGGGCAAGATTAATATCTCTGACTGCTCCATAAACAAAAGTCATTTTAGTTTTTTCAGCAATCGTGTTCCTTTCCATGCATAATTAAAATAAGCAATAAAGTTACTATTTTACAACATAAGTAATTTGTAATTTGCAATTATAAGTAGTTAGCAGGATTTGTTATGTTTTTTGTTATTATGTATTCATGATTTTCATTATGTTTAGACAACACAATAAAGTCACCTTAAAAAAGTTCATTAATATACAGGCTGTTTCGAAATTAATGCGAAAGATTTGAAGGAGTGATTTTTCAGCAAAAATCGAGTTACCGAGTTACAATACTCTAAAGTTAGGGGAAAAAATTGTTTTTATTTGATAAATCCACTATGGAGGAATTTAGAAGTTTGAAATTTGGCAGGTAACTGTTGTTAATAAAATGACATTTTTTGACGATTTTTATAACCCGAAAATGTTAATACAAGAGGCTGAAAAAATCAACCCCATAATACTTTGCATTAGAACTTTTTAATACGTCTACATTTTTCTATTTAAAAACTTGATTTAAATAGTGGGATTCACTATTTTTTGTCTCTTGACATTTTCTCCTAAAATTAGCTTTGTTCGTTGGGACTGCACTACTCTGCACGACATGGCACTCGTATGACGTCATAGTGCAATNTGCATAATTAAAATAAGCAATAAAGTTACTATTTTACAACATAAGTAATTTGTAATTTGCAATTATAAGTAGTTAGCAGGATTTGTTATGTTTTTTGTTATTATGTATTCATGATTTTCATTATGTTTAGACAACACAATAAAGTCACCTTAAAAAAGTTCATTAATATACAGGCTGTTTCGAAATTAATGCGAAAGATTTGAAGGAGTGATTTTTCAGCAAAAATCGAGTTACCGAGTTACAATACTCTAAAGTTAGGGGAAAAAATTGTTTTTATTTGATAAATCCACTATGGAGGAATTTAGAAGTTTGAAATTTGGCAGGTAACTGTTGTTAATAAAATGACATTTTTTGACGATTTTTATAACCCGAAAATGTTAATACAAGAGGCTGAAAAAATCAACCCCATAATACTTTGCATTAGAACTTTTTAATACGTCTACATTTTTCTATTTAAAAACTTGATTTAAATAGTGGGATTCACTATTTTTTGTCTCTTGACATTTTCTCCTAAAATTGTTAGTTTGATCACAAACAAATAAAATAATATACAGGCTCAAGTGAATTAATTCAGAGATTGGTTATTATTAGTCAAAGAAATTAAGTTGTAAAATGTCAAGAGATAAGAAATTTGCAGATTTTTTTCTTAATTTTAGAGGGCTATAAGTTGGAGGAGAAGGGGTTTTGAACAAAAAGTTATATGCAAGACACCCCGTAATTTTCGCTGAAAAATCATCCCTTGAAGTATTTCACATCAATTTAGAAACACTCGTTTAATAAAATCAGAAATACATACTTCGTTTTTATTTATTTAATTGATTCTAATTAATATTTCTGAATTTTCGTATTTGTATTTTAACCAAAGAATTCTCAACGAAATAATAAAGAACGAATTTGTATACGTGAAGTCGTTTATCCAAACTCGAGTAGTTGCAAAAAAACTTTGTTTACACTACCTACTCCTTTGATATGTGGACGCTCGGCGCAACCACGTCTGGAATTAAGTCTACAATAGGACGAACAAAAATCAAAACTCACCGTTTGTAGTTCTACTACAATTTAAATCGAAAATAATTATTTGATTTTTTTTTAATTTTAACAGAGAAAAGTCCTAATAATTGATTTATTTAATTAGCAAGGCAATTTTTGGTTCTCTGTTATAAAGAAAGGACAGATATTTTTTTAAAATATTTAGATGTAATGTTTAATGTAATTAAATATTTTATATGTTAAACAATTTCGTGTTCAATCACATAAATTCAATTAATCTTTTATTCTGAGTTCTTTTACAACTCGACCGGTTGGATAACTAGGTATATCTATTATCTATAAACAAGGACATTACTCTTAAAGAGATTATTAACATCCACCACTTTGAAAGTATAATTTTCTACTACTTTTGTATTACTTTGCACTTAGGTACTATTAAAAACTAACTTACTTTCCAAATTCTTGATAGGTTTCTTCAGGTACAGTGTACATATACAAATTATAACTTGGTCTAGATCTTGGTAGAGTGCGATTACATTTCTTGAAAATTGCACCTTCATCAGCACATTTGGGAACTCGTAAGTTAGCATAAAATATTCTAGGGACGAGTAGCTTAACCATGTGCAATTCGTTTTCAACCTATAAGATAAAGTCAAGGTCACATTCATAGTATGTTTTCAATTTTATGAAAAATTTACTAAATTGAAACTTACAAGTGCCCACAATTTATATTCCCCTGGAGTTGAAGTCGAAGCAATTTGAATAATTTGCCATGGGCACATAACCAGCGTCCGTTGAGCTTTATGTAAAAACGAACCCAATATATTCTGCGACGTTCTCACCACACTGTGTTTTTGTCGCTTCGTTTTTTGAACGCCATTATTTTTCTGATAAATCTGATACCTCCACTTTTTTTTTTGAAATTGCAACCATTCCATTTGTTCTTCCTGTAAAATAAAAACCACATAAAAACACAACAGTACAATTTCGTGAAAAAATTACTCTTGTTGTTCCTATAGGTGGCGGATTCCCAAGAACTTCTTTCCAACTTTTCGATAAATCAACATCTTCAAACTCATTCTCAGGTCTTCGTTTTCGTTTCTTTACAGTCGCCACAGGTCTTTTAAATGTAGATGATAAAGAAGAAGAAGCTGTATCTTCGATATCTACTGACATTGAAGTGTTTTGGGGTTTTGGACAAATTTGAAACATATCATCTATACGTCTTTGTTTATGAGTATCATTTCGCTCTAATACTTGTTTATGAAGCCAATCTGGGTGGCGAATTCTTGGAACTGGATTTGAAATCTATTTCAAACATTAAAATAAAGAAATTTTGTTTCTTATAAGTTAACTTACACCTTGCATTGCGGCTGGAATTGTAATAATTTTTTGTATGGTACCTCCCAATCTTTCTATATAATAATCCCAATCTAGAACATCCCTTATATTAATATCAGAAAGTGAATTATCTTTTAACCATTTTCTTAAAAAATGTTTTTGAACAGCCGCTTCAGTTTGGAATATAGCTAAGGGAATTGCTCTAAAAAACAATCATTTAAAATATCAAAATAAAGATTTATTAAAAAGATATTTTACCTTTCTGTGACTGGTGCACCTTCAGGTTTCCTCGAAATAACATATTTACACGCTAATCCAGCATCTTTAACCATTTGATCACCTAAAAACTCAGCCAGTCGTTTCGCGGTGCTTATCGAAGTACTTTTTTGAGCACCATACTCCTCCAATTTCTTCGACATCGACCTATTTTCCGAAATTAAATCGAACAATTCAGAATCAGGCATGTGTTTACCATGCGAATATAAAACATCCAACCAATAATTTGCTATTTGAGCTACTGAGGCGTAACAAGACTCCAAAGAATCACCTTTTAAAAACGCCTCAAATACGGACGATTGGAAATTTTTTATTAATTGTAATTCACCTCTACGTTTTACTTCAAAACTAAAAATATATTATAAGCACTCTTATATTAAGATTTAAAGTAAAATTAAATTGTACCCTTTTAATTCGGCTAATGATCCATCGAAATTAAAGACAGCATAACGTTTTTTTAATTTTTTTCCTTCCTCTTTAGATGCGGGTAGAACCATGGCTTTGTAAGGTCCATCCACTTCAAAGAAAATTGAATTTTCACTTTTTTGAATGTACTCTAAAGTTTCAGGATTAACTAATTCGTGGTATTGGTCGTTTGTAAAGTATTCTTTAACCATAGCGTTTAAAATCGCGTTAGGGTAAGAAATACAAAATTTCTTTTTCTTTTCGTGAGTTGTAAGGATGGTGAAATTTTCGGGAAAAGATGCTGGAAGAATGCACCAAATCCCATCAGTGTCCAATTCTAAGGGACGTCCGATTTGTTCGATTATTTCTCTGGCTCTCATTATAATATGAGCTCCGGTATAACATACAATTCCTGCCATTTCCATACTGTGCCATCGTGCGCTATAAAAATTTAATAAATAACAAATAATTGAAGTTTTTATGTAGTCATGATTTACCCTTTTCTCATTACGTATCCATAAAATGAATTTAAAATGCATTTATGAGCCAATTGTAATGAATCGTACAAAACTTCTCGATTTTTTGCGTATTTTATTTCAGATGCGTCCCCAGTTTTAATAGCTTTCGTAACATCTTGTTTAGCTTTTTTCGATAAGCCTTTATATTCATATCTAAGATAAAAATTAGTCATCAAACTAAAACTTTTATTTGGTTAACTCACCTTCTATCTCTGAAAGCTCTAACTGTATCAACATAAAAAGAATTTTCTTTTTGACATATTGTGGTAACTTTCTCTTCAACCCTAGTTATTTTAATTTTTTTATACGCTTTCCTACAGTACAATTGCAAACGTTTCTTTTCGTGCTCCGATTGCTCTTTTTTAGGTAGCTGATGAAAAGCTCTTTGTGGTTCTCCTGGAAATTGTGGTGGAAACTTTTCCGTCTCTAATTGTTGTTGAATTCTATGATATTCACTTCGTGAAGCAGGCACTTAAAAAAATTATTAATAAAATTTTATATTAAATTAACTTAACAAATTTTCAAATTTAATTATGTCTTGAGTTTTGGAAATGGCTAACAATGCAAAAATAATAATGCAATTATTTTATCAAATTATTTTATTATTATATCGCAAAATAACAAAGGAACAACCCACCCAGAACCACTAGTGTAGAAAAATCCAACACAGAATCACCATCAGTGGAAATACGCGCAAACAGTACGAGAGCAGCTTAGCACATAAACTACAAAACACTAATATAACAGACAAATGTGACGTAGAAAACTGCTGACAACAAAAGAACATTTACAATCAAATGGCATCCCGTCAGAAACATGGAAGATTTATTTCCAACAATATACATATAATTGTTGTACTCAAGAAACATCTAAAATAGATGAATATGAAACAACACAAAATAACAATCAGTGAAGAAGAATTGGATGAAAAACTGAGGAAACAAAAGCTTTTAAAAAACGGAGGAAAGGAATTTAATAAAAAATTGTTCTTTTTATATCTTGAGTTCATCGCCAATGCCAGAAGATTGTCATGGGTGCATTATTATATTATCAAAAAGGGATAAAAGATGTGCCTAGAAAACTATAGAGAATAGAGAGAAATAATCGTTCTACGTATAACAATGAAATTGTTTATAAACAATTTGAAAAAGAAGTTAGCAGCGCGAATTGAATATAGAGAAGAGCAACGAGGATTTAGAAAAAAAATATGTCAACAACGGAAGCTTTATTTGTTATCAAACAGCTAAAAGAAAAATCAATACAATTTAACAATACTTCGACAGAGTACGCCTAGCAGACATTCTGAGGATACTATTTCAGAAAGGAACCCCATCCAACATTGTAAAAGTAATCCAAATCCTAAACACAGGTAACATGACAAAGATTAAAATACGAAAACACTACTAATTCAGTATTTTACAGACTAATAGCTCTAAAACAAGTGGAAGAAGAAAAGGGATGATATCAGTACCCCGTCCAATCAACTTATAGACACAGTTGGGCAATTCTAATTTTAGTTACGAAAACAATTCAAAGAAACTAGCAAATTACTGTAAACGATGTAAACAAGTTTTTATTGCTAAGCGCAACTTAACATGATTTCACTTTTCTTAAATTTAACGTCATTAATTCTGCCAAAACTATCTGATTAAGACTTTAAACAAAAAAGAACGTAGTCCTTGCTAAACTGAAAATGGTAAAGCTGTATTCGAAGCAACATTTCATATACATTTTTTAGAAATATATCATCTAGCCTCATAAATCAATTAATTTATTATTCTACTTGTTACTCCGATGTTTTTGGAACAATATCGTTAAAAAATATCATAACTTTTTGGATATTAAAATATCATCTAAATCAGTGATTCCCAATTAGATTTAACTATGGACCCCCTAAAATCATTTATGTTCGCCATGGACCCCTATACTAAATAAACAAATTAAACCCCTGGACAAATTAATAAACCGTTCATTTTATATACAAAGGATATATTTTGTTTTATATTTTAACTATTATCGCAAGGTACAAAAATAAATAAATTTAGAGCGATCGGTGAACTCACATTTTGTGTGATGAGGACGAGTCTTTATTTCATTCTGTTGTTTCTAATTTGAGTTATTTATTACTATTTTCCTTTTTTTTTAAATTTAAAGTACTAAAGTAAGTAGTTTGTTGTTCTTTCTTCTTTTCTTACTTCCTGCTCAGTCAATTTTCTTTTTGTTCAGATTTTCTTTTCTTGTTTATTGTTCAAGTAGCTTATAATTTTTACCGGACCGCCAGGAAGAACAAGGAGCAATTTATTTTAACCTGATGGCGGTTTCAATTGGTCCAGTATTAAGCAACTTTAGTTATTATATATACATATATATATTATAGTAAATTGTGTAAACTCTAACACCAATAAAGAAATTATTATTTCTTTTACAAGTTTCTCAAAGTTTGGTTGTATATTTTTCGACAGTTTAACGCGTAATTCGGCATCCAAATTAATTAATCTGTTTCTTGGTTCACTTTTTACTTGAAGTAACGACGAAAAATATTGTTGACAAAGATACGTGGTTGGAAAGGTTATTAAAATTTCCAAAACTTTGTTTCCTAAATTCGGCGATTCATTGAAAACGTAAGCCCAGAAATCAGACAGGTTTTTTTCTTTGAAAGCCATTTGAAGCTCTCCATTGATATCCATATAATCTTTGATAATAAACGGATTGCGAATCGATGCTTTAATTCCATCAGGAAGTGGAAAATATTGTCTGAAGGTGCTTCTTAGACTTGCCAAATGACACGTGATTAGTTGTGCTTCCTCATTTGGAAGTGTATCTACAGATATTTAAAAATGTCGATAAGTTTTGAAATGATTCCACATTTTCGCTTTTGAGTCGATTCTCCCATAATTCCAGTTTCAAAATAGTTGCTTCAATCTTGTCTTCTACCTGGAAACAATTTACATTTTCACCTTGTAATATTACATTCAAATCATTGATATGAGTAAAGATGTCGGATAAGTACGCCAGTTTTATCAGAGCGATAGGATTGGAATCGTTCTTCTTCCATTACGAATACATTGACTTCTTGATGTAATTCCCAAAGTCGACCCAGTGCAACCAAGGTGATACACGAACTCTTTTTATTAATTGATCTTTTATGTTTTCTGCCATACTTTGAATTCTTCTTTGCACTGTATTGTTTGACAACGGAATTTGTGTAATTTCTTTGGCAGCTTATCGCCAATTATTTCAGATACCATAATTTTTGCTGTTGGTAATATGAGATCTTCAGCAATAGTATGAGGTGTACGTTTTTGAGCTATTAGTTGACATACCTTAAAGGAGGCCATTATGGCTGAATTGTTTGAAGCTGATATGGCAATGTGAGACACGCTTCTTGGAATGTTCTTTAATTGTTTTTTCTTTTTAAAAAAATCCGTGTTTTTTTGCTGAAACTCTGGGTGCTTTGTTTCAAACTGGTGTCTTAACTTAGGTGGTTTCATAGAATCATTTGGTACAACCTGTCCGTGTTTTTTCAGATTCCGAGGACAGAAATTTTGTAAAACCAAAGGATAAATATTCTGCGCTGTATTGACGGACCTTCTTTTCGACAGGAAGTCGGTCCGTATAAGGAACACTTATAGATTTAAAAGAAGTAGAAAGAAGTGTTAATTTATGACGACAAAGTAGTCGCTAAAAAACAAAATAGGAAACTTAAATAATCCCCCAAATTAGTAATATTACCAACCTCCATGCCAAAAATATCCTAGAAAACGTTACGTATTTCTTCTGAGAGTAATATTAATCTTTAATATAATCTCTGTATGCAATTAGTTTATTTCGTATGTTGTAGTTTAAATTTTTACCTTTTTGTAATTTATTTGCCTACATTATTTTTCACAAATGCGTCGTGGACCCCCAGTATTGTGGCAGTATTAGGAATCACTTATCTAAATAAACTAAACCAACAATATTTCTCTCCAGAGACCAAATGGCATTCTCAAATATTAGTTAATGTAGTAAAATAACGTCCTGTACGCTTTCTCAGGCTTGCAAATGATTCACTCTGTTGAACAATGTTCAACTTTAATATGACTTCTATAATTTTCTACAACTATCGCTATCTCACAAAGTGCTAATCGGTATAGTGATCAAATTACAACTTGTTCATTAATGCGAGGATTTGCACAATAGTGTTATTACAACTCCTACTTCGTTGCCACTTTTTGTAATATTTTTGCAGACTTCCAGCAAAGAACTATTTCTTCCAATTTTTATAATTTAGCGGTACATCTTAGCGTATAACAATTGCACCACAATAACGCACAACAACCAAAGGAAATATTCATCAGGCACGAGGACAAGAAAGATATTGGCGTGTCTTGGTTCTCCACCTGAACAAAAATTTATGTTTCTTCGCTTATCTATTTCAGTTAGATAGAGTTAGAAGATTTGTCATCACTAGCACAAGCCAATTGTAAAGCAAGTCACTCTTCGCTTAGAAGGAATTTTATCTTAGTCGCGGGTTGATTGCCACCCTCTCCACAAATTTTAAAACTTTTTTGTTTCCTATTGCCTTTCATCTTATTACTAAAAAAGTAAGGAACGCGAAATAACTGATAGGTTCATTGCACCAACCATATTATCATATAAGGGTTATAACTGCTTCTAGGTTCTCTAGAAAAACCTAGAAGCAGTGGTAAATTTTCTGAATAGATAATCATATTTGCAGGGGTTGCGGTGTGTAGTCAAAAGAACACATCTTTAGTAACTTCCAAGTCCTAGAAACTTCATATTTGGATAATATGAGAAGAATCAGGTAAACATGATGAGATCAAGTAAAATAGCAGACGTAGTGCTATCACACAAGAGGTTTTGCCACCTGTTTACCTATCATTCGACTTCCATATCCTAATCTATGCTTTAACCTTTGATAATTCCTATACATCTTTGTTGTTATTATAATGATATTATTTCTCAAAACAATTTATACATTAATTAGTTTTAATTAACAACAATAATCTACTTACTATGTTCTCCTCTCCACATCCAAGCCATGTTTCTTTGACATGAAGCATTAGGTTTATTAAAATCACAAGCAGCACACATAGTTTCATCAACCATAGCACATGGCTGCAAACGATTGGTTAAAATGATGTTTGGATACATAGCACCAACATCTAAATGATAAATTAGTGGTCTCTCCAATCTCATAGGATGTTCCTTTAAAAAATTTTAATTAAATATAATCAAAACAACGTTAATTAAAATTACTTTCAATGCGGTTAATTTTTGAGTTATTTCGCTTTCAACTTCAGCAATGTTAGTAACTTGATCTATTGGTACTCCTTCCTCAACTTCTATGGTATGTTTTAACGTCCTTGGAAGTTCAGAAATGAGTTTGTCAATGGCATCAGGAACCATGCGAAATCGACACGGAATATCCGCGCGAAATACACCCGATTCTAACGCTTCAACGTGTCCACCAACGTAAGTTTCTTGTATTAAAACGTGTCCATCGTCGGTTAATTTATTAAAAACGCTCTCTTCTTTGTTTGGGAAAATTATATTACCTTGGAATGCTTGTACCATTAATAATGATTCACATAAAGTTCCTTAAATAGAATAAAAAATGACAAAAAAAATAAAAAAAGAATCAAATAATTTGTTGTACCAGATCCTTTACGCAAGACTTCATCAGGTTCACATGGAATAATCGTACATAACGCAAAAATGAATGGGTGAACATATTGCATGTACAAATAATAAGTAGCCACAGCATCAGAGACTGAATAACTTGCTAAAATTTGTGGATTTGAAGCGGCTAATGGGCACATCTCTTCAGGATCTAACTCTACAGGATTATATCTAACCGAAAAAAATTAACCACTTAACTCAATTTGAAGTTAATCTTACCTTAATTTAGCTTTACAAACAGCTTTTAAACCGTGTGATCCAACCGGTAAATATGAATCTCTTTTCACCCAACAAAAACAATCCATATGCATCGCAGGTCGACTCGTATACACCCCTTCCCTATCCTTAAAAAATCCAATTTCTTGCTTCATATCCATATTATAAACGGCAGCTCTATTCTCAACAAAGGGCCAATCGAAAAAATCGCCGTTATAAGTAACAAAAATGTGCGGCCGTACGTCCAAAATGTGATCGAAAAATTTTTGTAGAAGCTTAACTTCGTTATCTTCGTTGAAAATTGTAAATTTGCCCTCAAATTCCGGTCGGGGTGTAAATTCAAAGTCGTCGATATCATGCGAAACAATTTCTCTGTTCGTTATTAAATATCCTTGACCATCGATCATGTAAGAAATCATCATGATTTGATCGGTGTTTGAATCGGGGAATTTTAATGGAAGCTTTGTGGTTTCTATATCGAAAGCTAAAACGATTGGTTCAGGGCGTTCAATTAAATCCGGACGGAGTGTTATTGCCGGTTCGATAAATTGACCTTTTATTTTTATTGTATACCATGACCCACAAAATATTTTTAAATCTATTGATACCCGAATGTGGTAAGGAACGTCGTATTCCCTAAAATAAATGAATGAAACAAATAAATAGATTTTTTTAACAATTTACCTAATATCCAGTATGCATTCTAAACGGTTCGTAGAATTTTTTGTGTGCACATCTTCATCTTGAGCTCCCAACGCGTTCGCTAATAATTCTGTGTAAAATTCACTTCCGGGATCCTTTTTTCGATTTTTTCTTACAACTGATAAAATTTCTCTTCGAACTTTTATCATATCTGATTGATTTGAAAATGATAATTTTAAGTATTGTTGTTTTAATCCTATCAAGTGATTGGGCTAAAACATTAATTACAACTTTAATTTTCTTTTAGTAAAGAAACTGTAATTACACAAAAAAATATTAAAAAATATTTTATAATGGATTAAATTCAAGTTGTTGGATTATATTGTTATGCAAGAATTATTAAGTATGGAACCAGCTTAATATCTCCAAAAGTACTTGTCGGATCAACATGAAATTTGAAATATGAATGAGCTGTCAAACTTTTCAAGATGCCGACAACAAGACGGCTACATCTCTACAAGAGATGTAGACAAACTACAAAACCAGCAATGATATTTTTTGTTTTAACAAGGTCGTCATCTTAAAGTTAGAGATTGATATCATTAAACAATTTATACAGATCTGTCAAGTACGCAACATTATTCTTTGATGTGATGAGGTTCTCCTGCAATTCTGTATCTTTGTTTTCCAAGAATTCTATCACAGAGTTAAACAGATTGTAAAACAAGTACCTCTTGATGCCAACGTACATCTCTATAAAAGAGCAATTGATCGAAATCTTTATCATTAGCAACACAAAGCTGATTAAATAATCTGTCATTTAAAGAGCTGTTTCGGATTATATTAACTACTTTGATGACATGTTACAGTAATCATTTTTAAGTGCGCTATGAAGCCTTTGTACCACCCTGTCATAGACGTGGTAGCTGATAAAATACTCTACAAGGCAATTTCTTTGTCATTACAAAACTTTCAAATCAGCCATCGCCCCTCTAAACCGCTTCAACACCCCCTAATTTTTTCTGTGGCCTTTACTACCCCCTGTTGGACTCTAGTGCCCATAATAGGGCGTTATCGCCATCTTTGAGAGAGACTGGTGTGGAACATAAGATAAAATATGGTTTAACTAGATGGTTTTCGGATTAAGATCTTGTTGTTACTCAACATCTTCTAAGATCTCCATCTTTTTTATAACAATAATACATGACTAACGATGCCAAATTACAAGTTTTCTGTGATAAAATGTATTGGCAAAATAGTTGTTACATTTGTGCGTGCAGTTCCTTTGTCATGTAAACATAACGTATCAAAAAAATTGTTTAGTCATTCTTCTATTTCGAAAATATATAATCATCATTCTACAATTCGTACTTTGTTAAAGCCGAAAAAGTTTGCAATTAACGAAGAATATGAATATACTCCCCGTTAGTCCTCTAGTTTTTAAAGTATATGTAGTGTAAGATACTGCGAAAATGTTAAGATTTGATACCAATCTCATGATAACAACGTAAAAATTCCAACAAACTATAAAAACAAACTTTAAAAATTCAGATCAATGTCTAGAACTGAATTCAATTTGTAGTTTCTATTACAAAGGCATAAGAGAGAAATCATCGATGATTTCTTGAACCCAATGAAATCAATTAAACGTGGTTAGGCTTGCGCAAACTAAGTTATATTTTTTTGTAAATTGATATGTATCAAAGAAAAAAAAATAATTAATCTATTGTCTTGGAAATGGAAAAATTCAACAATCAAAACAAGATGTTATATACTTTGATAAACTTTATACATCTATCCTTTAGAAAAGATTCACATGAGTAGTATTAGAACAGCTAGAAAGTGAACTTGTAATAATTTGATTGAAGATATATGTTTGAAGAATGGACATTTTGACTACAGATTTAATTCAAATAAAATTTTTCAAATTGAAAGGTAAGAATGTCGTATAGTATCCTTAGATAGCACATATCCAAATATTGTACAAGCATGGGAAAAGTATATTACGCAAATAACAAGCAAGAAAATTTTTTTAGATCCAGTAAATGTAAACTTTTCTTATAGGGATGTATATTGGGTTATTTATATTACTTATGTTAAAATTTCCGTTTATTAATTGTGGAATTAAAAATCTCAACCTTATTGAGATGCTCTGCATGCAAAATAGTTTGATGCTGCAATGAAAAAAAAAAATATCTGCCTGATCATCATAAGCATAAAATAATCTCAGGTTACGGAGTTAAGGAGGTGGAAGAATAATGTTAAGAGGTTTCAGAAGTTATTTTAAGGAAAGTGAAGGATGATTTGTCAGGTATCTAGAACAATGATTAAATGAGATGGGGTTGATTATGAATGATATTGAGAGAAGATGTTGAAATGTATGAATTTGTTTTGGATGGTTATGTATAATATTGGTAACCTGGAAAGGTAAGAACAGAACTTTCTATTTATATACTTCATATTAGGACGGAACGGATAGTGATTTTGCTGAAGTGATACCCTACATTGCCACATTATTGCGATATTTGAACAAAAATGAAATTAATAAGAAAGCTGATAAGATTTATCAACTTATTTGGATCCAAGATACAAAATGAACTTATTTGATGCTGAATTAACTAACGAAGCAACTCTAAAAAGAGGATACTTTAATTAATAATTGGCGATATTTCAACAAAGATCCTTTAAGAAATGAATTTTATAGCCAATTTTGCAAGTTATTGATAAAAATTGCAACATCGAAAATTTTATCAAAACTTCCAATATTGTTTTCTCAAAAACTAAAAGCTATTTTTCAAAACGGGTTTGTTCATTAAAAAGAGGACACTTTTATTAGCACTTTGGGAAATTTTCATACTCATATTCCAAGAAATTGATCTTATACGAATGTTTAAAACTTAATCGGCGAAAATTATAAAATTCGAAAAAATTCTCGATCATTTCAAAAATAATATTTCTCAAGAACTGAAAGTGATTTTTCAAAACGGGTTTTTGCATTAAAAAGAGGATACTTTAATTAATAATCGAAAGTGATAACACCGACAGTTCTGTTAGTAATGAATGTGATAATGAATTGCAAGCAAAGAGAAGAAAACTAGACGTAACTGCAACAAGAGATTTTATATATCGTATTGCGATTGTTACAATGACTTTGCTAATGACAAACCTAATATAAATAAAGTTGTATTCAATGAAAAAAGTCCTATTGGGGTTGAACTTGATTATTATCTGAAGTGTCCAACACCTAAAAGAGATATTAATTCCTGTGAATGGTGGAGTACTAAGTAATAGGTTTTTAATCGGGCCAAAGCCGGATATTTGGTAACTATCTGGTATCCAGCCGGATTTTAAAAAATGGCCAAATAGGCCAGATACCGGATAGTCGCCAAATATTCGTTCCACCACTGCTTCATATGTACAAAAATACTAAAAGTCCACTCTGGGCTTGCTTTGTGAAAAAAATGATTCTTTTTTTCCTGTAAAATTAGTTCTTTTTATCTGAGATTTTCATTTGACTAACTACTTTTAAAGAGCTATTATGGGATGAACATTCATCCCATAATATCATGTGGTTATTTCATAATGTATAATTTATCAAAAATATAATTCACCTCTACAAATAGCTGGTTAATAAGTTTCATTCCAAATTTTAATGACACAAAACGCTATAATACACTACAATTGGAAGATTTTTCTACAATAATATGGTACAACTTCTCCTTACAACTAAAGAAAGTGTTTTAATCTACACATATACAGGTGTATTAAAATTAAAGTGAAGAGAAGAGAATTCTTTACAAGCCAGTTCATCCATTTGTTCATAATTTTGTCAAAATATCTTTATATGGATACAGATATTTTAATTAGCGACTCTAGTTTTATAGTTAGTGCTGAATTTTCAATAAAAAGAGGAAAAAAACGTAAAAAGTAGCGATTTTAATCCATACATCCGTTTTTTATTTAATGTTTTGTACAATTTTGATTTTGGGTTAAATAAACATGGTTCCTTTCTATATAATTCTATAAAATGAAGTGTTTTCTTATTTGTCCAGAAAGGAAATGCCACTTACTTAAACAACACTTATTTCCTTTGAATTATTTAACAATAAGCTTTGGAACTTGCAAGAACACAAATGAGTTTATTCATTTCTGTTTATTTCCCCATACTGGCGTAAATGAATGAATTTGTTTGTTCGCTTCTGTTAGCTCTAATTTAAATACACTTTAATAAACCTACCAAATCCAAATCTTCTTTTAAACTGACTTCAATTTTAGAAATAGTTCCAGAGTACTTTTTCATTAAAAACTGAGATACCTCCTCAATAACAGGCTTTGGCACCAGAATGTAAAAATAAGGTTGAAAAGGATATGATACCTTAAACCTAGAACCATCTTCCTCCATGAAATAATAATCAACAGTTGCAATAAGATGTTTATCTTCATCTAACATTTCCGACTAAACAATTAAAATATATATACATAATAAATTAGACCTTATTGTCTTCCGAACAATATAAAAAACAGGAATTAAGAAAAACTACATACAGCATGCATATTAAGTAGAAACCCTGTCCTTTCACATGGTTCTTTAATGCGTTTAAATCCATATTTGTTATCGATATTGTCGTTTTCAATAACTTGCTTAACTCTGTATTCTGAACTTTCCTCCCTTTAAAACAAAAAAAAATTAAATTAATTATTTAATTTATTATATTAAATATACCTAAACCCAGGTTTTTGAACATTTTCTTTTAATTCTTGCCCTTGCCTCTCGGGCTTTTCCTTTCTATATTTTCCAGAATTTTGCAAATTCATCTCTAAAGAATCATCTGTTGCACCCTAACCTGACACAACATAACCTGACATAACCCAAGTTGTATTTATTTCCCGCCATAAACACTACGTCAAAATATAGATATTTTTATTTTATGAGATTGGCATTAAATTTATTTTTAATAGTGTCAATTTGACAATTAAAGTCAAATCAATATTTTCTATGAAATATTCTAAATAACTATTCAATTTTAAATTGGATGAACCTATTTATATTAAATGGAATACAGAATTTGTGGAATATGAATTGGGTATGTTAGGGATTTTTATTAATATAGTTTTAGTAACTTTCTTGATAACCAATGGGAATTCGTTATTGCTCCTTTAAATTTCTTGAATTGCAACGGTTTTCTTATAACTGAAGAATCTCTTCGCGTGATCGGCATCGTATAACATAGAATTGTTTTAAGTTGTATTTATTTTAATCTTGTAATGTGAATTTGTTTTATTGTGAATAATTTAAAGGTGGGTATTACTTAACGATAAATATAATCATAGTTTTTATATCTTTTACAACTTTATACACATTTTATTGATGTGGATATACTCCATGCGTTTCTTTTTTAACAAAGTTGTTAAAAATTTAATATTTTACAATCTCTTAATATACAGGATGACTGGTAGCTCATTTGCAATTGATTAAACCAAATATGCCTTTTACAAAGTTGAATAGTATAGGAATTATTTCAATCTTTTGGTTTTTGTACATACTCCTAGAAATATTGGTATTTAGAGATTAATAATAGTTTCTTTGGCAACATATCGACTTCTCTGGATAGACTGCACGCTAATACACATTTTAAGTTGAAAAATATTTTAACTTATAAGAACTAAAAAACGTTAAATCATGAATACAATAAATCCTGAGGTTAATGTTTAACATCATTAAGCATTTAGCTATCAATCATTGAGTAAACAAATATTTGGAGGGAATACAATTTTTACAGCTAGCAAAAATTAGTAAAACTGGGAATTGATTACTTCAGTACTTACTTTATTGGAACTAAAAATAACCATCATTCAAAAAACCATAAAAATTAAGCGATTTTGTGTCACATTAACATAAACAAAATGAAGTACACAAAGGTAATAATGTGTTGTCTAATTCTATCTAATAAAAACTACAAGTCCACCTCAAAAACTACACCTCTATTCCCAATACAAGCATAAGTCCTCTTCCTGATTCCAATCTTGTTATCTTATTTGTAATTTGCGTTTTTAAAACAGATGCTTCATTTTTGATTTTTTCTATTAATTCATCCTTAGTGTCTTTCTTTCATGAGGTCCTCCAATTCGAATCCATCAGCATGATGATAATAAGATCAGAAATCAGGAAAATGGCTCTTGCATGTATTAGGAAGTGCAGTTTTTGATGCAGACTTGTAGTTATAAGTTTTTTAGTTAGAATTAGGCAATGAGTTATATACCCTAACTTTATATACCTTTACTTTCTTTTTGTTGATGTTAATGTGACACATAAAATTGCTTAATTTTTATGGTTTTTTGAATGAAAGTTACTTTTAGTTCCAATAAAACCAGTACTGGAGTAATCAATTCTCAATTTTACTACCATTTGCTGACTGTGTTTTTTAATTAAAATTTTTTTAACTTTGGGTAAGTTGTCAAAATTGTACATCCTTCCTTTATTATTAGCCAATTGGAAAAACATTTAGCCCTGCTTGATACCTCATTTGAAAGGTTATAAAACAAAGAAGTTTTTAACATAATTTGTATGCCAAATGTATTATTGAAATTTTGAAATACACTCATGAAAAACCAGTTTTTTTTTAAATTAACTTAAGTCACGAAAAAATTATTCCTGTAGTTTTAAACAATTGAAATATTTAAAATATTTTTCAACATAAAATGTGTATTAGAGTGTAGTATATCCAGAGAAGCTGATATGTTGCCAGAAAAACCATTAATAATCTCTAAATTCCAATATTTGTAGGAGTATGAATAGAAAATGATAATATCTCAACTTCTGAAATGTAATTCACTGAATTTTTTTAACAAAAGATGTAAGAAGTTTATATCATTTCCATATTTTACATAAAAACTATATAAGTTTATTCTATTCTATTATTAATCATGGAGAACACAAAACATAGTCATATTTATAACTCAAAAATATATACAAAAGGAGGTAGCTTTAAGTGCCTTATCACTGAAAACGGACTCTTCACTCAAGTTGATGCAGGGTAACCTCAGAGGACACCTCGAAATCCTCAACGACCTGTATCTAAATCACTTGATTGAAATTAAAACGGACCTTATACCGACAGAATACAATTTCGACCAGCCGTATAAGTTCATATTTAGAAGCAGGGATGATTGGACGAAGATGCTTTAAAGACAGTTCGATCCGGAGTAGGCATGGGCATTAGTGGACCAAACAGCTGCATTAAATTGACCCTCAGCTCGGACATAACCATTTTACAAGCAGAAGTTCTTGCTAAAAACTTCTGCACCGCTTTGAACCTACAAAAGGGACAGACAGGTGCATCCATAAACATTTTCACAGACAGTCGGGCCGCCCTAAAGGCAGTTCAGGCCTACACGAGTGACTCCGCACTGATCAGAGAGTGTTACTCTTTGGTGGGTTCCAGATCACAGAAACATTGAGGGCAATGAGAAGGCGGATAAGCTGGCCAGGAAGGCAGCGAAAACGCGGTTGTGGACTACAAAAAAGCCACCTAAACCAAATAATCAACAGTTGGGTGGTCCCAAAGGTAGCCTTACGCTGGAAACAACTTCCAGGTCACAGACAAGCGAAGAGTTTGATAACTCCAAAAGATTTTATGCGTCAGCAAAGAGGATCTAAGGACGCTCTCAGGTTTCCTGACCGGTCATGCGCCCCTAAAATACCACCTCTTCCACATTGGACAAGCTGAGGATCAAACTTATCGACTTTGCAACGACGAGACAGAAACGGCTGAACATATACTGTGTAATTACGTCTAACAATAAGACATAACAGAACAAAACCTTGGAGCAATACTAAAAGTTCAAGAACTCAGGACAATACTAAGGTTCATCAAGGACCTACATTTGCCCTAAACCTTTGGAGGGCTAAAGTTACAATAGTTCTTATAGGTCGCGGTGGCGAGAGGGGCTGTTCCCCTCCGCCCGGCAGCAATGATAATAATGGGGCTGCGATAGAGAGTCCAACATCCAGGTGATCCAAAGTTTCCAGAACAAAGTGCTAAGTATTTGATCATGTTATAGAGGGGGCGCTCCCCTCAGCCCAGCAGCAATAATAATAACTCAAAGAAGTCTACATACAGTAGGTTACGTGTTGTTGTGGTCGATCCGAGATTTCATCCGTTCTTCCTGTTGGTTCCCTTTGGAAAGAGGCAGACGTTTCGCACCTAGCAAAATCTCACCTAGCATCTTCAGTTCGTTGTCGTAGTCTTCTGTCGGCAGACTGACTGTAGTCACTGATATATCAACCGTGGACTGTGTAGAGATTACGACAACGCACTGAAGATGCTAGGTAAGATAGTCTGCCCCTTTCCAAAGGGAACCAACAGGAAGAACAGATGAAATCTCTGATGAAGCACAACAACACATACTTCTCCATTCGCGAAGCACTTCGCATTACAGTAGGTTACTCTTATACATATTATATCATTAATAATCAAAACAAGTCGAAGTTTACATAATTAAATTAATATTTGGTAGGTTCCTTTCGCAGCAAGAACTGCTGCTAATCATCGAGGCATGGAATCAACTAAATTAGCTGTAGTTGCTGGTGAAATACTCTGCCATTCCTGTAATAATGCAGCTTTCAAGTCGTTTTTATTTTTAATATTTAGCTTCCAAATTTTGCGGTCAAGAAACTCTCATACGTGCTCTATGGGATTAAGGTCGGGTGACTGTGGTGGTGGGCGTAGCTTTTTAGGGACATTATATAATACCCATTCCTTCACACTGTGAGCTGTGTGCTTGGGATCATTACCGTCTTGGAATATCCACTGTGATCCTAAGCCTAATTTATTGACCGATTCCTTTGAATTAGTTCGCAATATGTTCAGATATACATGGCGGTCCACAATTGTTTCAATAAACTCTACATTTCCTACATCAGCCCCTCACACACAACCCCATACCATCACGTTTCCACCGCCATGCTTCACTATGGCTTTCAAGTTCTTATTCATGCTTTCGTTTTTCTTTCTCTATACTTTTGTTGTGCAATCATAACCGAAAATATTGAATTTACTTTAATCCGGAAATACAACAGTATGCCATAATATAGTATCCTTTTACTCATGTAATTTAGCAAAATCGACTTTTTTTCACATTTGTTTCCGATATGAATGGCCCTTTTTTTAGGAACTCTACTACTCTAGCTTTCACTTCGTAGTACAAGTCGAACTGTTTCGGGATTTATGTTTATAGATTTTGATGCCGCGAGTGATTTGGCTAAATCAACCGCAGTAGTTGTTGGATGATCCTTGATTTTTTTAATTTGTATGTAAACTTTTTTGAGCTATAAATATGATAAGTTATACATTTTTTATGTAAAATATTAAAATAATATAGACTTGTAATATTCTTTATTTAAAAATTTCATTGAATTACATTTCAGGAGCTGATATTATCATTTTCTGGTATATGAAACCAATTCGTTTCATTCAAAACTACATTAGATAAGATATTTTTTATCAAAAAGTTTTTAGCATTAACTGTTATTATCTCATAAACAGCAAAAATGTTGTACACCAAATCATCCATATCTGTATTAGTCATCAGTGAAGAAAATTGAGAAAACTTTATCATTTTTGTGCAGCTTAAATTTTTAATTATTTGAAACAGTTAAGTTCCTGCTAGGTATTTTGCATTAAAGATGTCTCTTTTGACTATTAACTGTTACCATTCAAGGTTAGTTGCCATATTACATATTAGATGTTCACATTGTCATTTTATAACTCATTTTTTCAACTAGCTTGCACATTTTGAACTTAATTTTTAAGGTCAATGACAAATCTGATTATGACATTGGTTTTTGATTTTACTCAACTATGTTCTAAAATTTGATATCCTGCCATTATAGGCAAGGTAGTGTTGGGTTGGGGCTAGACCCCGACTGACTAAACCCTTCTCCTATCTATCTTCTTTGTAACACATGTTTTCACACAAAGAAATTGTATATATAGAAGCCGGATCGCCTATGTTGGTCCATATACCAGTTTGAAGCCAAGGCACAAGCATTTGTTTGGAAACAAAATTGACCTTGGCCCTAGCGACAGTGGCGTGTACTGTTCATATGAAATTGATCAGACTTTAGCCAGTGGCGTATCCAAAGAGCATCCCACATTCTTTCTTTAGTTTTGTGACGGTGTTTTGACAAAGGTTGTTAGTAAACGAACGTGTGTTGGCTTCAAGTTTTGTTTACAACTGCTTCTATATAATATATGCTATTTCTTTGTTTTTACAGCTTCGAAGATGTTTGCGTTCCTGTAGTTGTATGGAATATTCGTTGCAGAAAACAGAATTCTATTCTAAACGATTTCAATTTCTTTGCCTTATTATGACTTCTCTATTATCCTTACCTTTGTTGCTGCTGGAAACGGCGACTGTCTTCTTATCTCGAAGTACAGCTTATTTGCCTGTTTTTCGCAATGCTTAGCCTCTTGGCTGCTTGTCCTGTTTCCTAAGCCAAATGACTCTGGTCTGTCATTTCTCTGCGACCTATCTTTACGTTGAAGTTTCCCATCACGACAACCACCCGGCCATCTTCGTTGTAGTTACGTCTTTGTAACTGCTTGGCCTCTACGATTTCAGCGGCTCTTGTCTGTGCGTAGGCTTGTATCACCTGCAGGGTATTAGCGGCCGTTTAAATTGATCGTAATATAGACCACTCTTCTTGAGTTAGCAGCTGTTTTGCTGTTTTGCTTGATTGGTATCATAATTGCTACTCCACCGACATATGAGTTCGCGTTTGTATTGTTCTGGAATAGCAGATCTCTGATCTGAGTACCGTTATGGCTTCTCCTTTTAAACATGTTTCACAGATCCCTGCAATATTCAATTTGGTCTGTTACAGTGTGTTACAGAATTTTTGCCATCCCCAGTGAGAGATTTTGAGCTTTGCGATTTACTCGTTTGGGGTAGTTTCATTTTAAAATCCGACATTTCATGTATGGAAGGAGTTTGCAATTAAGTCACCATGCTTGCTGCGCAGATTATCCGCGGAGACAATTTTTTTTGTCTCTACCTCTAGACAAGCCTGGCGAGCATTACCCTTTCCACTACCAGATGACGCAGCGTCTAGGGGTTACAGGTTCCCCCAGCCCATACTCAAATTAAAAACCATATAATTAAATTCGTTTGATTATCTTCAAAAAAGAACCTTTCAAAGAAATGAATCATTACCGTTTTTAACCTTATAATTTCAGATGTCTGATTCTTCGTCTGTAACGGTAGCCGTCCGAATTCGTCCTTTGATCCCATCGGAAACTGCTAAAGGTTGTCAAGAGATTTTAGAAGTTTATGAAGATATAAATCAAATTAAAATCAAAACTAGCGACAAAGCATTCAGTTACAACTATGTTTGCAATCACAATATTTCACAGAAAGATTTTTATGACACCTGCGTTAAAAATTTAATAGGAAATTTATTTAAAGGGTATAATGTAACAATATTAGCGTACGGCCAAACCGGATCCGGAAAAACCCATTCCATGGGAACGGCATACAACGGGGACGACAATGTTGGAATTATACCTAGAGCCGTGCGCGAAATTTTTGATTATGTTAAAGATAATTTTGGATATGAATTTTCCGTTTCGGTGTCGTTCATTGAGATTTATCAAGAAGTTGTGTATGACCTTTTGGCAAACAGGCCACGAGAACAATGTAGTGTTGAATTACGAGAAGATGTTAAAGGGATAATTATACCTGGATTGACAGAGGAAATTGTTAAAACTCCTCTTGAAGCGTTAGAATTTTTAACGAAAGGATCCCAAGGAAGGGCGATGGCTTCGACAAATATGAATTCGCAAAGTTCGAGAAGCCACGCTATTTATACAGTAAATATTTCGATGTTAAAAAAGGATGATAGGTAAAATAAATGTTTTTTTTTTATTGATTTTTTTTTGTAATTTGACAATTTTATTACAGCAATCAGAATAAAACCGCCCGCTTTCATTTAGTCGATTTGGCAGGATCCGAGCGGCAAAAAAAGACTGGAGCAACAGGTCAAACTTTTAAGGAGGGGGTTAATATTAATAAAGGATTACTCGCCTTGGGAAATGTCATATCTGCATTAGGGGATGAAAAGACGCAGAACAATTATATTTGTTATCGCGATAGTAATTTGACCCGCTTATTAAAAGATTCTTTGGGCGGTAACAGCATAACTCTAATGATAGCATGTGTCAGCCCTGCAGATTATAATTTAGAAGAAACGCTTTCCACATTACGATACGCCGATCGCGCCAGAAAAATAAAAAATAAACCAATAGTCAATCAAGATCCAAAAGCAGCTGAAATAAATAAATTACAAAAAGTTATTCAACAACTACGCTTGGAATTGGTGGGCCAAGGAGGTCCAATTATATGCCCCGCCGAAATGGAATTACTTAAGAAGGAACTCAATGACACAAAAACAAAGTATCGGTTACTAAATGTTCAATTGGGAACTTGTTTGAATGAAAATGGTATTTTACATGAAAAATTACACATGGTTGATTTAATACCTGAATTAATGAACAAATTGAAAGCAATTATTGATGAGTGTAACGAGTTATTGGTTTTAAATGAGAATTCTGGAGGTGATGGTGACGAAAATAATTATTATAAAGAAAAAATCGTAAAATTCAAGGAATTATTTATACAATTAAGCGATATTTACAATGAACAGATGAAAATTGTTAAAGATATAACTAAACAAGAAAACGAAAACTTCCAACTTGAAAGCACCAACGATTCACAATCAGAACACGAGTTATCAGAACAACAAGAAGGACATACAGCTCAACAACTCGCTTTAAACAACGAATTTCAAGAAGTGCGACGTCAACTTGCAATGAAAGAGAGACTGGTTAAATGCATGGAATCAAACGTAATGTTTATTGATCCAAATATAATAACTGACTGTGAATCGAAAATTGCTGTATTAGAAAAAGAAAAAGAAGAACTTTTGCAACAACTGAAAAACGTACAAACAAACGGCCCTAGTAAGATTTCCGAAAATCGCAGAAAACGCGTTCAAGGTCTCGAAGATGAAATACTAGATCTTAAAAGAAAAGTAATTGATCACGAAAAACTTTTAAAACATAAAAAAACTGACGAAGAAAAAATTAAGAAACTTAACGGTGAAATATTGACGATGAAACAGAATAAAGTGACTTTGATGCGGAAAATTCGCCAGGAATCCGATCGATTTAGGACGTGGAAGTTGCAAAAGGAACGTGATGTTCTTAAACTAAAAGAACAGGATCGAAAGAGGCAAAATCAAATCGTTAAAATGGAAATGATGCATACCAGGCAACAAAATGTTTTAAAACGAAAAGTTGAAGAAGCTGCCGCTGTTAATAAACGTTTGAAAGAATCGTTAGCGAAAAGAAAAACGGTCGCTGATAAAAGGCAGGGGAAAAATGAGAAAATTGGAGAATGGGTAAATTTTTGTTTATTTGAGAATTGTACAAATAAGTGAAAGTTTTTAATTATTAATTTAGATTCAACAAGAACTTGAAGTCTATGTTAATATCTTAGAAGCAGAAGCTGCTATCCCAAATTTAATCGAAGATCGTGGAAATCTCCAGAAACAATTGGATTTTTTAAAAGCTGATCCAGATGTAGAAGATAATGAAGACGCTGTTAATCAAATATCAGACGAAATTGAACTTCGCACAGCACAAATAACCGATTTACAGCAGAAATTATTGGACTCACAAGAAGGTTTGTGAAATTTTTATTAAAATATTTCATTATAATCATTGGAAGTAAAAACGTCAATGATTTTATCTAGGTAGTTACACCTTTTTATTTATTTTTCCACTTTTCAATATATTTTTGTGTATTTCATAATCTTAATGTTAGCGCTTATAGGTAGAATCCAACTTGGGTTATTCCTGAAGTTGCTCTATTTCATATTCATAGATAAACTCAGGGTATTCTCCAAGTTGTCTACATGATGTATAAATCAATTACAGTAGTTTAAGTTTTAATTGTTATTCAGCGCTAGATTGTTCTATATTTTTATTGAGTGAAAAGCAGAACCAACATTTGTAGTTGTTATTTCTTCCATTGTTTTTATGTTAATCTGCAACTGGCAAAAGAACACTTCACAATAAGTTATGAAGTGAACTTGTAGGATTCATAGAAAATTAAGATCTTTAGATGACACACAAATTATTGCTTCTCTAACATTGCAGGCACTCCATCAGTCATATACTTACAAGTTTATTATGAAACATTCAATGCTGTTTATTACTTCAAACAGTCCTCCTCCCCTTTTTAAGATACATAGCGAGCAAAAATTTGTCAATAGCAAGATATTAGAACGATTAATTTATACAATTTACTGTTGTCTCAATTCTTTGCTAGATTTCTTTTAATAAATCCTGTTTCATTATGGTGGCGTTTGGTTCAATCAATTACAGCTCTAAAAAGATTTGTATCCTAAATTGCAATCTTTTAGCTTCAATTTAAGGTATGAATCGTTTCTTAACTGTTAAAAACGCAATTGGTACGATATTTTGAAAATATTGCTTATCAGTGTATGCATACATTTGACAATTCCTTGCTGAAACATTTGTATCAGGAAATTTTTATAATCCTACATCAAGGTTTTTATATCTTATCCTAAACTGCAATCTTTTAGCTTCAATTTAAGATATAAATCGTTTCTTAACTGTTAAAAACGAACTGGTACGATTTTTTGAAAATATTGATTATTAGTTTATGCGTACATTTGACAATTCCTCGCTGAAACATTTGTATCAGGAAATTTTTATAATCCTACATTAGCGTTTTTATATCTTATCCTAAACTGCAATCTTTTAGCTTCAATTTAAGATATAAATCGCTTCTTAACTGTTAAAAACGAACTGGTGCGATTTTTTGAAAATATTGATTATTAGTTTATGCGTACATTTGACAATTCCTCGCTGAAACATTTGTATCAGGCAATTTTTATAATTCTACATGAACGTTTTTATATCTTATCCTAAACTGCAATCTTTTAGCTTCAATTTAAGATATAAATCGTTTCTTTACTGTTAAAAACGCAATTGGTACGATATTTTGAAAATATTGATTATCAGTGTATGCATACATTTGACAATTCCTCGCTGAAACATTTGTATCAGGACATTTTTATAATCCTACATCAACGTTTTTATATCTTATCCTAAACTGCAATCTTTTAGCTTCAATTTAAGATATAAATCGTTTCTTTACTGTTAAAAACGCAATTGGTACGATATTTTGAAAATATTGATTATCAGTGTAGGCACACATTTGACAATTCCTCGCTGAAACATTTGTATCAGGACATTTTTATAATCCTACATCAACGTTTTTATATCTTACCATAAACTGCAATCTTTTAGCTTCAATTTAAGATATAAATCGTTTCTTTACTGTTAAAAACGCAATTGGTACGATATTTTGAAAATATTGATTATCAGTGTAGGCACACATTTGACAATTCCTCGCTGAAACATTTGTATCAGGACATTTTTATAATCCTACATCAACGTTTTTATATCTTACCATAAACTGCAATCTTTTAGCTTCAATTTAAGATATAAATCGTTTCTTTACTGTTAAAAACGCAATTGGTACGATATTTTGAAAATATTGATTATCAGTGTAGGCACACATTTGACAATTCCTCGCTGAAACATTTGTATCAGGACATTTTTATAATCCTACATCAACGTTTTTATATCTTACCATAAACTGCAATCTTTTAGCTTCAATTTAAGATATAAATCGTTTCTTATCTGTTAAAAACGCAATTGGTACGATTTTTTGAAAATATCAGTTTATGCATACATTTGACAATTCCTCGCTGAAACATTTGTATCAGGAAATTTTACAATTCTACATTCTTATTATTAATCGGACCCTTTGTTAGTATTGGTAAGGTGTAAAATCTACTTATTTTTAAATGGTGTACTAGTTAATATATTGGAAGCACTAATGTTATTCCTGATATAACAACAAAGTTTGTACTCAATTCTTGCAATTATTTTCTCGCAGAGTCAGTGAGAAGCCCTCTGAATCTGGCAACTATCTTATTTTCTTTTCAGCTGAAATCACTGCATATTTTGGAAATGGCTTTAATCTTTACAATTCTTCATTTTAATATTTAGTACAAGACGTAATTTTCTCCTTCATCTATTCCAAGATATCTGAAAAAATTTGTGAAAATTGATATTCTTAAAAATCCTAAGATAGTAGAGTAATTTCTGGATTTCTATATGGATATCTAGCAATTTATAGAAAATTTCAGACGTCTTTTAAAAATCCTAAGGGAAAATCCATAAGGGAAAAATCCATACTTTGCATGGCAAGTGCGCGGCAGTAACACGCGGCGTTTCAGGACACAATTCTGCCGCACGCAAGTTTAGACATACGAAAGAATGTTGCGAGCGGCAAACATATTGCGTTCGAATGCCGTGTAATGTGTGGTCACACCCCAAAACATTATCATGGTGTCCTTGAAAGTCCTTTGAAAATCTAAATATTCGCAATAATATTTGGATACTCTTGTTAATTTTTTAAAACCTTGTAAAGTCCAAGGTCAAAGTGTCGAAAGGCTCGGGGCATAATAGAAAATGTTTAAAAATTCATTGAAATTGTTGAAATTTTCTGGTTGTCTTTAATGTTTCAAAAAACTTTGATCCAATAAATATAAAATCTTTAGATTTATTTGGGCATCCTTGCAAATGTTCCTAGACATCCCTAAGAATCTTTGAAAATTTCTAGGTTCACATAAAAATCCTAAGATAATAATCATTTTTGCTTATTCTTAGTAATATTTCAAAAAACTTTGCAAGTCATTTTAAGATCCCTGGATTTATTTGGCCATTTTTGCAAAAGATTAACAATTGTATTGTTAAATTGAAATCTTAAGATAGTTGTGTAAGTATCCTTGAAAATCCTTTGGAAATATTTGGATTTCTTACAGAAATCTATGGGGATTCTTAGATATCTTATTATTCATAATAATTCTTATGCACTTTTGGATATCTTTGAAAACCCTTAGAAATACATGGATATTATTAGAAATTTCTGCTTAGATTTGATAGTATTCCAAAAAATTTTGGAAATCATTTTAAAATCTCTAGATTTAATTGGACCTATTGGCGATAAACCTATCGTTTCAAGATGCCTGGATTTATTTGGACATCTTTGCAAAAAATTAACAATTGTATTGTGAAATATGAAATCTTAAGATAGTTGTGTAGGTACCCTTGAAAATCCTTTGGAAATACTTGAAATTGCTTAAAGAAATGTATTGGGATTGTTAGATATCTTATTATTCATAATAATTTGGAAATCCATTGAAATTATTAGAAATTATTTTTGATAGTATTCCAAAAAATTTTAGAAATCGTTTATAATCCCTAGATTTAATATGACATCCTTACAAAAGAACAAAAATTTTAGATATTCGTTAGATTCTTTGAAAATTTCTAGGTATCTGTTGAAATCCTAAGATAATTATAATGGTATCCTTGAAAATACTTTGGAAATACTTGGAATTGCTTAGATAAATCTATGGAAATTGGTAGATATATGGATATTCATAATAATTCTTAGACACGCTTGAAAATTTTTGAAAACCCTTGTATATCCATTGAAATTGTTAGAGATTTTTGCTTATTTTTGGTAATATTTCAAAAAACTTTGGAAATCATTTTAGGATCCCTGGATTTATTTGGACATCTTTGCAAAAGGTTAACAATTGTATTGTGAAATATGAAATCTTAAGGTAGTTATGTAGGTATCCTTGAAAATCCTTTGGCAATATTTGGATTTCTTACAGAAATCTATGGGGATTGTTAGATATCTTATTATTCATAATAATTCTTATGTACTTTTGGATATCTTTGAAAACCCTTAGAAATGCATGGATATTATTAGAAATTTCTGCTTATTTTTGATAGTATTCCAAAAAATGTTAGATATTCGTTAGATTCTTTGAACATTTCTAGGTATCTGTTGAAATCCTAAGATAGTTATGATGGTACTAATTGTTCCAGAATGTTCATGGGTTGTTACATATACATTGAGATTGCTAAATTCTCTTACATAACTATATGTCTATATGCCTTGATAACTTTTCTTTCTTTGCTTCTTATCTATACATAGTAATCTCATCAATAAATCAATCGAAAATATAAGCCGGTACAAACTCTCATTAATATATAAAAATATATTATTTAATTAATATAAAATAAAAATATACTCACATAATAATATATTATCAATATTTTTAGATATTCGCTCTCAAACACGATTTGACAACATCCAAAGCATGTTAGAAGCAAAACACGCTTTGAAAATGATGTTTGATTCAGTAGCAGAAATAAAACGTGGTACATTCACAGCGGAAAGTAAAGTTCAAGATCAAAATCGAGAAATTGAGAATTTAAAGAAACAAAATGCCATACTAGAACGTAAAATTAAAGAGAACGAAAAGTTCAAATGTGAGTTAATCCAAGAATATGAAGAAAAAATGTTGTTGCTTTTGGGTCATGGCGATATTGAATGTAAGTAAAAACCACAAAGTTGACATAATTTCTTAATCGTGGTTTGTATAATTTGTGTCTTATTTTCAGCTAAAGATGATCAATTAAAAGAATGTATAGAAATGCAAAAGAGAAGTATACAAATGTTAGAAATGAAAGAAGCTCAATTGATAATAGAAATACAAACGTTAAAAGATACAGTTCAAAAAGTATATGTAAATTGTAAACGATTTTAGACGTATTTTTAATATAAATGATTGATTTTAGAATGTGGCAGCAGCAGCTTTAGATGTGACGTTTGAAAAGCCAAAACGCCCAAAAACGAAGCACGTATCATTAAAGGTCCCAATTAACGAAAAAAGTGAAGTATCGAAAGAAGACAATGACGAAACCCAAGAAACTAACCAAGAAAAAGACGAAAATGTAAGGATTTTACAACAAATAGATTGATGTGAAATTAAAATTGCGTAAATTTTTTGGTTTGTTTTAGAAAACTCCTCAAAGTGCGGTTTATAAATTAAAAGAAACTCTTACTCAAAACAATTTGTTTACACCTGACTTTGTAAGAATGAAAGAAATTCTTTTAAAAAATTATATTAATGCTTTCATAATTTTAGGAACCTGAAGATAATGTCGTTAATGATCCGGATTGGCATAAAACACCTTTAGCAAGAAAACTAAAGGCTAATAGAGGTAGGTCGAGATAAAACAGATATTTAGTAAAAAATCGTTTATAAATACGACTAATGACAATAGATAAAAATCAACTAGGATTATATTATGAAGTTAATCAACTTGATAATTTTGATACATTTTTATTATGAATTCCTTTTCCAAGAAACATTTTTTTTCTCCTAACTTATATAAAACCTGTAAATTGGATTTCTGCACTTAAAATACCTTGACTCTTACCAGTGTTATAATAAGGCGGAATTTATGTTTTAAATGTAGGCGATTTTTTCTTTTGTCGGTATAAACAACTGTTAAGTAACAACAAACAGTTTGTTCTTGATTTACTTTGCTTTATTGTTATTTAAAAGTTTGTTAATATGTAAATAATGTGTACAATGACTACTTGCTATACACTACAAAGCAGCATAGCGCAATACAGCTTAGCGTGGACAGAGTAGACAAAGAAGTGACCAAATATTGATTCTTGCTGTGAATATATGGAGCGCGCGTATGAACAAAACAACGATTGGGATATTTGATATCTTACGTTTGACTTTCACATATTCTATGGTAAATGAGCATATGTCTTGACTATACATATTTGCTGTAACATATTAAAAGCAAAACCCAGGGAAAAACCTTCTTCTTTGGTCGTTCCCACTTTATGTGAGCTCTCTTAATATTTCTGCGCCACGACATTCTGACCTGGGATGTCGGTTCAGATAAATTATTTTCTTTAGGGTGTTGGTTATATTGGTCCACCAGGGAGACCACTTCGAGTATCGCTTAATTTTTTAAGTGTGTAAATTTTCCATCTATTTACTGATGCTGCAAATAAAGTAAATATTTTTTGCAAGATTCCGAATAAAGATTAAAAGACTAAATTGTAATTGTAACATCCACATGGTACTACAAAGAAAGCTAACGAGTTAACGTCGGTAATTCTCTTTGTTTTTTCCTTTCATGTTGCTGCCATTATCATAACCATTTTCCCTGCAATCGCTAATATTAAGATTGAGATAACTCAATATGTGTATCCAGTTGTATCATGAATTTCCAAAAATGTAATGAAATATTCTTTAATTGTTACGGCATTCTCGGTTATATCAGTGCACTTTAATGTTAGGGAAAATGTTGCTTTTTATGGCTAATATCAGGAATAGCTAATATAATGTCAGCTATTATTGCAAAATGCTTTGAATCCTTTATGTGGCATAATATTGTGCATTTAACTTGCGTTGCCATTAACTCTATTTCAATTCAATTCATTTAGTATATTTTTGCCATAATAATGGTCAGCCAACTCAACNATGCTTTGAATCCTTTATGTGGCATAATATTGTGCATTTAACTTGCGTTGCCATTAACTCTATTTCAATTCAATTCATTTAGTATATTTTTGCCATAATAATGGTCAGCCAACTCAACTTTCATTGCTAATTTGGCATGCTCTTTCATGACAAGGTCAAACACCTTGCCAATAATTGTACGCGCCCTAGAAATTTCCCATTATTTGAGATAAATAATTTATCAAAAGATTCTCTGAAAGCCAGATTATTTTCAGCTAAATATAATGCAATCTGCTCAGTCGTTGAAGCACATTTTTCCATCGTAATCTTTCCTTAGAAATTAATTTTTGTGTTTCTTTGTCTATAGTTGATCCAGTTTTTAATCTAATTTCAGCTTCAAATAACTGATTTAAAACTTAACATAACATTGAAACTTAACTAAACTACAGGAGAAAACAGCAAAGAAAATGGGAGTATTTCAAAAAGAAATATCACAGTATTACATTTATTGTTGCTTTATGTTATTGGCTACTTAATAGATTTGCGAATGTCCCTTGATCCTGGCGTCCCTAAAGCCACCACTGTATTAGTACTTTATACATGTTCATCTCTACAGTGCGTGAAAGTTTAAATGAAATAATTTGAAGTGTCCATAGCATCTATTTGCAACTTGTATTCTTTCATTTATTGCATTCATAATCGTGTTTCAGGAGGCAAATATAGCACCTAGGTACTTGAAGTTCTTGACACCCTGAAAGCTGTAGTTGTTAGAACATTTCTTACTTTCGTCCATTGACACCTTCATACATTTTTGTTTCGTTTATCAAGCGTCTCATCTGTTTCAGAACACTTCATTTTCCCCTGACATGACTCATAATCAGTATGTCATNTATTTCAATTCAATTCATTTAGTATATTTTTGCCACAATAATGGTCAACCTTCCATTGCTAATTTGGCATGCTCTTTCATGACAAGGTCAAACACCTTGCTAATAATTGTACGAGCCCTAGAAATTTGCCACTATTTGAGATAAATAATTTTTCAAAAGATCCTCTGAAAGCCAGATTATTTTCAACTAAATATAATGCAATCTGCTCAGTCGTTGGAGCACATTTTTCCATCGTAATCTTTCCTTGAAATTAATTTTTGTGTTTCTTTGTCTATAGTTGATCCAGTTTTTAATCTAATTTTAGCTTCAAATAACTGATTTAAAACTTTGGATACATTGAAACTTAACTACAGAAGAAAACAGCAAAAAGAAAATCAATCAGCTAAAACTATGCTCTTTTCAGTAACATCATAATTAAGTATAGTTTGTATTTAAAAAAATATAACTTTATGTTGTATCTCAAAAATCATCAAGTATGTATAAAATTTTTCAACGGCAGTATATTCTACTTAAAAAAGTGTCTTATCAACCCCATTTCTCTAATTTGAAAAATAAACGAAATATGAGCATTTTTTGAAATCACGAAAATTTAACTTTTTGGCTATAACTTAAAAACAAAAGAAGATAGAGATTTGGTCTTTACGGGATTGGATTAGTCTCGGAAAAAGAGACAGAGACATAGCACCTACTTTTTTCGTATCTCTTGTAGTTTCTGAGATAGCCTACAATAACACCCAAATTTGCCCACCCTGTACATGTTCATCTCTACAGTGCGTGAAAGTAAGTTTTTCTTCAAACGTCATGAAATGACAACTTTGTTGACGTGTTTACTCGCGGTAGAAGTAAGTCACGTTTGCTAAGATCAACATAGCAAAAAAGTACTTCAGCGTTATGGCGCTAAAGTAAATTTCACTTTAGCGCCATAACATAAAAAAATTTAAAAAAAAAAAATTTTTGTCATCGCCGGACACGCCACAATTTTAACGGCTGTCAATTTTAACGACAGACCACGCCATAAAAAAACACTGCTTCTCTTCCATATAAAATAATATACTATTAAATGAAATAATTTTAAGTGTAAATTTGCAATTTGTATTCTTTCGTTTATTGCATTCATAATCGTGTTTCAGGAGTCAAATATAGCACCTAGGTACTTGAAGTTCTTGACATCCTGAAAGCTGTAGTCCTTGTTAGAAGATTTCTTACTTTCGTCCTTTGACACCTTCATACATTTTTGTTTCGTTTATCAAGCGTCCCATCTGTTTCAGAACACTTCATTTTCCCCTGACATGATTCATAATCATTAATATGTATGTCATTAATAAACTTGCTCCTCTGTCAAGGTCACCAAGAGTGCCCGCTGAGTGCAGNAGTCCTTTCTTCTTTCCAGCAACTTGTTATCAGTTCATGTAATCTTCTTACTGTTGCTTTTCTACTAATTTTTAAGACCTCAGCAGCGATGTTATCTTCTCCTAGGGTCTTGTTTTTCACCACTACATTTCTTTATTATATAATTGAATTATTTTTAAAATTATTTATGTGTTTTAGAAGTTCTGGAGAGACCTAAAAGAACATCCGAAGGTGGTTGTTCTTGCAAAACGAATTGTTCAAGTAGAAACTGCGGATGTAGAAAAACTGGAAGAGTTTGTGATGAACGTTGTAAATGTCGCGTTGAAAAATGTACATATAGACAAGACAATTTCAATCAAAATGTAAGATAGTATCGATTATCTTCAAAAATATGTATTAATTTGTTTTATTATTATTAGGGATCAACCGAACAAACCATGCAAGAGGACGACGATGACGATGATTTTTTGGTACAACCTCCCAAGTATGTATTTAAAGTTTTCAATTGAGTTTAAAGTTTGACTGCTTTATTTTTTTTTAAGATTAAACGTGGATGAAAGTTTAAGCAGGATAAAACGTAAGAAAAGAGCTAAACAAGAGACATTAAGATTATAAAAGAATATTTTAATTTAAGAATTTTTAACTTTAAAAGTGTATTAACGTTTTAGTGTATTTATATTATTTTGTGAATAGATGTGATAATTTTATAGTATATTGATATTAATTAAAAGATGTACTTAGCAATATATTTTTTTAAATAGCAAGAATGGTTATAATAAAGAAATTGCATTATGAATGATGTTTTAATTTATTTTAACTGGTCTTCAACAGAAGAATCTAACAAATTTTCGCTTTTTTACCTTTCCTTTTTTTTTAAGAAATTATTTTTCTAAATTAATTGGATCAATAACTGGTTCTTTAAAAGTAAATGTAGGGAATTTGGTCATATCAACGCCTGGACCACCTCCGTATTGTTTTGAAGCCTTTTCTAATTCAGATTTAAGTTCTTTTTCAATAGCCGGGCTAGGCTCCACTAGATTTTTACCACTAAACAAAGAAATACAATTAAATAATGGTACAAACTTATAGAAACAACATACCCTCCACTTTTTTGGTTGTACTCCCTGAGTTTATCAACAAATAATTGTTGAATTGGGTCTGTCGCTTTTTGTAAGCAAGGGGCCAAAATGCCAATGTTCCTCTGACAGATGGCACCTTTAACGTGGTGTTTTACACCGGTTAAAACCTGGTTGTAGAGCATCTAAATGAAAAAGGAAAATTTTTAGGTTAGGTTATGTAATGAATTTAGAACTTTTATTACAAAGTAAATCATCGCACGGAATAAATAAGAAAGGTTACGATTAATATTAAGATCTATTTTGTATTAATTAATAAGATATTAATTATTTGAGTTTTTTACCTTTTCAAATTTTAATAATTTTATTGATTTTCACTCAGGAGAACTGATGGTGAATTTTGACAGCTGAGTGAAGTTGGTAGCGCCGGATAGTTACGTAACCACCTCCTTAGTAACGAAACGGCGGGGATTTTAAATATTAAATTTATTAATCTTTTAATTCATTTTTAAATTTGTTTGTTATACTAATAAAGCTATTTTTAGAATTAATTTATAATTAAAAATGTAAAAAATTGAATTTATTTTTATGTTATACCCAGTCTTAATAGGCAACCTTATCTGCGCTTAAACACCACCTCTTTTAATGTGTTTATTAATATCTTTTATATTTTTTTTTTTTATTGGGGTTAACTATATAAAATATACACTTAAATAAATTTAAATTTACAAAATATTATTTAAAAATATTTTTATATTTATATTAGACAGTTTAGAAACAATACAAATTAACCGATCGCATAGGCAACCCAAACTACACGTAAGTAACGTTCCGTGCGTGATGTTTATTAATATTTTTTTATAATATTCCGTGAAATGCGGATAAACACTAGCAGAGTAATCGGGGAAATAACCAAAACAATACGATCGGGTGGTATAACGAAGTGTATAATCAACAAAAAGGGGCAGAGCTGCCGAATTCCTTGGTGAACGCCACGACGATGCACATTCAGTTCATGTATGGACTCGCGAAAAACTCTTAGCAAGGAGTTTTTGCGATGGTATCGTATATTTAGAACGCCAGTTGAAAATGAAGCTCTATTTAGTGAAAAAGCAACGCCGTTAATAGTTAATCCGTTTTTATTAACCATTGGGATTGTACAGTTATGGATTATGATAGAGGGAAACGAGGGAGAACTCCTAACCGACGATTTACAAATAGAGGCTATCGCAGAGGAAATATGTAAGAATTATTTGGTTTAGTCTTATTATTCGATTATTAGCATATTTATCTTATAAACATAAAAGTGCATTATTGTTTATTTGTTGTTTTGAAGTTGAAATTTAATATAATACCCAATATAACTTCCGAATTCTTTTATATATATTTGTTTTTAAATAACTTCGAAAGTTCTTGGAAGATTAGAAATAAAACTAGAAACTTGTTGGTGTTCTTCTGAGTTTATTAAAATTATTTTGACATTTTGAATGTCAGGTTGAAATAATCTCAAGAAACAAGTTTGAAGGGATAAGTTGGTAAAAAGGTTGCAATGTATATGTAAGTAACTTATTAATAACTAATTATTAATTATTTCGTAAAATTTTCTAGGTTCAACTGACCTTTATATTCATCTGGTTCAATATTATTATAGTGGAAATAAATTGCTTCTCCAATTTTCTGATTATAACAGAGAGAGAGCTCTGATTGTGTGGAACCCCATATTGTGGTGTTTTCTATAGCAATGTTCTTCATTTACTATAAAATACCATGTTTTAAATGTATTATTGCTTTTTCTTAAAGAAAAATAGTAACTTTGTACTAATTAGAACTTGCTAAATGATATGCAGAATTTCTCTTTGATTATTAACAAGAGACTTTAATAATTTTAACCAATTTTCTGTGCTTTGCTTATTATTTGGTTATTATTATTATATATGACTTTCTTGAACTTCTTCATTGCTGCTAGTTTTTGAAACATTTTGCAAAATAGTTGTAAATAACATGACAAAAATTTATACTCTAGAAAACTGTTCCAAAAGCAATTCACTTATTTCAAGGTACAGGTTATTTCAAGGTACAATCCACTTAGGGGAAAGTGTTGTACTTTGGGACGGTTGTACCTAGAGATATATGGCGATAATAAATAAATAAGCAAATTCAACCATTTTCACAAAATATAGTTCCGCTTTTATGATACAGTTTACAGTTTGTTTTGAGAAGTGTATGTTGTTCATATAACATGTGTTTACATTTTCTGAAGTGAAAAAGTAATTTTTCTTAGTTGTGGTTAATTAAAAATAGTTTATACAGATTTATAGCTGTGTAAATTCCGTATTATACAGATAAGATCACTGCGTTGTTCAATAAGTTTAAACCTAAAATCATGTTTTTAAATTAACCCCAAAGGAAACAGCAGCAATATAACCATTCTCCTTATAGGATGTTGTACCTCAGGACATTAGTTTCGTTGTACCTCAGGCCATGTCCCAATAGCTATCATTTTTCATCCCAGAAAAATGCTTACAAGTAAGCAAGGAAAAACAAGGCCTGCAATAGATGTTGGAGAATTGGAAAGAGCTGTGAGGTTACAGATAACAATGCAAAAGTGTGAACTGCGGCTAAAATGTTTGGAATTTCCAAAACTATTCTTTTTCGTCATGTCTCCTTACATCGGTCACAAATTGAGAATAATGGACGCAGAAATCCAAATAATACAGGCTATGTTTATACATCAAAAAATGATACTCAAAGAGTGTTTTCTGTTAACTTGTTACCACGACCTATAAGTTCTATTGTAACTTTAAACCTCCAAAGGTTTAGGGCAAATGTAGGTCCTTGATGAAATATTGTCCTGAGGTCTTGAATTTTTATGTAGGTAACAAGGGAGTTTTACCGAAAATGTTGTGTCTTAGACGGCCTCTGGCGACGCAATTGCACAGTATACAGTATGTCCCCGGATCGAGTTACAAAGAGGAAAAAAAAAATTTATTACTGATTTTTCAAACTTATCTCAGCATAAATAATGCGTCGGATATGTTCAAACCACTAAGTCGCACGAACTTTATATTCTAACTATAGAAGTTAACTAATTATTCCCATTTTTATGTAAAAATTATACTTTTCCTAAATTAAAAATTTTTCAAGTTCAATTTACGATATGTAACCATAGAAACCAATAAAATAAAAGTTACAACTTATGTTAGTAAAAATATACGGACAAATCAACAACATCCGCGAATGGGACTTTAGGGGTGAATTTGACCCCGATGGGCACTTCTGAAATTGATGAAATTTTAGGATGATTTAGAGGATGCCTTTAGCGATTTAAATCGACCACCAAAACACCGTAACCCTTAACGGTTTTCGAGAAAAAAATTGTTGTTAGATTCTATACGTATTTAGCGCGGCGCGGACTTTGGGGGTGAATGAATTGATGGGCACTTCTGAAATTGATAAAATTTTAGGACGATTTAGAGGGTGCCTTTAGCGACTTATATCGACCGACCAAACACCGTAACCCTTAACGGTTTTCGAGAGAAAAATTCTTATATTCTATAGTTTCTATACCTACACTTGTAAATTTGATGAAACTTTAGGATGATTTGGAGAGTGGGTTTTTGATAGAAAAAAACTTTTAATGGAGATAGAAATTGATTATATCAATTGTCTGTATTGCATATAACAAAATTATGTAACGAATGGAGAATACTATAGTTACTTGCTACCGAGTTCCACACCGTTTGCAACCCTTGCTCATTTAAGTGAATGCCGTCCCTGTGTAGAAATTTATATTAAATACATAAAAAACGTTACGTTCACAGATTCGAAGTTTTTGCAGAGAGGAATTGTGCATATTTGTATTCCTTTAGGATTTAAGGAAAGAAGGAAGCGGAAGAGGTGAGAATATTGGGACTTTAGTTGGAATAGAGATGTTTTGTGGAGTATATCGTTAGTTCCTATCATTATAAAGATATGTCGTTCAACAATATCTCCACAATACCAAGGAGAACATGTTTTTGGAATATACTGCGCGTCGCAATAGTTTTAATATTGCTTGACCGGCTGTTGCTAAGTTGAGGAAATATTTTCCGTTTTGATCATAAAAGATGTGAACAAAATTTTTATTGGCTTTTTATTGGCAGACGACGACGATTTGGAAAAACCTATTATGAAAAATGCTATGAGCAAAAATGCCTATCTTCAAGTAAAGTCTTACATACATTTTTGGAATAATGCCAAAGCTAATGAAAGTAAGGGCGATAAATGGTTTAAGATTAGACCGTTGTTAGACATAGTAAATGCAACTTTTCAAAATTTTAGTATTTCTTAAGAAAATGTCTATACATGAAATGATTGTAAGATATTACGATCACCACTCACCACTTGCTAAAAGTTCATAAAGGGTAGGCCAATACGGTTTGGTTATGAACTCTGGGCACTTTGTGGTGAAGATGGATATTTCTATTTCTTTCGCTAACTAATTGATATAGTCCAAAAAGCTGTTGCTTATATTTGACCCAAATCGTATTAGTTACGGAGTTATTAATGTTTTAAGTTTATGACTGGGATTTATGGATAACTTCACACCAGTGATGGAATAAGTTAGCTTTCCCTCAAAGCAATATTTTAGCAGTTATTGACATAAAAATGATTTTTTTAAATGGAACACCTCGTATATGTAAATTCGACGAGAGCATAAAATTTCCTTTCCAAAAGTATAGCACACTGGATATTTCGCTCAAGTCTTCTTTGAAACATACAACTTTCGAGTTTTGCCGTGCGTCTTTTAAGAAAAGGTTTGACGTTTCGGATGCTATGTTGCAACCTTCTTCAGAAACTGGTTTATTCGGATTATTTTCCATTACTCCTAAAACTACTACTTCTTCTAATTCCCCGTCTTCATTCGGTGTATAAGTTGTGAATCTTTTCTTTTCGAATTGACCGCTAGTTTATAGATTATATGTATCACAATCTTCTAAAAATATCATTAAAAGTCTGTTTCTCTGAAACCGTAACAGATATCGATTTGCGGTTTTCGTCATTAAGTTTCTTATAAAAATCGAGCCTCAGACACTGATATCATTTTTCCCCTATCTCTTATAGAAAGGAAAGTTTCCATTTAAAAGTGTCCAATTTGGCCCACCCTGTACATGACTTTCTTGAACTTTTTCATTGCTGCTAGTTTTTGAAACATTTTGTAAGTCTGCAAAATGGTTGTAAATAACATGAAAAAATTTATAGTCTAGAAAACTGTTTCAGAAAAATTCGCTTAATTCACTTTGTCAACAAAGGGATGGTATAGAAGTTATGGAATTTCAAAATATACATAACACAGGGCAACACTGTTTCTGTGGCATGGGATTTATTAGTCAATTTTAGGTAATTTTGGTCTGTTGAAGACGAAAATAATAATATTTTTGTTGAATGGACTCTACTTTTAGAGATAAACGTAATCCACTTATACTGGAAATTAAATTTTAAAAAGAGGAGAATATTTTTTAGATTGTTTACTTTAAAATTATCATATGATTTCAAACAAACAAAGTGCTATAAATGATACAAAGAATAATAAAATTAATCATAAAACACAAAAACATAAGAGTTAAAAAAACGTTTTGTAAATTCCAGCAGTAGTCTGCCATCACCTTCTTTTGTGGTTGTAACTACAGGCTATGTCTAAATTCATGTTAGGATTAGTGGTATCAAGTCCTATGGCATGTGGTTATTGGTACAATAGAATTGCACATAGTAAGATTACGTTTTGGACATGGTTCAAAATAATTCTCAAGTGACTATATGGTGATCTTATTGGCCTTGATACCTTTCCTCCATAACCTTGGTGTTTTGGTGGAACCGTTCCCCTTGTTCTTTGCTGTAATCACAATATACCATGTCTTTCGAAAAACACATGTTAATGATGGCAATCATGAGAACCAGAGTCAATTCAAACGAAATAATTTATAGGCCAAGTACTTCATAATCATATGTATCTCTGTATATAAATTGACTCCATAAACTTATGCCTTAGAAAAAAATTTTTTTGTTGTTTCCCTGTGTAATTTATTGTTTAAAGATAAATCAATATGGTGAATCAATGTTATCACTTGGAGAATATTCTGTAATACTGGAAACAAACAAATAAAGAGATCAAATAGGAAAATTTTTAAAGAACACTTATAGGATAAGAATAACATCTTACTTTAGGGACAAGCCCTGTTTGTTTCCATTTCTATTCTTCCTTCCTCTTCTCCCTTCTTCCCACATCCGTTCCTATGGGTTGTTATCTTGTGATGATAACCTCAAACTCTAATGCCAGCGTTTATGTGGTCTTCTTCGGAGTCACCTCGTGTCTGAGCACATCCTGTTCCCGCTTCTTACCTTGTCACACAGATTTAAGCCTGTCATAGTTCTTAGGGTTTTCATCTCTGTAGCTCTCATGACTTGTTTGTTAGTTGATGGCTTTGGAAATGACCATTGATTGTGTTTTCTGGGTAGAAATTTGCATGTTAATTGTTCTGCGGTGGTTTTCAGTTTGAACAGCAGATGTTGCAGATCATCTTCATTCTCCGCCTACATCGTCAGCGTAGTCATGATCTGTATTTTACAATTTACCATGTTGGAACCTATGGTCTATAACGATATAAAAAGCGGAGGGCTGAGACTATCCACCTGTCTGATGCTGGTTGATACGGAGATTTCCTGCGTTAGTCCAACGCGGGTTTTAATTCTTGTTCTATTTACCGTATTCAGTTCCTTTATAAAGGGCCGGTTGTACAATCTACTGTTAAATCTACCTGATAACTATCAGGCCAATAAACTTATCGTGAGGACAAAGGTATTCGCTGTTGTATAAACTGTTTTTGTCAGTAGGATTGCTATCGGCGAAATAAGAGTCGGTTGGTAGTACTTTTTCCCCATTTCTAGTAATTTGTGCCATAGGTTGGTAACTCTAATGTCTTTCTTTGAAATTTGATCTATGATTTTGACAACAATAGTAATTGTTTAAAAAAAATTTTCACTACACATAACTGACAACATACGTATAGGATGTTATAGGTTAATCTATGCAGTAACCATACCAAGTTTTTATATAAAATCCTGAGTAGCCATATATATCTGGCGGATAACTGTCTTATCGGCACCGCTGAATACCCGATAAGTTATCCTGCCGATAATCTCGCCAACAAAAATTTCCGTGCATTGTAATACAGTACAAACTAACTTATCGGCGAGATAACACTGTCTGGAAGTTTATCAGCATATTGTACAACCGGCCCTAAGTCTGTTACTCGTATATCGATGTTATTTTCTTGTAGTATTCTCGATACAACACCAAGCTACAACCCAAGCATTCGAAAGGATACTTTCGAATGCTTGGGTGATATCGCCAAAGCAGAAGTGGAGGGGCTTATTTTGAACTCTGGATATATCTGTAAATCCTTGCTGTTCTTCACTTATTCCGCTTTGTATTGTTATTTTGTGGGCTATAATCTTTATGAACAATTTTAGAATGCTACACAAAAGACTTACTCCTCTGTAGTTTCTTGAATATTTTTTCTGACCTTTCGTGAGTATGGGTCTGGTATACTTCCAAGATTCAGTATTTTTTGAAATAGAGTGGTTATTTCTTTTGTAAGTTCTTGTCCACCGTATTTAATCATCTCGTTAATATTTCGTCGGCGCCTGGTGATTTGCGGTTTTTGAGTTTTGATATTTTAGTGGTTACGTTACGCCGTCTTGAGTAATATCTATTTCCTTGTCAGTATTGTCTTGATAATTCATAATTTCCGTTATTTCCTGCTCATCCTTGTCCGTGTTATTTACAACTGCTTGGTACAAACAAATGTACTGCTAAGGAAGAAATGTCAATTATAGTAAGATATATTGAATCGGCAAATCTACTTTTTAGTTTAAACATCTAGGTTAATAAGGTTCCCTCTTTAATAAGTAACCAGAAATTAACTGCGTGTGCTCTAGCCAAGCTTAACCTGCTTGGGTCTATCGAAAGTTATCTGCTGGTCTCTTCTGGCAATGTATAATGAGATACATTTATTATTTATGTTCTCAACGACTAGCCATATTTTATTTAGTTTGGGCCATTGATGTATTTCAGCATTGTAGTCTTCATTGTTGCAAAAACGTTCGCAATGTTAAAACGTGTAACTTTTAAACAGTATTGGGAGACCGTGATCTTAATGCCAGTCCTAATTACTGTTGAAAAAACATATTCGTTTCCCCAATAGTTGTTTTGAGATGGAGAATCTGCAATATGGAACTGTTTTGCGATATATTGGCATATTACATGTTATTTATCCCTTACCTGATTATTGTGGAATACCATAACTAATTGTGGATACAATAATGTTGCAATGAACCATCTATCTTCTTAATCTTTTCACTTTTGAGTAGTTAATATTGTGTCAAGTCACTAACATCGGTGTTTATGATATGATGCATCTGTGTACTACTATGGTTATAACAAGATTTAGTTATACAAAATTATGTTAAGTTGTTTTTTGGGAAAATTACAAGCTTCGAAACGTCAAATATTAAGTTAATATTAAGTATTTTTTAATAATTACATGAGAGATCAAAGAAAATATAAGAGAAAATTTTGTTAGCATTGTGTTGATTCGAAATTGACTCTGTGTTGTTCCTGTTGGTTCTCTTTGGAAAGAGATAGATGTTTCGCCAAGATCTCACCTGGCATCTTCAGCGCGTTGTCGACATTCTGCCCTGAAGATGCCAGGTGAGATCTTGGCGAAACGTCTGACGCTTTCCAAAGGGAACCAACAAAAAAAACGGGTGAAATCTCGGATCGACCACAACAACACATACTTTTCCATCCGTGAAGCACTACGCATTACCGATATTGATTCTATCTCAACTAACTTTATGATGACATGTTATCGAATCTAGTGCCTCGACTATATTAAATGATATGATTCATATGTTTAAAATAAAGTTAATAATTTAATTTCTAATTTATGTATCTTTTATTGATTACAGGAGAGGAAATTATTATCCTTGGAGACCTAACTGGTCACATAATAATCATTATAATTCTCACTATTCATATCCACCACGTCCACCAAAACCTGTATCTCCACTTCCCGGTACAGAAGAATACAGACAAAGAAACATTCAACAAACTTCAGAATTAATTAAAAAACAACTCAACATAGATGGAAGTGTGTGTACTGAAGTTAATGTTGTTTCACCCAACGAACCACAAACAGCCGAAAATGTTACGGAGCAGAAGAAAGAAGAAACTTCTCAATCAAGTGTAAACGTAGATCAAAAGAAATTGAAGAATAAGAAAAATCAAGTCGAAGAGGAAGCAATTGACGTTATAGAAATCTACGATAAAATAATTAAACACATTTCGAATATGAGTTATTCGAAAAAACTGAATTTAATAAATCAAAGTAGTTCAGGTTATGATATCGCGATTCAACAGATTCAAAAACAGAAACAGTTGGAATTATCAAAAGCTTTACGCGATATGAGTCAAAGACCTATTTTGGAGACAGATGAAGAAGTCATTCAATCAATTATTCCCGATATTGGGATTAAAATTGAAGATTTACCAAATGATGTTATCAAAGAATTATCGAAGACTTTACAAATTAAATTTGAAAATGACGAAACTGACATGGAGGTTGAAGAATCAAAAGAGTCTCAAGTTATTGATATGACAATAAGTCCTGAGCATATTAATAAAGATACAATTGTTAAAAACGTAATTAGCGAAAAAACAAGTACAAAAGTTGAAGATAAATCGGAAAAAGATGGTTTAATTGATAATATATTCGATTTTGAATATTTGAATAAAACCGAGAATTACGACGATAATTATGAAGAAACTAAACCTGAAATTGTTTCGGGAATCGGGGATGAATCTGAATTTTCAATGGCTAATATTGATGTTACTAAGTCTTATTTAGATATGTCAATGGGTTTAGATTTTAATAGAAGCTCTGGATCTGGTGTAATTCGTATTAAAACTGATATATTTCAATCACCACAAAAAGAAAAAATAAAGCTAAATCTGTTGAAAAACTTACCAAACCCCAAATTGTGTACTGAAAATACAGAAAATGTTTCAAAAAACAATTCGAATGAAAATAAAATTTGTTCTCCCAAACCAATATTAGAAAAAGAAACTCCAAAAGAAAATTTGGTTATAACAAATAAGTCACCTATATCAAGGGACTCTCCAGGACCTTCAAACACAAATAATTTATTAAATCAAAACGATTCAAATCCATCTAATAAATCAACATTGGAAGAAAACAAAATTGTTTCGCCCGTTTCAGCTTCATTTGATCGTATTATTCAAACTCATTTTTCTCCTTTAATACGTGATGTTCAAACACCAACGAATCAATTATTAACAACAGAACAACCTAAAAAATGGAAATCACCAGGTGAAAAGAAAATGCTCCCTTTGGAAAATAACCAATCGAAAACGCCACCTTCAACGGAATTAAATCAAATGAATCAAGTAAATCAATCAAGTGAATCATCAATAAAAGAAAAGGAGATTGTATCAGAAGAAAAAAAGCTTGGTGAAGATAAAAATGTAATTGATGATAAAAATAAATATAAAAAGAAAAAGAAACAAAAAACTGAAAAAATCAAACCCGTTGAAAATGAAAATAAACAATCAAAAAATTCGAAAACATCCCAAGATAATTTAGTTACTTTTAAGGACATGAGTACCATGGTTAATTTTGATGCGAAACATAAACGTAAAAAGAGAAACATTGAGGTTCAAACCGATTCAGATTCGAATTTCTTATTAAAACCAAAAGAAATTAAAGAAATATCAACAATGACCGATTCAACCACCAATTTAGTTACAGTTTCTGCACAAACACCAATGAAATTTTTTAAGAAAAACTATCAAACCAAATCAAATCAAACTTTATCAATAAATTGTAAAAGTATTGAAATCCAAGCAACAGAAAAAATGAAAACATCTTCAACACAAACAGATTATTTAAAAGAACCGGATGATCAAAAAAGAAAAAATTGCGCGTTATTAGCTCAATTAAGATTAATGCAACAAATTGATGAAGAAATTAGAGAATTGTTAATTAAAAAGAAATCGTTGTATGACAATTTAGAAGTATTAACTAAAGGTGATTATGCATCTAAAAGTGATAATGGAACTAAAAGTGATGTTTTAAGTAAAGGTGATAACGTAATTAAAGGTGAGAATGTAATTAAAGGTGATCATTTAGTTAAAGGTGATCACTCAATTAAAGGTGATCACTTAATTAAAGGTGATCACTCAATGAAAGGTGATCACTCAATGAAAGGTGATCACTCAATTAAAAGTGATCATTCAATTAAAGGTGATCACTTAAATAAAGGTGATCATTCAATTAAAGGTGATCACTCAGCTAGAAGTGATCACTCAATTAGAGGTGAACATGGAACTAAAGGTGATAATTCAACTAAAAATGACAACGTAATTAAAACTAATAGAAAGAGAAAAAGTAGAAAACAAGAAAAAATCAGTGAACAAACTAAAATTGAAAAAGTAATTGATGAATCACCAAATAAACTTGATCCGATTAAAATGAACGAAGATGAAAATATTTTAAAACTCGCCGAAACGAATCAAATTGACTCAAATATATCACAAATCGAACAGGAAGTACAAGATATCACAATGAGAATGAAACCGAAAACTAAAGAGATTAAAGATAAAGAACGTATTCCACAATCTCCAATACAAAAGGAACAACAAAAACCTTCCTCAACTTTATCATCAACAGATACAAGTAAAGAAAAACCATTAAAGCTTAGTTTAAGAATTGAGAAAGATGAAAATAATGTTAAAAAATATTCGTTAAAACGGGATCGAAGTTTGAGTAAAGATAAAGATCAAAAAGTAAGTTCTTTATCAACTGAAATAATCGATGAAATTGCTCCTGAAATAAATGTGCCGGCTGATAAGCGTTATAAGATTAGTAAAGATGTTGAAAGGTTGGTTTATAATGATAATAAGTTTATGAAAAGGTGTTGTGTGAAATTGAAACCGTTGAAAAGTAATGAGTACTTTAAGGATAATTCGACGGAAAACGAGTATGAAAAGACGTTGGAGAATCTTGAAGGGAATAGTCGTAGTCCGGGTATACATAAAGAAATTCATTCGGGGAGAAATTCGGCGATGTCGGAACATCTTGGGGAAGTTTCGCCGCATTCTTCTTGTTCGACATCGTCGAATATTTCGGGAAAACCAAAGTCTAAAGTTATTGATAAGTTGGAATTTAAGGGGTTGACGGGATCAATATTTTCTTTAAAGGTGAGTTTTTACTTTATCTTTATTTTACTTTATTATACTTAATTTATTAAGTTCAGTTGAGTATTGATTAATTGCTGTTATTATTATGAAATTGTGTAACATGTAGACGCGGGCAATAAAGTATAAAAAATGCCTTATTTTTTAACTTATTTTATACGAAATCCGTTGGGAGCAACTAAACAAGAACGATGTCAAGCAACATCAACAAGATGCTCAGCAGAAATCGTCATGTGAGTGTTTATCATGCCAAGTTTTGGAAAGATTTGAAACTGCGTTGATGACAAAAAGGCTTGCTCGTTTATTTTAAAAGTTTTATATCTATAAATAAGGTAACTTAAAAACTTAGATATATTAATATACAATTAAAGCATATAACTCTTAGATGTTGCTTAACATCGTTCGTCTTCAGTTGCTCCCAGCGCATTTCGTATGACGAAAATAAGTTGCAGAAAAGTAAACTAATTTGAAAATTAATTACAACAACTAGTCATCAAAGTTCCAATTACATTCAAAGAGTGGGTTAAACAAGGTATAAATGAACCATGTTTATCAGAAAGGGACCAACTGCCTAAGTATAAAAATGGCAGGATATCGTTCCAAAGTTAAAACATTGTAGATGCTGACATATTAAAGATTTTATTAATATTTTTATTTTATGAGTATCATATATTATGCTTAAAAAATTCTAATTATTTTTTTACAGTTTTAGTACTTAGTTCCTTTCTGCATAATATTTAAATAGACAAGATTAGTTTTTCAGAATGAAAGTATGACAGATAAATAATTTAATTAAACAAGTGTTTAGAAACTCATTTATTTTTCATGTTACAAAAAATTAAACTAAACAGTATTTTAAAACAAACCAAATTTTTGTTGAATACAATAATAAATGTATTTATGCTTCTTCATTACCTGGCTCTGGCTCAAAATCGAGGTTTTCGCCAAAGCCATCTAAATCGTCGTCAAAATCCATGCTTTTCAGGTTCTTGTAGAAATTTTTAGCATCCAATGGAATAAAGGGCATTAAAGACTTAATAATGTCCTGCAACTTTTTGTTGAAATTTCTGTACCGTTGGGCCAAAGATTTTTAAGTCGTTCTTAAAAGTAAATGGAGCCTGTCTTTCTGGATTTTTCTAAAGCAATACTTCATGGAACTCGCCATTTTCATTATGAGTGTATTTTAAGAAAATTTAAAATGGTTTGTCTTTTTCTAATTTTGTTACTCTGGTTTTTAACCAGCTAACCTTGTTTTTGTTTTTGTCTATTTTTCGGTTAGTAATTTATTTTTTCTAAGTTTTCTACAGAGAAAAAATGATCTGTGCTCATTTTTGTTATAATCAGTGGGGTTTTTCGCTTGCAATGTTTCATTATATTGAGGTAATCTTGCGTCGTATAAATTCTTTGGTTTAATTTTATTGCCTTTTCTATGTCCGAAAAATCTGAATCATTTGGTAGATAGCTCTGGCTAAATATTAAGTACATACTTAAAATAGATATTTTTAATGTAGGGTGGCAGCTAAGTATGTGCTAAAACGATTTTAACGTTTTTGGTTTGGCCACCACAGCTATCTGATCACATTATTAGAGTTTCTGTATTCCGCTCCAAAAAAAGTTCTATAAATCTTTTTAGACATGACCTCACTAGGCCAGAAACTCCTCTTCTGACCTCTCCTTCTTTCCATATAAAACGGTACCTCTTTATTTCCAAAGTATATGCCCTCATTATAGAGCCAGAGTGAAAGTTTGTCCCTTAAATTTTCTTTTTCTTACTAGATGGGCTGTTGCTATTTTTAGATGTAATATCTTCACAGCTACTATTCTCAGAAGACGGTTGATAATCCGAATCATCTTGTGTATGATGATCTTCAGGAACTGTAATTTTATTTATTCCGATTTCCGGCGAAGCATTAGGTGTTATTTCAGGGTTAATTTTTCCGACTCAGAATAGAATTTGTTATTGCTCATATCTTCGGAAGGTATATTTTCACTTGTCAAAATCCAAAGAAAAAGACTGAGTCGGCATTGGGTAGGTATTTAAGGTTCCAACTACTATTATTTACATATTCAATATGTTTGCTGTATCTTACAGCTACTACTTCCTCCTTCACTTTTCTCGAATTATTATTAATAAATATCATAAAAACTAATAAACCAATATTTGATTGTAAGATATCATTGGATTCGTACTTTTTAGTTATGTTAGAAAATGTTATAATATAAGGGTGTTCCATTTAAAAATCAAGGTTANAGGAATTTAACCATTTCTACTATGCATAAGCTTTTTCAACAAAAACACCCAAATGTCGTGTTGAGTTTCTCTTTTTATAGAAGTTATTTTCGTGAAAATTTCAACTTTTCCTTCGGTAGACCCCAGGTTGATGTGTGTTCGACTTGCGAACTGCTAAACAATAAAATAAAAAACAAGAACCTAAATGATACTGCTAAGCGGACAGCAGTAGCTGAATTGATGGTCCACAAGCGACGAAGTAAGAAATTTTACTCAAAAGTAAAAAGTGAAACCGAGAATTGTGCAGATTCAGAAAATGTCTTGGCTTTGGCATTTGATTATATGCAAAATATTCAGTTGCCAAAGTCACCAGTTGGCGAAATTTTTTACTACCAACAGTTGACAGTATCGGTTTTTTGCATACATAATTTGAAGACCAACCAAGCTAGGATGTATATATACCATGAGGGACAGGCCAAAAAAACAGCAAATGAGATTTGTACATTTCTTACGGATTACCTAAAGGAATTCAAGAAATATCACAAGGAATTACATCTATTTAGTGATAACTGCTGGGGCCAAAATAAAAACCATACTGTTATTCGAATGCTCCTGTCGCTAACAGATTGTAGTCTATTTGAAAAGATAATTCATTACTATCCTGTTAGGGGACATTCCTTTCTTCCCTGCGACAGAGACTTTGCTCTGGTGAAAAAGAATTTAAGAAAATATGACAGAATATCTACGGATCATCAAATCACCGAACTTATTGTTAGCAGTAGTACTAAAAAGTATGATAAATTTTCCGTTAAAGAAGTAGACACTACAGATATAGTGGATTTTGCAAAATGGTGGCCAAAATTTTATAAAAAAACTTGTATTTCTGAACAATCAAAAAGACTATCACGCAATGAACGAGTTAACTTTAATATTAGCAAATTTTCATGTTTCAAATATAACTGTGAATTGAAAGGTCAGGTTCAAACTTATGACTTTATTGATGGTTTGGTAACACATACATTTAATTTGTCGCGATCTGGGCTAAACATTGTGGGTTCTGGTCCATCCTTACCGTCTACCAAAGCGTACCCTAGTGGCAAAGTCCCTATAAAAGCCACGAAAATGGAGCATATCAGGAAATGTACTGCTTTTGTTGAAGAGGAACACAAGGATTTTTTCGACACTATTCTCCAATGGCCTACAACCAATTGTCAAGACCAAGAAGGCGACGAGTGAAAACTTGAAACATGTTCTTTTTTCTTTTAGTTATAAATAAAATGACGTTCGAATTATTTAATTTGTTTTTATTTCACATAAAGGGCACATGTCACTTTATTAAAAATGCCTTATGCAATTTAAAAATACATTTATACAGCTAATTATTTCGTTATAATGTTGGTAGATACCTATTGCAAGAAATCACGTAGGTTAAAATTACGAATTAAAGCTTGTTAACTTAAAAAACAGTTTTTTTGATTTCTCAAAAAAATGTATTTTTTGACATATGCCCTTTCTGCATACTTCGATTCAATTATTTTTTTTACAGTTTTAGTACTTAGTTCCTTTCTGAATAATATTTAAACAGGCAAGATTAGTTTTTCAAATTGAAAGTATGAAACATAAATAATTCAATTAAACAAGGTTTTAGTTTAGAAACTCATTTGTTTTTCATATTACAAAAAATTAAACTAAACAGTATTTTAAAACAAACCAAATTTTTGTTGAATACAATAATAAATGTATTTATGCTTCTTCATTATCTGGCTCTGGCTTAAAATCGAGGTTTTCGCCAAAGCCATCTAAATAGTCGTCAAAATCCATGCTTTTCAGGTTCTTGTAGAAATTTTTAGCATCCAATGGAATAAAGGGCATTAAAGACTTAATAATGTCCTGCAACTTTTTGTTGAAATTTCTGTACCGTTGGGCCAAAGATTTTTAAGTCGTTCTTAAAAGTAAATGGAGCCTGTCTTTCTGGATTTTTCTAAAGCAATACTTCATGGAACTCGCCATTTTCATTATGAGTGTATTTTAAGAAAATTTAAAATGGTTTGTCTTTTTCTAATTTTGTTACTCTGGTTTTTAACCAGCTAACCTTGTTTTTGTTTTTGTCTATTTTTCGGTTAGTAATTTATTTTTTCTAAGTTTTCTACAGAGAAAAAATGATCTGTGCTCATTTTTGTTATAATCAGTGGGGTTTTTCGCTTGCAATGTTTCATTATATTGAGGTAATCTTGCGTCGTATAAATTCTTTGGTTTAATTTTATTGCCTTTTCTATGTCCGAAAAATCTGAATCATTTGGTAGATAGCTCTGGCTAAATATTAAGTACATACTTAAAATAGATATTTTTAATGTAGGGTGGCAGCTAAGTATGTGCTAAAACGATTTTAACGTTTTTGGTTTGGCCACCACAGCTATCTGATCACATTATTAGAGTTTCTGTATTCCGCTCCAAAAAAAGTTCTATAAATCTTTTTAGACATGACCTCACTAGGCCAGAAACTCCTCTTCTGACCTCTCCTTCTTTCCATATAAAACAGTACCTCTTTATTTCCAAAGTATATGCCCTCATTATAGAGCCAGAGTGAAAGTTTGTCCCTTAAATTTTCTTTTTCTTACTAGATGGGCTGTTGCTATTTTTAGATGTAATATCTTCACAGCTACTATTCTCAGAAGACGGTTGATAATCCGAATCATCTTGTGTATGATGATCTTCAGGAACTGTAATTTTATTTATTCCGATTTCCGGCGAAGCATTAGGTGTTATTTCAGGGTTAATTTTTCCGACTCAGAATAGAATTTGTTATTGCTCATATCTTCGGAAGGTATATTTTCACTTGTCAAAATCCAAAGAAAAAGACTGAGTCGGCATTGGGTAGGTATTTAAGGTTCCAACTACTATTATTTACATATTCAATATGTTTGCTGTATCTTACAGCTACTACTTCCTCCTTCACTTTTCTCGAATTATTATTAATAAATATCATAAAAACTAATAAACCAATATTTGATTGTAAGATATCATTGGATTCGTATTTTTTAGTTATGTTAGAAAATGTTATAATATAAGGGTGTTCCATTTAAAAATCAAGGTTAACCCACTTTCCGAAAAAACTAAAAGTGACAAACAATTTTTTATTATTTGGGTTAACAAAAATTAAAAATTGATGTGTTTCGGCTCATGACGATATCTCGAACCGTTTTCAAATTTCCCAGTCCCCTAGTGCCAGGTTTCTTTCTGTCATCACCTTTCGAATCACAGATGCCTAAGTAGTTTTTGCTCAATCCCTGGATCTTTTCTCGATTGGACTCCAATGTATCGTTTTTTTTTTAGATTCTTACATCACCCATTCGTTGAACGTGGCCGACTTTAATCATCATTGCGTATGTCGATATTTCGCATTCTGTCCATTATGGTCGCATTCTCCATTACGGTATTTAGTTGTGTAACTTTACTGAAGTTTCGAACCCTATGTATAGTTCTTATACTGAATTAATTAATGTGTGGTTTATTTACTTTATTTTACTTTACTTTTTTGACTTCTTTATTTTTGACCTAAGGCTTCCTTAATTGCTTCGTGTATTATATTGAAAAGTTCAAAATGTGTTTGTATCTCATTTTCCCTTCTTTACAATCTTTGTATTTTTTCGCCTAGGCTTTTTTGGTATAAGTACTTATGCTGTCTTGTAGCAAGATATCTGTATTGTATTGTATAGGTTTATTTGTTACATTCTCTTCTTTTTTCGGGCATTATTTTGTTCGCGGGTTATTGTTATGTTAGTATTTAGGAAGTAATGCAGTTGTGGGTTGAAATGGTATTAGTTCAACTACAGTCACTTCCGGCTGGCGTGCTGAAAGATGTGTTGTTCAATTTAGTATTGGTGTGATACTGCAACGTCTCGGTTGCAAGAGACTTTGGTCTAATCAGGGAAAATACTGTCGAGATATTGCAAAATATGGTTAGTATGTGACAGCACTGTCGTTAGTCCACATCACTCAAGATGTACTGGGATTTTTTGACAAAATCTGAAGAGCGCGATTGTGCTGCTTGGGAGTCAAAGGGTTGAGCCACTCAACAATAATTAACACACCCAAGAGCGCCTCGCCGCAGGTGACACCGGTTAAAGAACAGAAAATGTAGGTTTTCACTGATTAAGGTAAGACGACGCAATTTATACCACATCAATACTAAATTAAACAGCACAACGTTTGCAAAGCAATCGCAGCTAATTGTAAGTTCAGATCAAATCAAATTTTGTCTGATTAAGTTGAGGTTGCTTGCAATCAGTGTTCTACAATTAATATCATATGATACTATATTATGAAACTTGGGTACAGTAAGTTTTATGACCTGGTTTGGATTGCAAAAGATAAAATTTAACTTCAAAATTATTGGAATCATTATTTGGTATTAGATGCATTCACTTGTACTCCTGTACAAGTTGTGCCAATTCTTCAACTTTCTCATTTGTCTCATTTGTTTGTAAATCATAACTAGTGTTTTTTACATTCATTTCTTGGTACAATTCTGGCTTTCGCATTTTATTCAGCGAGATGTTTTTCCGTTATATGTGATTTTTTTATTTAACTTGAGTAGGTGTAATTGTACGAAATTCCTAACATTTCGCAACTTTTAGAGTTCTTTATTTTTAAAATCTTTAGTGTATGTCTCCTGTCCTCATCATGGAATGAACAAAGCTTCTCGTTGGTCGGAGATTTGCCATGATAGCTAAAGATCCTTCATGTATGATCCTTCTTTGGCTAAATTTAATCGTATTTTTTGCAAATTGCAAATCACTATGTTATCATACTGATTTACCACATTGTGTTACCACTTTCATATAAAACTCATTGGTCTAAAACCAAATTTCTTTTTACCATGTATCTTCATTTTTCTCATCTTCCTTGTTGTTAAGTGTAACCAGATTCTTCATGGTGACGAAAATTGGCCCGCGAATGGCTTCTGGCTACAAGAAAGATGTGTTGGACGGTCATTGTTATTTTAGTTTTTTAAAGTAGAACAAATTAGATTTGGTAGACTTAGCAGAGGTACAACACATCCTTGGTACCTCTTCTGGATATCGTTTCATTCATCCCATCCTTGATTAATCTGATAATTTGTTTGGCAAAATACATTTTATGTTATTTTCGGCTGTGGAAGGGCCAACTCATTCTCAATTAACGTCAAATTCACAAGTTTTTCTTGTTATAGCTTGATTTGAAAACAAACATTATACTTGTACACTGTGTTTAATTATTGCGATTTCATTTATGGCCCTTGTTTGACGTCGGTATGCAAGTTGAGATTGCAAAAAATTCAAAACTGCTGCTCAAGATTGATATTGGAACTGGATAAAAATGGACAATCGCTGGCGGCATCATATGGTCTGTTTTGTTCATGGCTTGCTGACTTCCCCTACGGTTCCTGTACGTTTGCGTGAGTTCTTCATTGGTAGAAATACAGTGAGCGGGCTTTCTACGCGTTGTTGTGATATGTTTGAAATTCCTCGTTATACCACGGTAATGTTTCAGAGATCTTTTTTTTTATAATGCCATTAAATTATATAATAATCTACCAGTTGATTTAAAGCAAATGAATTCAACACGTTTTTCCAGGTCTAGTAAGCAATTATTTTTGTCATTATCATAGATGTGAATAAGACTAATACTAGCGATTAAAGTAATTTTACTTCAGATGATTAAGCCCCGCTATTATGTAATTTATTATGTATTGTGTTTTAATTCTTTAGAGTGTTAAACTTTTATTTGATAGAAAAGGCTTGACATGTTATTATTCCTTTTGTTTGGGAGAGTAACTGGTTAAGCACAGAATAGCCTTGGGCTAAACTTCGCTAGTTGATCCACCTACATTATCTAAATAAAGGCTTATTATTATTATTAGACAACTAATAAGGTATTTAATCTATTTTCCTAGAGTTACAATTTTAATATATACAAGGTGTATTGGCATAATCAATTTTTTATGTATACTCTAGCAGCAATTAATCTGTACTATCATCATTATTATAACGAAAGTATAATATTACAATTCGTATAACAGAATTTGTTTATTTTATATACAGGTTATAGACGAAAATTTATTAGCAGCTGGTGATAACGGAATTCTTTACATTTACAACGTAATCTCTCAAGAATTAATGACAACAATTCAGTTATCTACACAAGCACTAACTTGTCTTCATGTGACCAAAGCTTTTAATAACAACGAGTGCCTTATTTACGTTGGATGTTTGGACGGTCAATTGAGAATTGTTAATTATACGAGTAAAGAGCTTGATAAAACCATCAACATTGATCGTCCGATTCAATGTATGGACATTTGTTGGGATACGGTATTTATTGGATCAACTTCGGGCGATTTAACCATTTACAATACAAAGGTAATCAAAATTTAATATTATAAAATATATTGATAGTAATGTGATTTTTTAAGACGTCGAAATTAGAAGATTCCATTCACATTTTTGATAATAGAATATACGCAATTAAAGCGATGCAAGAAGGTCCAAGAAGAGTATTATTAATCGGTACTAAAGACACAGAATTATCGATTAGAGATGCAATGACAGGACTTTTAATGCGCGATTTTAAAACTAATTTTTCACCAACGATTTATTCGATTTTATGTGAACAAAACTTGGTGTATTGTGGTACGAATCAACATGATGTTTTAGCGTATTCATTTCAGGTAAGAATATTGTATAATTACATTTTTTTACATTAATAATAATTTTAATTTTTTTTAATAGGATGGTGAATTGATAAAAAGATATGAAGGAATTGCATCGAGACGTGTTATTTGTATGCAAATAGTTAATAATCTTCTTTTTGTTGGTTGCTTCAATGGTAGTGTATGTGTTTTTCATAAGACGACTCATCAGTATTTAGGACATATGATTCGACCTGGGGAATCTTTATTGTCTATGATTATAGTCAATAATAAAGTAAGTGTAGTTTTTTATAACCTTTGATTAAAGCAGATTTTCGGTCAGTTTCTAAGATACATTTTTAACTAGACTAGTTTCCCAAACTACATTACCATACTCCAACAATAAGCAAATAATAAGTGTACTAACAAATAAACACAATCATATAAAACTTATTTATTACTATTAAGACTTTTATAATAGAAAAACTGTTGTTTTTTGATTAAAAACGCTTACCAATAGGCACAGGATTATTACAACTACATAATATATTAAACTAACGCAAATAACACTACTATTTGCATGATTTGACTTGCAATAATACACCAATAATACATTGATTGTTAAATTATTTTTGTGGTCATTTTAGCAATACATCTGCATTTATGATAAATTAATTTAAATATTAAATATGCAAAATGATATACTACAAATCTTATTTATAATATTGTGTCAAAACGATGTCGATATTATAAATAATTGTCTTTTGTTCTAGAAGAACAAATTTTTATCGCCTTCTAAAAATTACGACAACTAGTTTTTGTATGACTTATTGTAATTAACATGTGATAATAAGGATATATTATTTTTATTTTAATTATTCAGCCAAGACTACAAGATATTAACCAAAAAGGTACCTATAACTTAGGGGGAATCTGTTTGCTCTTGGGAGTCCATCTTTGACTATCCTTGGTAGTCTTGAGGCTTTTTTTTCATTCTTATATTGTTTTGCCGACCTATCATCACACTGTCCTGGATATCGCATATCTCTCTGATATGCTGACATTTTTTAGCCTCCCACAAGATGTATCCTGTTAATGACCTTAGCGCCTTCATCTCTCTTGTTATGAGGATACTTTCTGTGGTAGCATTTTCTGCTCTTGTCTTATATCTGCGGATCTTGTTTTCTAAGAACATATACTTGTTTCGCGATATTATGTCTCCCAGTTAACCTGACATCAAAGCTCCTTTCGATGTTTGAGCTGTAACTTCTTTTTGGAAGTTCCTGCTGCTTGTAATATTGACACTAAGACATTTAAAATTCGAGGAGCCAAGTCATTGCCATTGTCGGTCTCAAGTACAAAGGACAAAGTAACCTATCACCAGTATAAAAACCTAATATGCTCAAAGGAGGAACAGGACGTAAAATTGATGCTAAGATACTTAAAATTCATTTTGCAACGGCATGGCTCCCTTGTTAGAGATTTTGTCTTTGATATCGAGATGTTCATGTGTAATTTTGTTGCTGTTTTTTCGAATTGGTACAGCATTCGCCGCTTGTTATCTTCGTTCTCAAACAATACGACAGCATTTTTTCAGTTCAACCTATTTTCAGTTCTTCGTTTCCCAACTGATCACCCTTTCCAACACTTTTCACGCCAGTTATTATTAGAAAGAGTTGTCCATGTTGCAAGATTAATGAACAAATAAAAACCATATATTAACTTCTAACTTGCATTTATTTATAAAGTGACCGGCAAAAAAAACCGGCCACAATAAATTAGCCAAAACTTCAAAGCTGGCTTTCTCGCGAACCGCGCATTCGATTTTGATGATTTTTTGTTGATCGAAAGGTAATAATCCTGCCATAGACATTTTCATTCAGATTTTAATTTGAACATATACGGGCTGCAAGAATGAGAAAAGTTTTTTTCTCGAAATTTGCAATACCCTGTGGGGTACAGCTGCTACAGCAGATGGTGTTAACTGGAATCAAACGGTAGCCCAATCTTTTCTGAACATTTTGTTTTTTTATTCACTCTATTATCTCTGTTACTAACTAAGATGCAGTATTTTAAAGCGAATGAAAAAGAAGAAGCCAACAAGAAACATGAAGCCTATGAAAACAAGACAAACAAGCATCAAAGTATAGTCAGTTGTTTTGAATAGTAAATTGACAGTTGTTAAAGACTTTCACAGTCTTTTAACATAATAGCAATGCTGTTGTCAGTAACTGATGTTGCGGCTATTGTTACTTTAATTGAGGATGGCAAAAGTCAGCGATACGTTGCCCATACGTTAGGTATACCCCGAACAACAGTTCAGGATGTCTGGAACCGATATGTGGAAACAGGAAATTTCACTAAGCGACAAGGTTTCGGTAAAAGACGAGCGACAACAGCAGTTGATGACCGATTTATTATTCTAAGCACTCTGAGGAATCGTAGAACGACAGCTGTAGAAACTCAGCATCATACTCAAATGGTGCGTGGGGTTGACGCAAGTGAAAGAACCATTCATCGAAGACTTGCTAAAAGTGATCTGACTGCAAGAAAACCTGCCCAAAGACCGCGAGACATCGGCGAGCACGTCTTCAATTTGAGCGCGTACATATGAATAATGGGGTAAGGTGCTCTTCACTGACGAGTCCCGATTTTGTCTCCGGTCACCTGATGGTCGAGAACGAGTGTGGACACGTCGTAATGAAAGGTTTGCGACCTGCACAATTTCGGAAAGAGTACCTTTCCATGGAGGTTCTATTCCCACGGAACAGAATGGATTCATGCTAATGCATGACAATGCACGACCGCACGTAGCACGTGTGGTTAGCGAATATCTTGATGATTGAACGGATGGAGTGGCCAACGTGCAGCCCGGACCTTTATCGAATATCTTTGGAACCAACTTCAGATGCGCATTCGTCGTCCTCCTGTCCTACCGGACAAGCTTCAAGAGTTACGAATTGTAAATTCCCGGCCACACCATCACAGAACCACCATCGATTTCATAATTGTATAGTCCACAAATCTTTCATTTCAACGTCTTCATATTGCTCGATCTCCCAATTCACATGTAAGCGCGCAGATTGAAGACGCGCTCGTTGATATCTTGGAAGCAGCCTCAGTCCTTTGGCAGCCTTCTTGCAGTCAGGCCACATCTAGCAAGTTTTCACACTGACAACAACATGCACCATTTGAAGACAACGCCGAGCTTCTACAGCTGTCGTTCTACGATGCTTAGAACAATAAAACGGTCATCAGCTACTATTGTCACTCGTCTTATTTTCACAGGCGTTCGCTTTAAAATACTGCATCTTCGTTAGTAACAGAGATAATAGAGTAAAAAAACAAAATGCTCAGAAAAGATTGGGCTACCGTTTGATTCCAGTTAACACCCTCTGCTGTAGCAGCTGCACCCCACAGGATATTGCAAATTTCGAGAAAAAAAGTTTTTCTCATTCTTGCACCCTGTATATGCTCAAATTAATATCCGAATAAAAATTTCTATTGCAGGATTATTACAGAAGAATCAACGTTTCGATCAAAAAAAGAATCATCACAATCGAATGAGTGGTTCGCGAGAAAGCCAGCTTTGAAATTTGGGCTAAATTTTAGTGGCCGGTTTTTTTTGCCGGTCAGTGTATAATGTCGTACTAGGTTCGCGACAAAGTCAATTAAGCTATAATCGGTGTAGACTGGAAATTATGTGAAAGTAAAGCATTTTGCTATCTGATGGATAAACAAAAAGACTCAGTCTCGCCTCATCCCATTCCACCAACACATCTTTAATACGATCTTAAAGATTTATTCGAATTTCTAATTTTTTAACATTCCACACTTTCTAACGACGCCATTCGTGATTCATTTTTCATCCTCATTGTGTTTATCCATCAGATAGCAAAATGCTTTAGTTTCACATGATTTCCAGTCTACACCTATTATAGCTTCATTGACTTTGTCGCTAATGATGGGATAACCCGAAACTAGTACGACTTTATATAAATAAATGCAAGTTAGAAGTTAATATATGATGTTTATTAGTTATTATTTAGTCTATCTGCTTGTCTTATACCAGTTTATATGGGTACTCTACGTGTCACTCCTTTCTGTATTCTTATTCTTGTTCTGTTATTGGGGTTCAGCTCCATCGGTGACCTATTTTTTCTTAAGCTCCTCACAGATGCTGGAAGCAGAAATTTCTTGTTCGTCATTCTTTGTAAGTAGCTACCAAACCACAATCTTCTGATTCTTTATACAGTACGTCCGTAAAATAGGCGATACAATCATTATCAATTTATGCATGTTGTTTTTGTATTAAATGTTCATTACATATCGGATTCACGAAAACCATACAAGATTTTCTAGTTTTACATTGTTTACGTTTCATATCTAGGCAGATGTACCGCAAATCGTCGTCCAAACACTATTTTTAGTGATGCGACGAGTCAGCAACTCTTGAAATCGCATCGACTCGAGTCAGATTTGAAAAGTATCAATACTCGACTCTATTTTTAAGGGGGGAGATACATTTAGACGCGCAAGAATAAGTGTGTTTTCAAGATTTTTTTCATTAATATGCAATTAATTTCAAACATTTGTTCATTCCCTACAGTTTGGTCATGCTTTATACTAAACAGAGTGTCCCGTATCTTCCGCATCTGGGCATTATACTATTGTAGGATATATTATTCTGAAGCGATCTTTCTAATAACATTTTTCCGTAATATTTATAATAATCGCACGGGAACTTAGGGAAACGCCTTCAGAGATTGTAAATCACACTCAGGCAATCAGTCCCACCCCCGGCCGGTCCACCACGCCGTTCTAAACTAATTTCGCACGTGTACTCACCAATAGATTCGGCACGGAAAGAGGAATAAACTTTTTCCGCTATTGAAGTGAATCGCTATTGGACGACTTTAAACAGTTCCCGTGGGGTTATTATGAACATTTCGGAAAAATTTTATTAGAGAGATCGCTTCAGAATAATGTATCCTACAACCGTATAATGCTATGATGCGGAAGATACGAGACACCTGTATAAACATACTATATTCACAATGTCCAAAACTTTTCAAAATGACCGGCAAACAGTAATCGTCTAGGGAAGGTTACGACGCGAGTTGCTTCGCCTTGGACAGTCTAAAATTCGTTACAGTGGTTAGAATTACTTGGGAATGCATTTGAATTGTTACTAACAATCATATATTCTATGTGAACCTAAAAAATTTGTTAAATATTATTAAAATTAATAATTAAAGAAAATACAATGTTTTTAAAAAGATGTTATTTTTTAAGACAATGTTGGTTAATTATTCAACAACAAAGCATTTTTTTGAAATAATTTCTATAATTTTTTAGGTTTAAATAGAAAACAACATCACTATTTACATCTGTAACAAATTTCAGGAATATTTGTCGAGTAGTTTTTGAGATATCATGTCCAAATAAAGAGAAAATTGCGTTTAAAGTTTAAATTTGAAACTTTACTTTTTCCAATGACTTGCCTGCTAGTTTGCAAATTCAGGACCATGCTGTAAACCTTCCTTTTCTTCATAAAATGAACTGTCCATCGGCAGCTGTTCACCACGGCGTTCTTACCGAATAATTCGGTGTTTATCCATTTTATCGGCGTATATTTTGACCTGCTTGTCAATGGCAATATTCAATGAATTCATTGTTTTTAAAATAGCACTTCTACTTAAACAGGCTAGCCACAATAAAAGCAAAAATTTCGGCTATTTCATGTTGAAATCTAGATGCTTTTGGCATAATTGCTAAATCGTTTTTGACTTGTATTTCTTTTCAAATTATCTTTTAGCCTAGAAAGCTTCATCGCTTCATTCGAAAATGTTTTTTGACAAACATGGTACATAGGCCACGATGAATTTGTGGAATTTTCAACAATATTATATAATATTCTGTATTGTATTGCGGTCTCTACTTTTTTATTTATGCAGGTGGCATTTTTTCTTGTCATTGGATTGCCCTAGGACATGTGTTATTCTCTGGTCTGGAATTAACTGAAGGAATAATTGTGACTGTTGCAAACATTATTTTGGGGATGAGACGAGGCAATTTGAGCGTTTTTTCTTAGAATTATTCAATGACAATTAATAAGAACTATTCATGTACTTCCTTACTAAATAAATGAATTAATGTATCCTGTAGCAATAATGTATTGTCCCCAGTTGCTGCTACTAGATAATATAATTACAAAATTGTGTTTTTAATTTTTGCAATTTTAGAATTTGTTAACAACAAACAATTCACTTAGTTTTCATACTAATCAATCATTATATAAAATAGTCAACTCTATATTTTAACAATATAATCATTTGAATATTTTATTCTAGGTTATTGTTGGACTAAAAAACAACAAATTGGTTATTTGGGACGTACCTGACGTTTATTTAGAGAAAAATAGGTAGATAATTTTTAGGTTCACCTTTTCTATGGGTTGGTATTGACACTGCCATGCTCAACATTTTTCATCATCTCCTTTTTACCATAGACTAAGCAAAATCATCTCTTTATTTTTACTTTTTACTAGAAATGAATTAAAAGATATAGTTCAAACTTATTAATTAATTGCAATATTATTCACGATCTTGTAAATAAATCTCATAAATTTCGTCAGTTAATTTAGTAATTACATAGAAGTAATAATAAATAAACGCTGTATGTGTGCCTTTTTTAACCATCAATTTTTGTACAGTGTAAAAAATATAGTAAAATGTAAAAAATTGTATAAAATAATCGTTTATTTAGAACTTCTTTTAGAATCTATGTACGAAAATGTTTTTTTTGTATTTTTTTCCTTTAAATTCTAAACATTTAATAAAAAAAGGGAAACCCGAATTGTTAATTTATTTCATTTATTTTTTTAAATTATTTTAATAATTATAATACATCAAATTATAATCATTACATCTATTTCTATTGTTAACTTTTACTTTATCCCCTTTAACACAAGACAATAATAGAGATCTTTTCCCAATTAAAACACTTTGCGTCGGTTGAGAGTTAATAAGTTCGGATAAAAAGCTAATATCAGGATTGTAATCATCAGTTCCGTAAATACTCAAACTATTTCTTAGTTCAATATCTGTTATGGCGGGAAGCAACGGTTTTCGAACGTTGAGGCGCTTTATTTGAAAGTGTATCCCGGTTCTTTCACCAATAAAATCCGATTTTAATATAGCGTCATCATCAGCTAAAAACAAAAATTAAAATAATGAATTAATTTGTTTCTTTTTTTAACTTACGTTCAACATAATCGGAAAAGATTTCTTTGATATCAATGTGAGTTTGATGTTTATTGCTGTATAAAATTTTTCTTCTCGTCTTAAATAATTGAATTTTTATTTGGAACCAATTCGATTCTTGTTTTTCGGGAACTAAAAAATATTTTTATTACCAAAATATAAAGGGATAAAGCAAACTAATTTACTTAAAGTAGGTGTAATTTCCCAAATTGGACAAATCCCATCTCCGAACGTCTCATAAAAAGCTTTATCTAATTCTTCAGTGTGATCACATTCTCTATTTAAAATAGTATAAGTTTGCTACAAAAAAAACCTTAATTAGAATAAAATTGTCTAAAAATTTTGTCTGTCGAAATAAAATTAATTAAAATGAAACCAAAAACAAGCTTCATTTGGGAATATTTCTCGGAAATTAATCGTTGTATGTATTTATCATATCCAAAATCCAAAGATACGGATCGACTAATAGGCGAAATGATTGCTTTGGAAGACTTGCCATTCAACTTCGTTGAAGGTGTTATCAATACAATACTTCCACGGTATAAATTAAGGGGTCGTCAGTTTTTTACGTCGCTTGTATGTGACGATTTATATAACAGTGGGGCAAATAAAATTAAAGCATTATTAAAAGTTCTTAAGAAAATATCCTTTACAACTGATGTTTGGTCAGATACAAGTTCTATCAGATACAACTTCGTTAGTTAGTTTGACTGCTCATGGTGTAAACGAAGGTTTTGAAGAAGTAAGAATTATTTTGAAATGTGAAATAATGGAAGGACGTCACACGGGTCAAGCTATTTCGACAAAAATTGAATCCATCCTTGAAGAATGGGGTATAAAACACGACACTGTTCACTGTATGGTACGCGATCGTGGCAGCAACATGATTAAAGCAATGCAGATATCTGGTTTCACTGATTTTAATTGTGTGATTCATCAAATACAGTGTTATATTAAGAATGTGATATTATCGGAAGAATGGGTTCAAGAAATAATTGAAAAGGTGAAAAAAGTTTCAACACATTTTAATCATTCCCTAATAGCACAAAATGAACTAAAAACTATACAGGAAATAAGAATGAAGCAATCTCCATTGTCAACAATACAAGATTGTCCCACTAGGTAAGCCAACGATTGTCTATAAATCAGAAACATTTTACATGTTGGAGCGTTTTGTTAAAATAAAGGATTCTTTTATATCAATTTATATCATTTTCTCCAGATAATTTGTCAACAATTGAACTGTTGTTAAAGTTGTTGACACCTTTCGAAGAACTTACTAAAGAATTGATTAACTCAAAGAACAGCATTTCTATGGTTATACCACTTATGTACGTTATACTGGCAACATTAAAAGCTGAGAAAGATAACCCGAATACGCCAGAAAAAATCAAAGCACTTTTCGTTAAAGTTATACGAGAAATAAGTGAAAGGTTTGGCGATTTAAACAAAAATTTGCTATGTTCGGTTTCTACGTACTTAGATCCGCGATATAAAACAAAGTTTTTTTTTTAACAGTTTTGAAACAAAAAATCGAAGCCACAATAGTTAATTTGTGTCAAAATCAAACGATCCATAAAAATAAAGTTTGTAGTCAGACACATAAGAAAAGAAAAATTGATAATCAAATTGTTACTAGTTCTAGTAGTTGTCCAAAGCTACTACAGTCAGTACAATCCATTCTAAGTTCAAGCGAAAGTGAGGCAGAAAATGACCAATTAACAACACTGAAGATTGTGCTCCAAAATTACATTAAAGAAAGAAGACTGTCTTTAGAACAAGACCAGTTATTGTGGTGGCGACAGAATGGGTACAAATATACTGTTTTATTNTACGTCGCTTGTATGTGACGATTTATATAACAGCGTGGCAAATAAGATTAAAGCATTATTAAAAATTCTTAAGAAAATATCCTTTACAACTGATGTTTGGTCAAATACACGTTCTGGGACTTCATTAGTTAGTTTGACTGCTCATGATGTAAAGGAAGGTTTTGAAAGAGTAAGAATTATTTTGAAATGTGAAATAATGGAAGGACGTCACACGGGTCAAGTTATTTCGACAAAAATTGAATCCATCCTTGAAACATGTGTTGTATTAAGAATGTGATATTATCGGAAGAATGGATTCAAAAAGTAATTGAAAAGGTGAAAAAAGTTTCAACACATTTTAATCATTCCCTAATAGCACAAAATGAACTAAAAGCTATACAGGAAATAAGAATGAAGCAATCTCCATTCTCAACAATACAAGATTGTCCCACTAGGTAAGCCAACGATTGTCTATAAATCAGCAACTTTTATACTTAACACAAAGCAATTTGTATCATTTCCAGATGATTTGTTGATTAAAATTGTTGACACCTTTTGAAGAACTTACTAAAGAATTAAGTAACTCGAAGAACAGCATTTCTATGGTTATACCACTTATGTACGTTATCCTGACAACATTAAAAGCTAAGAAAGATAACCCGAATACGCCAGAAAAAATCAAAGCACTTTTCGTTAAAGTTATACGAGAAATATTAAAGTTCGGTTTCTACGTACTTATATCCGCGATATCAAAACAAAGTTTTTTAATAGTTTTGAAATAAAAAATCGAAGCCACAATAGTTAATTTGTGTCAAAATCAAACGATCCATAAAAATAAAGATTGTAGTCAGACACATAAGAAAAGAAAAATTGATAATCAAATTGTTACTAGTTGTAGTAGTTGTCCAAAGCTACTACAGTCAGTACAATCCATTCTAAGTTCAAGCGAAAGTGAGGCAGAAAATGACCAATTAACAACACTGAAGATTGTGCTCCAAAATTACATTAAAGAAAGAAGACCAGTTAATGTGGTGGCGACAGAATGGGCGACAAATATACTGTTTTAACTATTTAGTGGAGTCAAAATTTCTTTTTTTTAAATATAACCTGCCTGTAAGAAATTACGAATATTAATTACTTTAACTGGTTTGGGCACCAAAACATACTGCATCATATTGCTTAAGCAAGTTCTGAATCCTAAATTGATATCTCAAAAATCGAGTGTTCTCTAATTTTTTGAACAAATGTTTGCTGCAGCAGATTTTACTAAGAAAAATCGAATAACTCGAGAACGGCTGAATCAAATTGCAAAAAGTAAAGTTATTTACAAACCCTGAGAACAGACAAATCCAAATATATAAAAGTATACAGGTTGTTCCATTTAAAAAAATAAAGTAGGTGGCGACTTCCGGTATAACCGGAAGTGCTAGAAATCTGAAAATATTTTATTCGAAAAGAACGCAGTTGATAATACTTAAGTCTGAATTTTCAAATTTTTATTTTGGCCAGAACCCGAGAAACGGCTAATGACCGGTCTCGCTGAGACACCTGTATAGATATAAAACAGGAAAATTACAATAGAAATATTATTTTCATTAAAATTTTAGTATGTAACTTTTTTCAATAACTACGCATCCGTTAAATCCGCATCCGCGAAATTAGAATTAAAAAATTCGGTTCCGCATCCGCCAAATCCACATCCGTAACATCATTAGATAAGACACTGAATGGACAAGAACGGGGGATGCTGAGGTGGGCGAAGAAGAGGGGATGCTGAGGTGGGCGGAGAAGAGGGGATGGGAGATACAGAATGGGAATAGGGAGGAAGGTGATGAAGGAGAATATACTTATACGGGTGCATGGGGACATTCAGGGTGGGAGATATGGAAGATTACCAACCATTGAAAGTGCAGTTGAAGGGGGTTGGAGGGAGAAGGCGGCGAAAGGAAGAAATAAAATATGTTAAGGACAGATTGGTCAGGAGAAAGGACAGAACACTACAGGGGAAATTTGACAATCTGGCGACAAAGAGTGGAAGGAGTCATTGTACTGGAAGATTTGATAAAGGTGGTAAGTAACGCGTTACTGAGGGGGGAGGATTCGTGGCGGGGACGCATTCTGGGAAGGAACGAATGATGGAATGGAGAATGCAGGAGGCAAGGAGAAGATTGAGGCAGTAGCGGAGAGGAGAGGTTCTGGTGGACAGTTATAAGGAGGTACATAGAAGTATATGGGACAAAGAAAAGGGAGTTGAGTTGAGGGAGGCAGCAAAAATTAAGGAGATAAGACGGGAAGGGCATGTGTGGAGGTATTTGAAGAAGTTGGAGAGGTTAGTAACGATATACAGATGGGGGAATGGAGGAGTCACTTTATGAATTTGTTGGGAGGGGTAGAAGATAGACAGGCGGTCAGAGAGGCGGAGACGACTGAGGAAGGTGAGGAGATTACGGAGGAAGAGTTGACACAGTTTTGAGTGGGTTGAGGAGGGGAAAGGCACCGAGGGAGGATGGCGTACAAAACGAGGTATGGTTGGAGGCGACAAGGGAGGTGAGAGGGAAGCTGTTAGACGTTAAACAATGTGTGAAGGAAGGAAGGGTTTCCCAACGGCTGGAGGATGTGTATAATAGCCCAGTGCGCAAGAAAGGAAGTAAGAGAGCAGTGGAGAGTTATAGGGAAATCAGCCTACTCAACTCTTCATACCAGATTTATGCGAAGATACTGCTGGGAAGATTGGAGGAAGAGATTAAAATAGGGGGAATGTTGCCGAATGGACACGCAGGTTTTAGGAAGAGTAAAGGGGCGATCGATAACGTTTACATCTTAAAACATCAGATGGATGGAGAGTTGGATAAGAAGGGAGGGAAGTTATATGCCCTATTTATGAATAAATTTAAAGACGGCATTCGATAAGGTGGATAGGAAGAAGTTGTGAAAAGATATGGCGAAGAGGGGAATCACGGAGGAGTTGAGGAAGAGAGTGAAGGGGATATATAAGAAAACGATGGCTACAGTTAGAATAGTGTCCACTAAGCCTCAGCCTTTTTGCTCTGTATACGGTGGATTTGGAAGGCAGGCTGGAGAAGGGCCAAATAGGAAGAGTGGTGGTAGGAGGGAGAAAGGTTCCCGTGCTAGCCTACGCGAATGACATGGTAGTTGTGGGGAAGGATGCGGCAGAAATGGGACAAAGAATGAAGAAGTTCTGCAAAGGGGAAAGAAAAAAGTGGGAAGAATGGAGATGGGAGGGGAGAGAGATAGAGGAGGTGAGAGAATTCACATATCTGGGTTACAGGTTCAGGGAGGATAGCAAGGACGAGGTGCATGTGAGGGAGATGGGTAAAAGGGCAAATAAGGTGATAGAGCAAAAAGTGTTTGGAAGGGACATCAGAAAGAGAAAAATTATGTTTGATGGCTTGGTGAGGAGTGCAATGATGTACGAGGAGGAAGTTTGGGGATGGAAGAGGCAGAATATTCTGGAGGACGTACAGAATCGGTACTGGAGGTGGGTTTTGGGTCTGACGAGGAAAACACCGGGGTATATTGTGAGAGAGGAAGTTAAGGTGGATGAAATAAGGATGGAGGCGGGCAGAAGAGTATTTAAATATGAAGAAATGATTGATAGAAGACTAGCCTGGGGGAGTGTTGGAAGGAAGTTAGGTAGGGGAAGATTACATATGGTAAAGGAGGACGCAGATAAGAGAGGAAAGGTACAATCCCTTCCTCAAAACAGTGAGGAAGGGAAAAGGTTGGTGGCCAGATTTCGGTGTGGTAATGAAGAAGTGGTGTCGGTTGTATTGAGAGGATTGGCAGGCGCTAGAACATATGTTGAAGGGATGTAGTGAGCTGAGAGAAGAAGAAAGGAGCCGGGTGGCAGATTCTGGAAGAGGGGGGAGGTTGGGACATATTGTACAGAAAATTGTAAACTTTTAGTTAAAAATAAAAACTCTTATAATAATACTTACAAGAATAGCATAAATTAAATCTGAATTTTGATCCACTTCAATTCTTGTAAGGATATAATTCATAAGCGGAACAAATATTTCAAAAATAGCATCAACACCGAGCGCATTTATGATTGAAACTATTGAAAGTAAAAAATTCTCTTTGATTTTTGCGTCGTCGTCTTTAATTTTTTGGTTTAATTTGACGATAACAAATTCTCTGAGTGGTAATCTTTCGCAAAGAATCGCCAAAACTGAACACATTGGTTTTAGGACTTCGGGAGTTGTTATTCCTCTTAATAATCTTTGTAATAGAAGTCTCACCAACAATTTTAACTACAATAATAAAACATAAAAACATAGCCTAATTAATTAAGAAATTTTTACCGGTTTTTCAGACACAGATAAAATAGCAATCTGATTTTGCTCTAAACATTTAATTAAACTTAAAGCGCTTGTTGTTAAACTATCATAAGTGATATCTTTACTCAACAATAAATAACCAAAATGATAAAACCAATCGGTTATTGGTCCAATATGCGTATTTTGCTTTATATCATTTAAAGCATATTGACTTAATTCTTGATTATTAGATACAATTGCTGAGCACATTGTTTTAAAATAATTCCTCATCACTTCAGTATCTTTAGTGTCTGGTACCCATTTTTTATTAACCACAACTTCCCCAGGTTGTGTAAAAGAACAGGGTTGTTCTGATAATTCAATTAAATTTACCATAGGATCCTACAAAAAAAAATAACCTAACAAAAAATTCTTTATATAAAAAAAATAAATCTACATCAAGGTAATATAGGTTTTGATCACCAAAACCAATCCAATTAGGTGTGGAAGTAGCCCCATACACTTTATCAATATTTAAATCTTGAAATGTGGCATCTAAATCTGTCGATAATATATGATTACGACCTGATAATCTAGCTTTAATTAACGAATCCTAAACAAAAATGTATTAATAAAAACTTTTTTAATTTAATTAAAACCCCATACATGTATAACATATCTTAATTTATAGCTGATATCTTCGGCTAACCCATAACAAACATCTTCGCTCAAATGTTCAAATCCTGCTTGTTCCGAATACGTTAATATTGATTCAGGACCAATTCCAGCGTATTTTCTGACTGTTCCATCTTTATTTGGGGACCCTTTCTCGCTGTTATTATCCAATTTTTCTGTGCTACTAGACGATTTACGTTTTTCACGGTCTTTTGAAGACTTTTTCGTTTTTACACTAAACGATGGGTTAACAACTTTATTTGTTGAGGCGGAACTTTTCATTGCTATAAATAAGAATTAAACAAATAACTATTTTGTTGATAATAACAGATAAAAATAAAAAAGTGGGTTATTTATATTTTTAATTTTAGTTTACAAGAAAAATTAGGTTAGGTTTATGATTTAGTAACTTTTGGGTATAAAAATATAAAGGTTGGGGTGTTTTATTAATTTAAGAAAAATTAATTACCATCTAAATTAATGATTTTAATTAAATAATAAGGTATAGGAAATAAAAATATTTTTTTATTAATAAATTATTTGATTTTGATTCAATTTTTAGGAATTTTTTTATTGTTAAGTTTGTATTTTCGTATATGTCAAAAATTTATAACCTCAAACCGGCTCTAAAAATAAATGTTTCCAATTAAATCGATGTATTTTTTACAATAAATCGTAACAACTTAAATTAATTATAAACACAATGCCGGAAATAAAAATAATCCCTCTGGGTGCTGGTCAAGATGTTGGTAGAAGTTGTATTTTGCTTACAATGGGCGGGAAAAATATAATGCTAGATTGCGGAATGCACATGGGGTACAACGACGAACGTAGATTTCCCGATTTTTCTTACATTTCGCAAGAAGGACCGTTAACACCTTATATAGATTGCGTAATTATCTCTCATTTTCATTTGGATCATTGCGGAGCTGTTCCATACATGTCAGAAATGGTTGGATACTCAGGCCCGATTGATATGACTCATCCAACAAAGGCAATCGCCCCAATCTTATTAGAAGATATGCGAAAAGTGTCTGTTGAGAAAAAAGGGGAACAAAACTTTTTTACTTCTCAAATGATTAAAGATTGTATGAAAAAGGTTATTGCAGTTACATTACATCAATCTGTAATGGTTGATAATGAGTTAGAAATTAAAGCTTATTATGCCGGTCATGTTTTGGGGGCTGTAATGTTTTGGGTTAGCTGGATCTCAATCTATTGTTTATACTTGAGGTTATAATATGACTCCAGATAGGCATTTGGGAGCTGCTTGGATTGATAAATGTCCCATCTTTCTTTGGGAACCCTTTGTCGCTGTTATTATCCAATTTTTTTGTGCTATTAGATGATTTACCTTTTTCACGGTCTTTTGAAGACTATTTCGTTTTTACAGTAAATGATGGGTTAACAACTTTATTTGTTGAGGCGGAACATTTCATTGCTATAAATACGAATTAAACAAATAACTATTATATTGATAATAACAGATAAAAAGAAAAAAGTGGGTTATTTATATTTTTAGTTTACAAGAGAAATTAGGTTAGGTTTGATTTAGTGACTTTTGGGTATAAAAATATAAAGATTGAGGAATTTTACTAATTTAAGAAAAATTAGTTAATGATTTTAATTAAATAATAAGGTATAGGATATAAAAATATTTTTTTATTAATAAATTATTTGATTTTGATTCAATTTTTAGGAATTTTTTTATTGTTAAGTTTGTATTTTCGTATCTGTCAAAAATTTATAACCTCAAACCGGCTCTAAAAATAAATGTTTCCAATTAAATCGATGTATTTTATACAATAAATCGTAACAACTTAAATTAATTATAAACACAATGCCGGATATAAAAATAATCCCTCTGGGTGCTGGTCAAGATGTTGGTAGAAGTTGTATTTTGCTTACAATGGGCGGGAAAAATATAATGTTAGATTGCGGAATGCACATGGGGTACAACGACGAACGTAGATTTCCCGATTTTTCTTACATTTCGCAAGAAGGACCGTTAACACCTTACATAGATTGCGTAATTATCTCTCATTTTCATTTGGATCATTGTGGAGCTCTTCCGTACATGTCAGAAATGGTTGGATACTCAGGCCCGATTTATATGACTCATCCAACGAAGGCAATCGCCCCAATCTTATTAGAAGATATGCGAAAAGTGTCTGTTGAGAAAAAAGGGGAACAAAACTTTTTTACTTCTCAAATGATTAAAGATTGTATGAAAAAGGTTATTGCAGTTACATTACATCAATCTGTAATGGTTGATAATGAGTTAGAAATTAAAGCCTATTATGCCGGTCATGTTTTGGGGGCTGCAATGTTTTGGGTTAAAGTTGGATCACAATCTATTGTTTATACTGGAGATTATAACATGACTCCAGATAGGCATTTGGGAGCTGCTTGGATTGATAAATGTCGACCGGACATTTTAATTTCTGAATCAACTTATGCCACAACTATAAGAGATTCAAAAAGATGCAGAGAAAGAGACTTTCTAAAAAAAGTTCATGAATGTATCGATAAAGGAGGAAAAGTATTAATTCCAGTATTCGCTTTGGGAAGAGCCCAAGAACTTTGTATATTATTAGAAACATATTGGGAAAGAATGAACCTTAAAGTCCCAGTTTATTTCGCGCTGGGTTTAACAGAGAAAGCGAATAATTATTACAAAATGTTCATAACTTGGACGAATCAAAAAATTCGTAAAACATTCGTACAAAGAAATATGTTTGATTTTAAACACATTAAACCATTTGATCGGCAATACATAGATAATCCAGGTCCAATGGTTGTTTTTGCAACCCCAGGAATGTTACATGCAGGTTTAAGCCTACAAATATTTAAAAAATGGGCCCCAAACGAAAAAAATATGGTCATAATGCCCGGATTTTGTGTACAAGGAACGGTTGGTCATAAAATATTAAACGGCGCCAAACAAATCGAATTTGAAAATCGACAAATAGTCGATGTAAAAATGACGGTTGAATACATGTCTTTCTCAGCGCATGCTGATGCCAAAGGAATTATGCAACTAATTCAATATTGCGAACCAAGAAATGTATTATTGGTTCATGGCGAAGCTGAAAAGATGGAATTTTTAAAAGAAAAAATTAAACAAGAATTTAATCTTGATTGTTATAACCCGGCAAATGGTGAAATGTGTATTATTAAAACCCCAGTTAAAATCCCAATTGATGTTACATTATCTTTATTAAAAACGGAAGCAAAAAAATACTGTTCTTTACCCCCCGATCCAAAACGGCGGAGAATTTTGCACGGAGTTTTAGTAATGAAAGATAACAATGTGTGTCTTATGGATGTTGATGATGCTTGTAAGGAGGCCGGAATTAATAGGCATATAATAAGGTTTACCTCAACCGTACATCTACACGATTTAGGACCATCAATAACAACAACCCAAAAATTATATAATTTAATTAAAGAACAATTACCACAGTGGAGTGTTTCAATGACTGAAGGATCGATTTCGGTTGAATCGGTTTTGGTTAAAGTTGAAGGTGATGATGATGAACAAAAAAGTGTTTACGTTTCGTGGACTAATCAAGATGAAGATTTAGGGAGTTATGTTTTAGGTCTGTTGAATTCTATGGGTAAATAATTTGATTTTAAATTAATTGCCATTAGTTATTAAGGAAAATGTATTACTTAGAATAATGTTGAGTTAATTAAAAGGAATATTTTTTAAAATCATTTTATTTTATTTGTTTCTCTTAAAGTTACCTAAGTAATTTTGAAAGTTTTTTAACGCGTGTGAAGTTGGCCATAGATTTCAGCCATAGATTTTAAACTGAAAAAAATGCGTGATCGGGGTATTCGATCGATCTAATTTCAACGCCATCGTATTCATGGGCGCCTCTTGTTTCAGATTCGAAAAGAAAATTTTCCTAACCATTTCTTATATTCCAAGAAAATCGATTTTCTTCAAACATTCGCAAATTTCGGCCGATTCGGTTCGTGGTTTCTAATCGATCTAATTTCAACGGCATCGTATTCCTGGTGCCCTTTTACTTTAGATTCAAAAAGAAAATTTTCCTAACCATTTCTTATATTCCGGGAAAATAGTTTTTCTTCAAACATTCGCAAATTTCGGCCTGGGATTTCGAATGGGATGAAATTCTCCATATTTCTCTAATATAATAAAATATGATGTAGGTAAAAATAAAAACTTTTTGAGAAATACTAAAATGTTTAATTCAATTCAAGCAGACATGTTTCGAAACTAATGTTTCATCTTCAGTACTTCGAATATTATACAATATAATGGAAATGGTATTTTGTTAATAGGTGGGGTTTAGGAATGGATCTAAATTTCTTTCAACTTAATTTACAAACAAAGAACTAATTTAACAAAACCAAAAAATTCAATAATATAGTTAAAATCTTGTTTGAAGATTTTAACTATATTATTGATCATTGTATATATATTATTGTATATATTGATCATATTTTACAATATAAGCAATATTATATAAGCAATATATACAATATTTTTGTTGTACGTTTAGGTAATATTGGTCATCTGCTGTAATTATTTCATTTAAATTGTTTTAAGCTAGGTGTCCACTTGCGAAAAATGCTCTCGAGAGAAGCTATCGACCCCACCAACTTTCGGAGAATGAACAGGTTGAGACTTGTACTCAAGTGGACAATCAATTTATCTATCGTGAGAGTAACTGTCGAAAAATGAACACGATTCGAATTTTGCTGCGAGTTTTCTCAATATAACACGTTTAAAGATGACGCTTAAAAGAAAATAGTCCCAAGAAGACATATTTGAATTAATTGAAGTGTATGAAGAAAATTCAATTCTTTGGAATACCAAATCTAAAGAACACAGAAATCGGGAAGCGAGGGATGCAATTTTAACAAGTATTGGACAGAAATTTAAACGGGATTTGTACCATTGGTAATATCTAGTCTTTTGACAACACCATTTGGTCTTCTGACAGTAAAATTAAGTTTTCTGCTAACACTGTTTGGTTTTTTAGTAGTAGTGTGTAGCCTTCTGTAAGAAGGATGTGCTTCATTTGCAATATCTAGTCTTTCACTAGCAATACTTAGTCTTCTGTCAGCAATATCTTTTTTCATTTACTCATTATTCAATTTAACGATGTTGGAATCAACCATTTTCAAGATTCAAGCAATATCTAGTCTTTTGCAGCAATATCTACTCTTCTACCAACAGTATTTCGTCTTCTGGTAGTAGTGTGAAGCCTTCTCTAAGAAGAATCTGCTTCATTTGCAACATTTAGTGATTCATTAATAGTACTTAATCTTCTGTCAGCAATATCTAGTCTTTTGCAGCAATATCTAGTCTTCTAGCAACAGTATTTCGTTTTCTGGTAGTAGTGTTAAGTCTTCTGTAAGAAGGATGTCCTTCATTTGCAATATCAAGTCTTTCACTAGCAATACTTAGTCTTCTGCCAGCAATATCTAGTCCTTTGCAGCAATATCTAGTCTTCTACCAACAATATTTCGTCTTCTGGTAGTAGTGTGAAGCCTTCTCTAAGAAGAATCTGCTTCATTTGCAACATTTAGTGATTCATTAATAGTACTTAGTCTTCTGTCAGCAATATCTAGTCTTTTTGCAGCAATATCTATATAGTCTTCTAGCAACAGTATTTCGTCTTCTGGTAGTAGTGTTAAGTCTTTTGTAAGAAGGATGTCCTTCATTTGCAATATCAAGTCTTTCACTAGCAATACTTAGTCTTCTGCCAGCAATATCTAGTCTTTTACAGCAATATCTAGTCTTCTACCAACAGTATTTTGTCTTCTGGTAGTAGTGTGAAGCCTTCTGTAAGAAGAATCTGCTTCATTTGCAACATCTAGTGATCCATTAATAATACTTAGTCTTCTGTCAGCAATATCTAGTCTCTTTCAGCAATTGAGGCGTTTAAGTTTATATTTTCTAATAATTTTCCAAAATACTGCCAAGCCACTATTAAGCTATCACGTGCACGACAATAAACTTATAGTTTGCATTTATAAGTGCCATTAAAGCAATCGAGTTCACTTTTTTGTGAATTAGTATGCCAAATAACTAACAATTTGATAACGAATGTTGATATTTGTTTACACCCAGCTCTAATCTACGCCAAATCCATGGTTTCACCCTACAACTTCTTTTTATTTTTTCTGTTTGTTTTTTTTTTAATTTTGTACAACACTATTGCACTTGCAATTTTTTTTACATCTATGTTTACACACACCAAACACTGAAAGAAAATAAATTTTACCTTCCATAGCACGAACGCATTTCACTAGTGGACACGGTCCTGAGAGAACTGTCTGAGAGAAAGTTCTCGGAAGTTTTATAGAAGGTTTCGGAGAGCAAAAACAGTCACAAGTACACACACAGTTGAGAGTAGATATCGAGAGTTACTCTCAGATGTTTCTCTCAAGTGGACACCTAGCTTTAAATTTATAATTTTTAGGTTCTCTAAAAGTCATTTAAAATCGAATAAAGCACCAGGCCACGATAATATCACCGTAGAGATGGTTAAACCTATGCAACAAAATATGGCAGGCTGGACGCTGGTCTAAAGATTAGATGCATGTATCCATATTTATGCCAGTACATAAAAAAGGTTCTACATAACAATACAAGTCTCCCAGACTGTTCAACACATATGGCAAATATATAATACGACATTGTCTTGAGCACTACGACGCAAAGGTGCTAATCAGGTACGAAAAGCTACGTTAACGATACGAGTATGTCAGTGACATCGAGATGGCAGAATTGGTCCAACTAATTACCAATGAAAGCCGCACACTGGGTCTGAAAAAAATCTTGCTAAAAATAGACAAATGATAGTGGACCGAAGCAACATCTTCATTTTGCATAGGTAATGGAGCATTATTTAATGTAAGAGCAGGACAGATTCCTTTTTTTAGAGTGAATGTAATATGAGTAAACTTATTGGGATTTATTTTTACTCGCCACTGTTCAACCCATTTTTCCAGCATCAATAAGTTATAATTATAGTTTCGTCCGCGTAAGTAGCAATTATAGTGTTGTTTGTCGTAAGCATGTCAGCTGTGTATAGAAGGTAGGCTCCAAAATACTACCTTGAGGAACTTCATGTTTCGATAGCAGCGAATATGTGTCATTTTGTCTAACGAAAAATTATTTCTCCGTCAGATATGATTTCAATAGTGTACCTACATACTGAATACTGAATAAGGTAGATAGGTTTTAAATTTGCCTATAAAATTTGTCTAAAAACGCTGGTGTACAATATTTTTTGGCCTCTAGGACATCTCTAGCTGATCTCACTACTCTGTGCACCTGTCCTATAGTACCATGCTGATTTCTAAACCCAAATTGATAGTTAGGAATTACCTTTTAATTTACTATGATGCTCTGAAGTCTTTTCAATAACAGCTTTTCGAACACTTGAAAGCAATGGAAGTAAACTTATTGGGCGGTAGGAAGCCACGTCGCTCGTGATTTTATTTGGTTTCAACACCATAGTTTTCTGGGACACCTTAATTTTATCGGGAATGATCCTAGTCTTCGGACTCCGTTGAAGATAAGCTGTACCATTCGTAGTCATTAAATTTTCAGTTTGAAGTACTTCAATGTCAATTGGAAGTCATTGAAGGTGAATTCAAGGAGACATTTCCAGAGTTTATATTCAATTTTTAGTTTGAAGTACTTTAAGGTGAATTAGAGACCATTGAAGGTGGGTTCATGGAGACATTCTTAAAGTTTTGAAATTATTTTTCACTTTTGAGTACAACAACGTTAATTACAAGTCATTCAAGGTGAGCTTAGAGCTACATTGGTGAGCTACATTCTTAGAGATTTGAATTAAATTTTAAATTTTAAGTAGATCAAGGTCAATTGGAAGTCATTGAAGATGAGTTCAAGGAGACATTCTTAGAGTTTTCAAATTATTTTTCACTTTTGAGTATCTTAATCTTAATAAGCGTTTTATTGTTTATAATTTACAATATTTTTCCAGTACAATATACAAAGTACCATGTATGTATACGCCCAAATCTACTCTCCCCCCAATCTCCACACCCTCGGCTCCTCGCCCCAACCTCCTCCCTCATCTATCTTTTGCCCTCCACCCCCTCTCCCAAAATCTGCTTGCTGTCCATCGCCTCCTCCCTTAGCTCATTACACCCTCTCAGCATCTGTTCCAGCGTCTCCCAATCCTCTCCATACAGTCTACACTATCTCTCCACATCGTCCGTCCAATACCTGTTCCCTCTCTCCTCATTATCACAGTGGAATCTGGTTACCAATTTCTTCCCTTTATCATCCCCCTCTATCAACAGATACTTTGGCAATTTCTCTGTCACTATCTTCCCATACCTTACATTATATCTCCCTTCCCGTATCTATGACCTTCTTCCTGCCTCTGTATGTCCCTGTCCCTATCTCTCAGTTCTCTCAACATTTCACCCCTCTCCACTTTTCTGTTGTCGATCCCAGTTAGAGAATATCCCACTCTCCTATAATATCCTTCTCTATCTCTGTGTCCATACATCAGCCTCCTCTCTTTAATTTCATTCTAGCACTCTCCCAGGATCCTGAAATGCGGTCTTCCTTCTATCATTTCCTCGTACTTCACTGCTCTTCTTCCAGCCTCCACCCTTACTGCATCCACCTTAACCTCCTCCCTCACTACATACCCTTTTTTTTATACGAGGTCGGGGAAAATCTGCAATACAGACATCTGACCTAAGATGATGAGCGGCCAGATGTGTGAGGTTGAGGTCAAATATCCCGACCCACTAAAAATCCCTTTCCTCGTCTTCTCCGGGAACACTCTCACGAGCTTTCTTCGGAGTATTATTAATTTATTCTCTCTCCCATCGTACCTTCTCCTCCCTTTCCTTTGTCACAACGACCTCCTTCACAAACTCTTCCACAATCTTCCATTTTTCTTCACTTTCTAACATAACTTTCGTGCAGTTTTCCGGTGTTAGCTTAATGTTCAATTTTTTCCACATTTCCTCCTGTATTTCATTCCATCATGCACAAGCAAAACACGTGTGCTCCACATCATCTACTTTATCTTCGCAGTAATCGTACATTTCTTCCTCTCTTCTCTTATGTTTGTGGAGGTACTCTTTAAAGCAGCCATGACCACTCAAGAATTGGCACATAAAATAATTTATTTCTCCCCATGCCGAGTAACCTATGTTTGAAGTTTTGGAATTATTTTTTTCGTCCATTGCGCTTTACCAGTGTTCGTGATCCATCGATTGTTCCATTCCCGCATTATTTCCTCCTCCATGGTGTCACGATCTTCTTTTGTTGTCCATGTAAACATTCGCCTTCTTGCCATCAACTCAACTGGAAATGAGTTTGCAATGACCAATAACGCTTCCGCAGAGACGGTTCTGTAAGCAGTGACAATTCTTATCAGAATCTGTCTCTGTATGCTCGTCAGCTTTTGTGTGTTTTTTTTGATCTCAAACACCCCGCTCCAAGCTTTGCAGGCGTATAGCATCTGCGAAAAGACTACCGAGCCTATCAATTTTCTTTTCTCCGTACTTGGTCCATATGTCGAACCCATTATCATGTGTAATGAATGCATTTATGGTTTTCTGCGCCTTAGTGTATACATATTCGACATGAGGGCCCCATCTCAGGTCTCTACCAATCATTACACCCAAGTATTTGAGTGAGTTACTAGAATTTACAATATGTCCTGCCACATTAATCTCAATTTCTCCTCTACTTTTCCTATTTTTCATTAATACGCATTCAGTTTTCTCTGGTGCCAGCTTCAAACCCATAAACTCTAATTTATCTATAATTACTTTAATAACGCGATGTGCAATGTTAGTAATATTCTCCTTACTCCAACTAGAAATTACAATGGCCAAATCATCTGCATATGCCACTAACTTAACGTCTTTAATTAAGACGTTAAGTCAACTGGAGTCTCCCTTGCCAACCCTAGTACCCATCTCCAATACCTTGTTTGTACATCTTCCAGCAATTCTTGTTCTGTCCATCTCCATACTTCTGCGCCGTACATTATTGTGCTCCTCACCAAGCCCTCAAACATAACCTTTCTTTTTCCCATATCATTTTTGCTATCGTCTTCACGTGCGACCCGATCTTATTACATTCCGAAAACCCGTATCCCAGGTACGTATACTCTTTCACTTTCTCTCTATGACGTTTTTAGTTTGAAGTACTTCAAGGTGAATTAGAAATCATTGAAGGTGAATTCAAGGAAACATTCTTAGACTTTTTAGATTATTTTTCATTTTTGAGTACATCAATGTCAGTTAGAAGTCATTCAAGGTTAGCTCAAGGAGACATTGTCAGAGTTTTGAATTAAATTTTCAATTTTAAGTAGATCAAGGTCAATTGGAAGTCATTGAAGGTGAATTCAAGGAGAGATTCTCAGAGTTTTGAATTAAATGTTCAGTTTGAAGTACTTCAAGGTGAATTAGAGGTCATTCAAGGTGAGTTCAAGGAGACGATCTCAGAGTTTCGAATTAAATTTTTAGTTTGAAGTACTTCAAGGTGAATTAGAGGTCATTCAAGGTGAATTGGAGGTGAGGAGTTAATTATCCTTTGAAGGAAACTTATAAAAAGAAAACTAAAAATCTTTATTGATTTCTTTATTTATCTTAAAATTCACAAGCTCTATAGTTTACGTCATTTATTACAAAGCTGATTTATTTATTTTTATTCTTTACGTTAAAATGCAATTGATTTTATACAAAATATACATAAATTATTACAAACTATTTAATACTTCTTTGTAAACCTAGGTGTCTTGTAAATAACCAGATACAAAAAAAAATACATTTCACAGTATTAGGCACAAGGAAGGCACTATTGTCCTATTGTTCTTAAATAAGTACTATTCGACAGTGTAGTTTCTGATCTAGTGTAATTAGTTGATTACATTTACAAAGTTTTTTTTATTCGTAAAATACTGCATACTCAGAATATTTATTTACATATTTACAACAATATGTAGTAGTAGTAGTAGTATTTATTTATAATAGCGTTGCTAAGACGTAAGGAAAAGAACAAACAAAAAAATGGAATGATGTGTATGCACGATAGCTACGTTTACAAAAAAATCAAGATCTAAAAGTATGTTTTCAGGCGAGAATAAAGGAGTACTATGTTTATAAGAAAACATTCTTTTAGATATTCACAAAAATTTATAAAATATGGGTCATAAAAACAAAAAGGAATAAATAAAGCAAATCGTTTAATTTTTCTCGTAATTTTTCTTAAATGAACTCTTGTATATTACTCTAAGTGTATCTAAAATATTAAAAAAAAAATCAGGAACAATATAATAAATACAAAAGATAAAAAACAAAAACCTATGTACACGAAAGAGATAATCTTAAATTTTTATAGTAACTAGTATAATTATCAGTTATATTTAAATAAAAGTTATATTTTATATATAAATCTAACAAAACCTGTTCTTCTTAAAAAAATTAATTAAAAAAAAAAACAAAAAGAATTAAAATATTAAATAATATCACACTAAGAACAAACAAGTGTTTGTTTGTGTCACTTTGAAAAGTTTATCATCACGAGATCATACAGATCATAGCTTAGCTATCTATCATAATTTTTTATTTTATTTATTTTTATAGTGCAGGAAAAAGAACCTTCATTAACACCTCAACCACTTTTTATGTCTTTACTAAATTAAGTCATATGTATAATTATAAAAATCTGTAAATAAGTTAGAAGAAGCGAGTTGTTAATTGAATGTTCTCTTTCAAAAAAAAATAATATCAAAATAAAAAAAACACAAAAAAAAATCTACAATATATTACACTGGCCCCATTATTTTATATTAAACATGAACTGTAAGCACATCAACACTTGCACTAGTGTTCTGTTGCGAAGTCCGTTGTTTATTTATGTTTATAATACTTTTACTAAAGTCCTTATGTCCTGAAGAATCATCGAAAGCGGCGGTGTTCTTCCGTACATCCGGATTTTGAGCCTTATACAACATAATCTGGCTATTTCTATGCGTTGGTTTTAAACCATCATTTAAATCGTTTAATTTTAAACCTTCAGTCGTACTTGTACCTGGAGCAACCATTAAAGTTTTTCTTCCAGGACAATCGGCTTCCGAAATCATCTCCAGCATTTCACTCGAAGGTTCATGCGTGTGAATCGTCGATAAAGGACGTACAACACTCACTTTTGGTATATCCATAGCGCACGCACCCGCACTATTAATACTAGCCAAACTTCCCTCGTCCTTCAGCGGATTCGCGTATCTTCTTAGATTTTCTTCGTTTTGTAAGTTGTTCTTCTCATCTTCGTGATTACGGTGGCAAGAATCCATCGATGGCGATAAATTAACACCGCTCAATCCTAAATTTCTTCTTCGTTGACGAATGTAGAGTAAGAATCCAACGCATCCCGCACATAATCCAATGATGATTAAGCAAACTAAAGCAATTAGGTATTTATTACTAGGTGGTTCTTCAGAAACGAGAGCCGTTTCAACTTTTACTTCCATTATTGAGGTTAGAGCTAAAACTGCGGTTTGTTTACGAGAAATTGCTTCGCCTAAATAACGGATACCTTCTAAAACACCATCTTTTCCACTCTGTAAAGAAATGATTTGATTAGAATCAAAAATTGTTTTAGAAAAATTTAAAACTTACCAAAGTTACTTCAACAGAATCGTTGTACTCAATTTTCAAATCGCATAAAAGTACCAATTCATGTCGAAGATCATGAGTTAACTCATAACTAGCTAAAACTTTCCTTAATTCCCCACAAAGTCCTTCAACGGAAACTCCAAGAGGTAATTTTACTCTATCTAATAATACAGTAACTCTCGCGCAATAATTGCTTAAAACGGCTTGATTCGGCCAACACGAACTTGGACTTGGAACTGAAGGTGGTTTTATGCTTCGACCACTTTCGAGATCTCTACATTCCCCGTAAGGTTGACATGGTGGTGTTAGGCACGATTCAACTGTTGGTGGAACACAAACTTGATTGGTGTTGCAAACGTTGTTGGGAGCGTTTCGGCAGTTTTCTAAGCCGCACCAAATCTTTGTGCACTTAACTTTTCCGTTTTGACATGCGCATTTATTACAATCGTGTTGCCAAGTGTAGTTATTTTCGAAGGTGTGACTTTCCCAGGTGCAACTACCAGGAAGTGGGGTGTAAGTGCCATCATCCACTGAAATTAAAAAAAAAAGATGTTAATTTAACATTAATGATTGAGAATAGAGAAGTGGACTTACAATTACAAGTTTTTCCACTTTTCCCTGAAGGACAAATACATTGAAAATCTCCAATCCCATCAACGCAAGTTCCTCCGTAAGCACAAGGATTTGAAGCACATTCATTGACGTTGATTCGGCAATCTGGTCCGGTGAAACCTTTCGCGCATTCGCAAAGAAACCAGTTAACACCATCGATACATTTTCCACCGTTATAGCAAGGTTGTGGCATACAATCGTTAACGTCATCTTGGCAATGATTTCCTTCGAAACCATCGCGACAAATACATTGATAATAATCCCCTTTATTTACGCATGTTCCTCCGTTTAAGCAAGGATTCGATCGGCAAGCGGTTCTTGTAGGGATGTGGCAAGTAGTTCCTTCCCAACCAGATGGACATTGACAAACAAAAGTGTTTCCTAAATCTTTACAAGTTCCACCATTTTTACAAGTGGTGTGGTCGCAGTGTCCATCTTTTAATTGGCACGTCTTCCCTTTCCAACCATTTCGACAATCACATTCGTAATCTGCCACTTTATCCGTACAGCTTCCGTTGTTGAGGCATGGATTTGGATAACATTCATCGATATCTAAGTTAATTAGAGGAATTTTTGGATTAATAAAATTGTAAATAATTTCTTTATAAGGAAGTTTAAAAATTACCTATATTGCATAAGGCACCTTCCCAACCTTCCTTGCAGATACATTTGAAAGCGTTTACTTTATCCACGCAAGTTCCCCCGTTTTTGCAAGGGTTTATTTTACAATCATTTATATCTACATGAAAGAAAATTTGGAATTAGATTCTTTTTTTTTAGAAAAGATTTCAACTTACTTTCATGGCAATATTGTCCTGTATATCCAGGTTCACATGAACATCTGTAACCATGTCCTGATGTACTGACGCAATGTCCATGTTCTCCGCATACACTTGTTGTTGATAATCTTCCACCTCCTGTAGCAACAATTTTACAGGAACCCATTTCTGAAATAAAGAACAATATATATTAGAAATTGATCGATATCTAACTTTTAAAAAAGTATAACCCCAACATTAATCTTAGTGGAAGATGCCTGATTTATATTCGTCAAGATAATGTCAGTCACGGGGTCATTCCATGACTTCATATCTCACGCAACAACTTTTTTGCGTTCTCAATGGTGTTCTAAAAATATCAAAAATCATAACACAACACTGCTCTCTTTGGCAGAAACGGCCATACAAGGATAGCTACTAAGGTGACATAGTAGCTCCTTCAAACAAGTTTAAAAGCACGGTGAAACTATGATCTGCTTCTACACTAGCTGCAAGATTTTACTACATTAAAAGTCCCTCTACAAAGAATCACGAGAAGTGCATATAACGTCATCTCTAACATTATGATGGATACTGCCACTTCAGAAGCAACCACCTCCTGATTTACAGAAATAACACGAACACAACTATCCGCAAGAAGCAGAAAATTCATGCTACAAAATTGTACGGAGCTGTATGATGCTTATCATTTTTTGGGACATGGGATTGTAGAAGTATCTTATGAAAGGCAATGCCCTCAACAATGATTACAGCAACAAATTCAATTCTACAAGAACTTGTACAGTGCATTAAATGATATTTCAATCATTCTAGAAAATATTTCAATTTCTTTTAATAGTTTTTGGACTACTAATACACATTTAATGGAATTTCCCTCTCACATATTACAAAAAACTACTGAACTTTGCCTCGGTAGAATGTAACTAATTCAGGAAGAATTCAATTTCGCAGACGACCTTAAAAACTTGACTTAAGATGCATACGGGATTTCAAAGAAAGGTGTTTTCCAGCTTTGCTAGACGACAAATTTTAACTGGTTTCATTTTAAGTCACTTTGCCAATTGTAATAATAAACGTTCACTCATTCGGATTATACAAATGTCCTTATACATGGACTTAATTTTATAAAGTCAGTATGATCAGCATGATGTCATTAATCCCATTAAAAAGATGTGACAAAAGCAACTGTCTAAAAATGCAATTCTAAGACAGATAGATATTAGATATCGTAAAAACATTGTCTGATCAAGAAGTTCTAAAAATAGTTCTTGTAAGATTTTACATAGTAATAGAGAGTAGTGGAGTTATCTTACGACTAGTTTCAGTCTAGAGTAGATAAACAGTACCTGGCGATAATAACTGAAACGGAAACACTGCTGGGGCAGCCGTAATAATATTGTTCCCAATGTCGAAGACCAACAACAACAATGTATACATCTCCAAACAGGTTTACAGGTCTCTGGTGTGTCATAATGGTATCGCTTCCAAGTTTTATGGCCTCCCTAAGATCCATCAAGAAGGATCACCTCTTAGACCGATAATTTCTTTTGTTGGGTCTCCTACTTAGGTTGTCCAGTTTTTTGGCCACTATTCTATCTTTGGCCTTAGCCAATAGGACCACATACAACATCAGTGACTCCTTCGCTTTTACTGAGGAGATGAGTAGTGTGACGTTACCCCCTCTGTTTGTTCTAATCTCGTTGGATGTTGGTTTCCTTTTCACCAACATTCCTTTGCAGTTCTGTGCAGACTGGAACCTGATACAACCTCAAATTAAGATTCCCCATGATGAGTTCCCGGAAAAGTTCTACAAGCAGAAGTTTGGTAGTCCCCTCAGTCTCATCTTGGCCACCATAGCTACGGACTGGATCTTGGACACGTATATTCCTTAGCTTCCCTTTCAATTACTGTTCATTTATAAATGTGTCGATGACATTATTTGTTTAGTACCGTATGACAGATTATTGTAAGTAAAAAGGGAGTTCAATACATCCAGTTTGTGATTGAAAATGAATCTAATAATAGTGTCCCCTTTCTGGACTCACTAGTTTCAGAAAAAGTGATCAACGCATTGTCTTAGATTGGTATATGAAGCCCACCTATTCTGGTCGGTTCATTAATTTCTTTTCCAGCCATCCCATTCAAATTAAGGATAACACCCTTAACAGCATGAAAAGCAGGGTCATTCGCATCTCCGACCATGAATTTAGAGATAAGAATCTTAGGCTCCTGATGGGCCCATGACACATCCCCCAGATGATGAAGAGCCTCCAACACTCTCCAAGATTGCTAAGGTTCCCTTTATCCCTGATTTTACTGATAATCTTGTTAAGATTTTCAAGGATTGTCCTCTGAAGTTTGCCAAATACACCTGCCAAACCGTTAAGAAGCTTTTTTTCTAGGTTGACTCTATATACTCCCTTTCTCAACTACAAGAATTGTGTTGTGGACCATATCCGATATATCCAACGAAGTATACAACTGATTCTGGAAAATGATGATCCTAACGAAATTGTATGAAATTAAGTATGTTTGATAAGGTAAGGACAGCACTGAATAGTTTCAACTCGAAGATATTGTATCAAATCCGAATCAAAACAAGGCCAGCAATTGGAGAAAAAGAAGACGACCAAAGATCTGATGACTGATTAGATTGTTTTTAAACCTTGTTTTCAACTTCACGCTGACTAACAGAAGAAGTGACAGAACAGAAGACAGTCCAGTATTTCAACTCATCCGCCTTACCGCGCACTTCACCAAAGTTGTCATACGTTATGAATACATTGGAGCTGTATTCTTAGATATGGCTAAAGTGGTAGACTTGGCATGGTTTAGCCATGGTATGGTATTAAGGTTTGATGACAACGGAAGATCCCAATACGCTCGTTAGGAAGACGATGAATTGTAGTTCTACGCCTCCCTGAAGATATTTAAGATCACAAGTGGTGTTTAAATAAAGAATCTTCAACAAATGCTTTCTAAAAACGGGTTGTGGTGCTTTTAAAAGCAGCTTTTCTAGTTTTAAAAACGTATTTTATTTATTAACGGTAAATAAAATTGCACCCGCTAGATGTCTGCAATGTTAGGCTTGCAAATGGTGCAGGGTCAATTGGTGTCCAGGATTTCTCTTAAACCAGAAGTCGAATAATCAAATTTCGAGAACGATTACTTTTTTAAACTCAAAAACTAGGGAACTAAGTGAGATTAAAAAAAAATATTCATTTTTGGCAAAATTTTGCCGTATTTACCAGAAATGTCATATTTATTGATAAAAAAACATACGTAAAAATGATTGTAAAAGAGACTAGAAGAGAGTAAGATGATACAAAATCCGTTCAAAAATGTAACTCCCACATTGTTACATTATTTTATCATGCGCACAAATTGGAAAAATGTAATTTTTAGAAAATAACGTTTAAAGTTGATCAATACGAAAAATTAAATACATTTGTCCTTCTTGGTGGTTATTCTCCTCTTGTGCAGCTAATCTGTCTGACATTAAGCTTCTATGAGCTTCTTTAGCCTCATTGGTTAGTGTGGGCAATGTGACGTGAGTCCGTTTCGTGGAAAAACTCAAAACAAGATCTTCCAGTTGTTAACTTTAATGCTTGCATTATTTCCATTATGCTTGTAAGACTGTCATTAAAATTACAAGCGGCAATATCGGACGCAATGCCAACCACTTTCTTGCCACTATAAACCGTTTTTGGTGTCATAGACCATAACATAAATATGTTGTCATAAGATCTTCTCTGGAAAGTTCTTTATATACAGGTTTCACAGCGTTAAAACATCTTTGTTTATTGCTGGGTTGTGGGTGTAGTCCTCAATTTGTGATAAAGCATACGCCTTTTGCCAGGAACACCACGAGTCGAACGTTTGTCATACAATGTAGCCTAGATCTTCTTTATGGAATCGTGATTTCTACGAATAGCAAATCCATAATATATGGAAATTCACCAATTCATTTCCCTATTAATTTTCCTTTGCCTCCTAGATCTCTCTTGTTTTTTTTTAATTTCGTAAATGCGTACCCATTCGCTTTTGCACATGATGCATTCTTTTTTTGTCACTCTAATATTTTCGTAAGGTTTTGAGTCCATAATACTTTTGAAAGTTTTGCTGTCTCCGTCTCCTATGTAAAAACAGTATTTCAAATTATGCTTTTCTTTGGAACGTTGAAACATTTCTATGACGGAATCCACTTCCATTTTTCTTGAAGATTCGGTATGGTTTATATCACATTTTTCTTTATGATCTTCAACCTAATCTTGGTATTCTACAGTATCTTCTTTACCTTTCCAGTAATTGCACTTTTTGCAAATTTTTGACTTTATTTCCAGATCAACTATTTTACCCGTACGCGATCCAATTAATGTTGTTACACGAAGTAGAGATGAAATTCCTCCAATTTGGTTGTTCTGAATGGATAATTCTCTTGTTGCAAGTGCAATTTTCGCAATTACTTTATTGTAAAAAGAATGGAAAACTGGCTTCGGTAAACACATAAAAGCACAAAACTTTGTAATACCATTCACTCCAGTAGCAACTAGTTGCCTAACAAATATTAATCTTCGATTGAGGCATAATTGACTATCAAAGGGCAAGATAATATATAACGCGCCGAACACGTATCACATATAACGGACACTTTGAAACCCAAACCACGTTGAGCTGTTTCTAAAAATTTAATTTTGGATCCAAATTTTTTGCGAACAACAATGTTAGAAAGGGCAGTAAAAACAGAAATAAAATCAATGAAACGGTATCCAAATGCTGCATCAATGTTGATGCTGTAGTCATTTTCGCTCATTTTTAACTTCTTGGCTGCACTGGTCACACTCTCACTTTGATGTTTCAGAATATTACGATTAAAAAGTTTTCTGCCACGTCTCACTGCACGATATGAAGAACCTCGCATTCCTTTTTTACCACCCATACTTACGAAAAGTAAACTAAATGTCTAATTAATGTCAAAATACCTGCATATATATATCCTGCAGTAAAAAGAAAAGACAAAAAGTTATAGGTGGCTCATTTAGAAATAAATTAGAGAAGATAGTCTGGAATTGAGACTTTTGGAAGACAACCTTTTTCTGTTAAACATGAAAAGTTCTTGCGCAATTTTAAAGATTAGATTGAAGTAGTTAGTTACGATAAAGGTTTTTTTTTTTTTTTTTTTGTATTTGAATATTTTCCGGTCTTTAATTACAAAGCATCCTGCAATTAATTTTCTTCCTTAACTATTAGTAGACAGCAGGATCTATGCGAAGAAAAGACAAGAGATATCGAAGAACCAGTTTTAACTGCGGACAGTTGAAATGGTGACAAGTCGGAAAACGTAAATCGAATTCCGTGAGATGGTAAAGAAAGAATAAACACGAAAGGACCGGACGGAAGGTAAAGTTAAAAGGTGTTATTGCATCGAGTTTCTTCGTCTTCTGCTGGTCCTTCTTCGGCGGCCGAACGAACCATGCCAAAGAAATCTATAATTAAATACCGTCGATGGGGGGAAAATATTGTATCTATGAGTCATATTGAGGTTTAGTGAGGCCGAACGCCGTTAATATTGTGCATGAATCTTGTGTGACGCGTTAGTTGACAGGCAATTTCGTGGTAGGGTGGCAGAGTGGGGGGATGGACTTCATGGGGGGTACAGGAACCCCGCTGAGGATGAAATGGAGCCCGCCGAAGAGACCGGAGAACGAAAGGATAGGATGGCTTCGAGCCGCCGTCGACCGTTACTCTTTACCGGGTGTCTTCTTGTAAATGTTTCTTTTCTCTTTTTAATTGACTTTTAATAGCGTACATTGTTCGTTAACAACTATGCTCTCTCGTACAGAACCGATCTTGAACTTGAACCGTCAAGAACCTGTTGTTAAAACAGGAAACAGGAAAATATTTTATTATCACATCAGATCTAAGCAATAATAATGTCGATATCAAAACATTTAGAGGCACCAACAAAAGTTTCAAATGAGATCTGAAAAATGGTTAAGTAAATGAAGATCAGATAAAACGATGGGTCGCGTCGATATCGTTCCGATTCGATCTCAAGAGTATTGTCGTCGTTAAATAGTCGGTGACTTGCGTTTAAAAAGTCTCTCTCAATAAACGCGATGATTGGACGGTCAAAACGAGCGGAGTTAATGTTTCTGCTCACGATTTTACTTGTATAATTTAACTCACCTTCGTTACACGGCGGATTGTCGCAAGATAAACGAGGAATGCTGCAATTCTTTCCTTGCCACTTTTCAGGACAATGACAATAGTAATCGGTTTGAGTGTTGAAACATGGCGCAGTGTTTTCGCAGGGATCTGGTGTGCAATGATCGTGATCAATCTGAAAATAAAAAATTTATTTAATTTCTTAAAATCACTTATTTTATGAAAAACTTTACCTCGCATTCATGTCCAGTAAACCCAACAGGACAAATACATTTAAATCCATTCACTTTGTCAACACATTCTCCGCCGTTCTTGCAAGGATTGCTTGCGCAGTCATCTATGTCGGTGGAACAGTACTGATCTACAACAAAAAAAATGGTTCGTTAATACCACCTTTTACCATGTCAAAGTAAACAGAAGAAAGAAAATTGAATTGTCTTTCTTGACTTTAAGCGATTAATAAACGTAGCTTATTACCGCGCTCGGTGGCACAAGACAATAGAAACTCGAAGGAAGCAGAGAAACAAGAGGACGGAAACGAGTTGACGGAGAGGAGGAAGAAAAAATTGAAAGAAACGAAGAAGGGTGCACTTGAGGGCACCGCGTATATAGTGAATTATGGCGGTTTGAAAAGGTAATTTTTCATTTAGACAAATGGCGGCTTTCGGTTTGGTCAGCGTCAGCAAAGCGCGACGTGTACCATGGAGACAATGGCCGAGAAGAGGGTCGCTCTGTATGCTGTTAAAGTACTGGAGCGTCTCGAAGGACACCGTCTGAAACGAACCGTGCATGCGTGGTAATATCTTTGCTCTTCGGTTCTGGTTTACTACTAGTAATAATTCACGTGTTCACTTTGTGTAATTCTAGAAATGTTAAAAAGAATTATAAGAAATATTTCTTCCTTTAGGAATTTATTCGATTAAATCTTTATGAACGATTTAAGATAAAGATTACAGTACAAGATCTTAAACCATTACTCATTGAAACTATGCTCTAGTTAAATCGACACACTTAACAGAAAATGATTGATGGTAAAACTTCGAAATGTAGACGCAAGAACAAGAAGCGAGTAATCTATAATTAAACTGCTATTAATCTACTTTCCGCCAGGAACAAAATACCAGAGAAGTTGTGTTAAACTAGATAAGGAAGAAATAATTTTTCTAGTTTGAAATGTTAAAGTGTGTATGCGGGGGAAACGCGTTGAAGCGTGTGTGAGTGTGTGGAAATTGAAGTGAGTACACTTTATGTCAACATTCACACGTCAGAGCCGTCCTTAATGACACATTCTTATTCCACGTTTCGCACGAGGAGCTCGCTGCTCGCGGCAGTTTATGGCGACCCCTGAGGCCGCTGATGATCAGATCTGGATCTACCCTCGTAAAGTGTCAGAGGCGTTCGCGATCTGCCGTTTCTTCCATCGGCGGAGCCCCTTTGTATTCAATCTTTACCGAGATCTCTCTTCCCTTTGTGGCCGCAGCTTATATTACCAAAGCGGGTCTTACGGTTTAAATTGCCAACGTAAAGGTTCTCTACTATTCGACGATTCTTGGTAGGTACTAACCTGTGTAGCCTGGTTGGCAGGCGCAATGGAAGTCATTTACCAGGTCGATGCATGTTGCTCCGTGCAAGCATTGGCCCGTACAGTCGTTTATGTTTTGATCGCATTTTTTTCCTTTCCAACCAACACGACAATCACAATGATAATCACCCAACAAATTCGTACAAGATATAGAGTTAATACACGGTTTCGTCAAGCATTCATCTGCATCTGCAATCAAATTAACAAAGAAAAAAAATTACTTTCACTTTCTTCACAATTTTTTAATCAACTTTTCAAAACAAAATAACGATAACATGGGACAAAAAGTGAAATTATTATTATACATTTTAGAAAGTTAGAGATAGCAATCACGATTTAATTTTAAGATAAGAGTAAATTTAATCGAAAACATACCAAATTCGCACAAGTTTCCTTCCCAAGCCGAAGGACAATCACATTCAAATTTGTCTTCGAGGTCGACACAACGGCCTCCATTTTGACATGGTGCCGAGGCGCATTCATCTATATCTGAAAATGAAAGAAAATATTTCATCACATGAGACTTTATACGTATTCCATTTCTGAATTACGAAATATTTTATTTGCTTTTGTAAGAACTTTGAAAGATCCTTCGTATCGCGAAGATAACGACGGTTTCAAAAAGATCTATTAACAGGCTTTAATTTGGAAAAAGTTTCTCTTAAACTGGAGCGGAAAGATTCATATTCTATAGATGGATTAGTAGGTATGAAGAACTTTCCAGGAAGTCTTGGTGGTTGTCCGTAAAGCAGTTCTGGTGAGGAGCAATCTAGATCATCTCTTAAGGATGATTCTTAATCCTAGTAGGATGAGGGGTAGATTGTTGTTCCATCTAGTCGTGTCTCCTTTAGTGATGATAGCTGTCTTTAATGATCGATGAAATCGTTCTAACATTCCATTTGTTGAGGATGGAAAGATGATGTGTGCATTTGTTGTGTGCCGAGTAATGTGCTAAATTTTGAAAAAACGTTTGGTTCGAATTGGTCTTGATCATGTGTAATTGTGGTGGTAGGTATACCAAATCGACTAAAATGATGTCAGAAAAGTGTGTTTGCTATAGTAGAAGATGTGATATCTTTTAGCGAAAAAGCTTCTGGCTTTTGTATGTTTTTGGATCTTTGCTTGTTGACATTTTAAGCAGACTTTGACCCAAACATGAATTTGCTTTGACATGTGTGGCCAAAAAAATATTGTTTTGATTGCATGAATGGTGAAACGTATTCCAGGATGAGATAAGCTATGAATTTTGTCGAAAATTGCTTGTCTGAACTGTTGCGGAATATAAATTCTTGGAGATGATAAAGAGGTTTCACACCACAGTTTGATATTAGATTGTGATCTTGTTTGATGGGCCAAATGATAAGAATTTGAAGGATTGTTGTAAAATTGTGTATTCAGTAAGTTTGACAATTTTGTGTCACCAAGTAGAGCGTTGCTAAAGGTTAGAAAATCTGGATAAGATGAATTTCGAGATCCGATGTTTGTTCTGGATAGAGTATCTGTGATAACATTTGAATATAACTTAGATATCGGGTTTGACCAGGAGTTTTGTCTGAGGACGAAAAAATTGATGTGACAATGAGTTTGTGATCTGTATATACTGTAAATTGATGTCCATGTAAGGAATGTTTGAAAAATTTGATGGCAGAGAATAATTCTCTATCAAAAGTTGAATATTTGCTGTGGCATGAAGTAAATTTTTTGGAAAAGAACGCTAAGGGTTGAGATGTTTCATTGATGGTTTGTGTTAAAACAGCTCCCATACGTGTGTTAGATGTATCACTTGACAATGATAGGGTAGCATGTGAAGAAAGATATCCTAGAAAGATAGATTTTGACGAAAAATCTTTAGCTGAAGAAAAAGCGTTGTCGTGTTCAATGTCCAAAAAGTCAATGAGATCGCTTTTTGTGTTTGATAGTGATGTATTTTGAAAGTATGTATAAGGGATCAAGAATATTTGAAATGTTAGGTAAGAATCTGTGATAGAAGTTTAACATTCCTAAAAATCTTTCTAACTCTTTTAGAGTCGTTGGTTTTGGAAAATGTGTTATCGCTGTGATTTTTGATTGGGAAAGAAATGTTTAAAGAAAACTTGAAATCTAGCAGTGTCAAAGAGAACTTTTAAAAAGGTGATATTTGAAAAACTACTTCCGGTTCTCTTCTAGAGTTTAAGTAATGATTTATATCTCAAATTAAAGCTTAACTTAGAATAGTTGACGATTTAAAGAATATAACTATGTTGAAGATAATTGTTAAAAAGATAATATTTAATAAAGCACATCCAGGTTAATTCTCGTTTTGATGAAGTTTCGCCGATTTGATTGGGGTTCAATGAAATTTTTTGGGTTAATATTAATCTTGGTGATCAAAATTGTGATTTTTATACTATTTTATGAATTGCCTTTTGTTTCATTGAAGTTCATTTGCTTGATGCAAAAGATTTGGTTTTAATTTGAAGGTTTGATGGAGTTTCTTGAATTTAGTTGGGGTTCAATGAAGTTCTTTTCGTTAGTATTAATCTTTCTGATAAGAACTACATTTTTTATTAAAGTTCCATTGCTTGATAATAAATTTGTAGCAAACATTTTTGATTTCGATGAAGTTTTTGGATTAATATTAAACATCGTGATCAAAATTAAGATACTGATACAGCTTTATGGGTTGTATTTTGTCTCATTGAAATTCTTTTGCTTGATTTTCAGTGAAGTTTATTATTAACTTTTGTGATCAAAATTTTCAAAAGATTCTTGAATTTCCTTAAGTTTCAATTAAGTTTTTTGTGTTACCATTACATCTTCTCATTAGAATTACGTTTAGATTAGATTTCGATGAAGTTTTTGAATTTTTTGGTTAATATTAAATATTACTAATAATTACTCCAGATTCCTATTGAAAATGAAGTTTTTGATGAAGATTGATGTTAAAAATTGAGGATTTGTTGAAGTTGTTTTGTCTAATGTTAAATATAAATTATAAATTGAAGTTTTGGCGTTGTACTTAATTTTAGCAACGTTGCAATGACATGATGAGGTTAATGGTAATGGTTTCCATTGAGTTTGACATAAAAGAAGTTATTTTTAGCCATGCTGTTTCGCTGAGTATCACAAGACTAGCAATGGTATCTGGCATGACTAGCATGTTATTTTTCCGATTTCCGCCTGCAACTTGTCTCGAGTCGATTCCATTTGTGGCACTTGAAGAGAGTGTATTCAGCATCATTGTATTTGTTATCCGCGTAAAGACACGCAGGGTTGTTAACGTTTCCTATCTTCCCTACATATTTTTGGAAGTAATCGTCATACTAATTACATCCGGGATAAAGTCTGCAGTCTATCATTATAACTCTGCCACGCAGCATAAGTTACCATCCTGACCTATTTACTCGATATCATTCTGAAGGCGCTAGTGAACTTCTCTGCTGTATCTGGCAAGCACAAATGTCTAAATGATATAGCGCAAAATGTTTGGCCTTTCTTTTTAGGTATAATATAAGGACAAGTCCTTGAATTCTTTTCGTAAAAGACGTCATTCCTCAGACAGATGTTAAACATGTTCAGTAAGAGTTTTGGGGACGCAGTTATAGCTATCTAGCGGGTTTCCGCTGTATACCGTCTAGACCAGGTGCTTTCCTACTTTTCATAGTATTTACTGCGGATATTACCTCATCTTCTGTGTATAAGGGAATATCTTCCGCATTAGCATGGAGTATTATGGTTGTTAAACTCACCATTGGGCGATTTGGGCATTAAACAACGCTGGTTTAAGTCCTGCGAGATACGATGTTTGGCGCAGTTTTCTTATTATGAATTTATAACCCAGACCCTAGATTTTTTGAAGCTGGATTGATACCAAAGATGCATATGGCGTTTGATATGCTACCAGCTAAAGCTCCAGCAACCGTTCCATCAAACGTATCATTTCTTTTGCCACTTGTGGGACTGGGAACAAATAATTATAAATATGCTTTCTGGTCATCAGAGCCCTGCACTGATTTTATGGCACTATTAAAATAGCAGATGATTATAGACGTCTTGTTGATTTAGATCATTCCGCAAAAAATATGGATAAAAAGTCAGAGTTCATACACAAAACCCTGCATGAACTATAAAAGCACAACCAGTATCCGAATTTCTTATAGATCTATTAAGGTAGATACCAATCCCAAATTAAATTGGTGTAGATATAGTTAGTGCATGAATAAGTTACTGGTACAAATTCAGACACATCCACTTCTCTGGATGTGAAATGAGTTGAACTTTTTGCCGATGATCATACTCAATACAACACTGAATCTTGAGTCTAAAACAAACTTTGTTTTTAATAAGCTATAGTAATTCTGACTAAAATATGATAAATAATGAGAATCTTTATATTAAAAACGGTTTATAAAAGCACGACAAAAAAAATTCAAGTTGTTGGCATTTTTAATTAATGGAACAGTAATAATTAACTTTAAAGCTATTCCAGTTTCTCAACGCGTTCGTAGCAAGAGAAGAGAGCCCCACACTGTGATTACGTGTTCGTAAATTCTTAGAACGTGCCGATTAAGAAGTTCTACGGCCGATAATGGTCGAAATTCACACGAAAACCTTGCGCCGACGAACGCATTATATATAAATCACGGTTTAAGAGCAGCTACTTCAGCGGTTCGGGTTCAGAAGTGGTCGTATCTGGCGTAAAAGGGAGTCTCGAGAGTCTCGATGCTGAGACGGAGACGGAGGGGATTTGAAAATGGGTGAAAGTGGCAGAAAACCCTGCCTTGGGACTAACATGTTTACCACCACGCCTTCCTTCGACCACTGTCAAAATCACAGACCTGTTATTTTCCCAGAAGTGAAATTAATTGAGTTTTTTTTAAAGTCTACTGTAAACGACTTCTGAGGTCGTCATAACAAATTTTTGGTTCTGTTTTGAAAGTGGTAGTTATCTTTTATATTTTTAATAGGAATAAAAACGTATTTCTTGTAAGAATTAAATACAATTTCTTTATTGGTAGGATTCGAATTAAGTTTGGTTAATCGAAATATAAATTTATAATATTTTTAAGTTTATCGTTGATGAAGAAAATGAGTAAACATAATTAATTAAACGCGGGTTCGAGATACCATCGAGTATTTATAATTAAGGTAACACCCACACTATCTGCGAACGGGAACCAATTCTGGAATCTAATAACCGATACCGTGTGCAAACGCATCCGAAAACAAGAAAAATTGCCTTCGGTGGTAGGAAGGTTTTCTCCACCCCCGGAGCCGACAGAAGAACATTTTGGGCGGGCAGATCAACGGTTCTTGTCAGTTTTACCAAGAGCAGCAAAGTAACGCCTTCTATAGAGAAGAGATTAATAATTAATGAGAAATTCAAGTTAAGTCAAGTTGATGATTTTGTGAGCGTTAATAAACTCATTGATATTGAGGCAAAGTCGACTTACAAGTTGTTCCGTTGACTTACAAGAAGGAAAATAATGTCGTTCGTTTGCCGAGTTTTAGAAAAAGAAATCTATCGGCTCAGAACTACGAATCACGGAATTAATAGAGTGTGCCGGAATAAAAATAGAAGCCCGGACTGGGCAGTATAAATCAGCGGTTACCTAGCAATTACTTCGCCTCTCCGCCCCGTTATTATATCTATTACCGGCTAGGAGTGCTGCGATCGCGGGGAGACTTAATTATGGACGGACCAAGTCCTCACCTCTGACCCCCGCAGCATTCCGCCGGTTTCTTCGGTCTTCTTGTGGTGGCAACAAACCACAAAAAGAAGAATTCAACGATCAAAACCTGACTTCTTCTTCGGTCACCACTCTAACTCCTCTGTTTGCCATTCTTAATTAAGTATTACTTTTATAACGAAACTATATTTCCAAACGAAATTATAAATAAACTTAAAAAGACGCAATATTTTTGAAACCACATTAGAAACGTCAAATTAACCACAATTTACGTCTATTTAGAACCCGATAAACGTCAAAGTAATTTACACATTTTCTTTAGCGGGGCCGTTATTTTTGGCACATTTACAACACAACCCATTCTTTGTTCTCGACATTTTAAATTTGAACCTCTAATTTAAAGCGGCAATATCTTAGATAAAGTGTTAACCATTTTGTGAGAATAAATTGTGAAAAAGAAAAATTTATTTTAAAAATAGTTTTTTTTAAATGCGGTTAACTCAAAAACCCTTAACCCTTTTCTTTTTCTTCGCTACTCTTTGAAGTAGTCTGCGAGACAATAAACCCCGGCCGCCAATTAATTTTGATTGCGGCCCCGAAACCGCTGCCGTGGCCCCCAAGAAGTTGCCGAAGCAGCTTCGGCGGTCGAAGCGTCGTCGTAAAGTTATTGTTTCTAATTTGGGGTTCGTTCGCGTTGCGGTCTTCCTCGAGAGATGGGGGGCTGGAAAGGGGGCGTAAACTTGGTACTTACTTATATTGCAGGTGGGGCCCGTCCAACCTGGAGGACACTGGCAATTAAAGGAACCCCCATCGACGATGCAAGTGCCTCCGTATTGGCAAGGAGCTGGTGCGCAAGGGTTGTCTACTACTTCACAGTTAACACCGGAAAATCCTTCGGGGCACGTACAATGATAGGCATCTGGAGCGGTGTTTTCACATGTTCCACCATTTAAACATGGTTCGTGTGTTCCACAATAATTTAAATCTGAAAATGAAATCAATTGGTAAAATCAGTTTAATTAATCACAATTGTTTATACTAAACATCAAATTGTTGTAAAACTAATTCAGCTCCTCAGAGGTTAAGTCACAAACTCGAAATTGTTAAGGAGAGAGTTTTGAAAGTGGACTTAACCCAATAGCTGCCACGATCCCCATTTGGGGATTTTAAATTTTAACGTACCTCACTTGGCAAATTACAATTCAAAAAAGAAAAGTTGGCAGTCAATGGGTTAACGTTTAAACATACACATGGTGGAGATAACTCATTTCGCAAAAAATGTGACTTAACACACCTTACCTCTGAAGTGCTGAATTAATCAAAATGAGCGAATGTTGTAAATACACATGATTATAAATCAAAAACTAAAATTGATGGTGCAGAACGTTGGTTACTATCAAAAGTCTCTCAAATTCTATTTCACTTTATACTTAGAGGAACATTTTTGAATCTTATTTGTCTTCATTGGAAATTAATGGTTCAATTTGTGTAATAGTGATAGAGTTTTGACCAACAAATTCTATCACTTACAGAAGAATGTTTGCAATTCAATATCTCATTTAATATATTTGAGTTAATGAATTTTGTAACATTTGTGAAAATAATGCAAGGTTTTAATGGTAATATATAGCTAAAAACAGTTAGCTTATACACTTCATTGAACGTGGCTTTAGGGCTCGATTCAATGGTTTCAACACCGGATCTTCCTAAACTTAGGAGTAAAATAATAGCTGTTTCTTGAGTAACTAAGAATGTAATGTATGGATTAATGCAAATATACATCATCTGACTTAGTCTCGACTGACCCAAGATTAAATGCGTGGTCTGCAATAAACGAGGATATTCTAATATGTTTCAATATCTACCAGTTGGTTCAAGTTCAAGAGGACGGTCACACACTTCATACAAATTTCAAGTCTGTGGCGAAAGTTGTCCATGATTTTGACTATTATCTCTTGTTCAATCAAATGCACTTTTTCTGCAATGGCTTTTTCTACTTTTTCAAAGTACGGGGGTTGTGAAGAACAAGAACACGTTCTTGTAAACACACCCACAGAAAAAAACACAGCTGGACAAAGCCGGTGATCTTGGGGTTAAAGTTACCAAAACGAGAAATGACGCGTTCAGGGCGCTCACGAGATCACTACTCTCATATATACCCGACACACAACATGCACACTTCTTGTGGAAGCTAAATATTTCTATATTTCTATATCAAATGATGTCTTTCAAATTCTGATCTTTTCAAAGATATACGGTTCGATTACACAGGAATGTATAACTGCATACCAAACTGTCATACGCGTATATCAATATCATCAGTAGGGATTACAATCAAGAAGGGATCTTATAATCCCGGGATTTCAGAATCAGAATTCTCTATCCCGGGTAATCCCGGGTATTATGGGCTACATATGTAATTATAAATAAAAACTGTTTCTAACGTTATAGTTTAGTCTAACCATAATACAAAGCATTATAAAAAAATCTACCATCCATAGAACTATTTTTAAAGAAATGTAGCAGAACAGGCAATTAGTAAGTAATTAGTAAAGTTTGTGTTTAATAGACTTGCTGAAAGGAAGCACCGTTCCGATTCCACACTTGTTGGTGGAATAGTTTTCAAACATTCAAAAACGACTTGAAGATTTTTACCTATGCTACCCCCATTATTGAATAATCTAACAAGCTGATAATTGTTCAAAATATAAGAGTTGAAAATATTTGAAATATTAATATAATTGAAAATATTCAGTACTTTACTTACTTATATTCTTAATCTGGGCACTTGAAAACATACAAATTTGCAAAGATATCCAGAGCAACAAAAAAAAAGCTGTGTAATCTTTTGTCAAGTTTTAAATCGCCCTATACTGTATTTTATATAACTCAAAATGAAATTAAAAGAATCTCTAGAATGAGATTAGTTTTCAGCACGCTTTCAATGAAGAAGATGCCATTTTGTAATACATACTGGAGTTTCTCCAATTTGGATCTAATTTGGTAATCATTACTTTTAACATTAATTTTTCTTGAAGGAGGATTCGTTTCAGTTCATTATTTTAATGTGTCAGGTCCTGATTTAGCTACCAGATCAAATACTAGAAGAAGACTAATTCTGGCCAATTCAGTAAATTATAAAATTATTTCTTCACAAATTTACATATAAACGTTTTTGCATCGTACTTGCTTCCGTAGCATAAAATCAGTTTGAATTGTTGTCCTGAAGCAAGATGTGGTACTAATATCAAATTCATGTGATTTTTCGATACTTAATACCAAGAGGTGTATAATTTGATTGACATATATATCAAAAACATAAAACCAACTTTGGAAGAGTACTCCTCTAAAACTAAGCATCTTATTGTTAGATGAAAATGGTTAGTTTGAAATTGACAAAACCACAATTTCGGAAAATTCTTTTTTGATCAAGCTTTTTAGATGGAAACGACCACAGTTTCGTTCGCGCTTATTGCTTTCTCTGATTTCCAGATTCTATTAGACTTCTTCAATACAATCCATGTTTGGCTCTCTTTTTCTTTTTTTCTGACTTCTTAAACATTGCTGGCTTATTCAGTAAAGCTTCTTTGATTATTCCTTCTTCTTTCGCTTTATTTGAATTCTTTTATCTATTCTATTTTACTATAATATAGATTCTATCTCGTTCCTAGCTTCTTCCATTTTAGATTCCTGCAGGCTTACTATCTATCTACTTCGGGTTTCCAATTTCTCTTTGTCACGTTCACTAATTTAGTTTCATTCTAGCTTCTTTCTTCGTTCTAGAATTTTACTAATTTCTTGCTACTTTTCAGATGCCTTCTATTTTGCTATAATATAGATTCTATCTCGTTCCTAGCTTCTTCCATTTTAGATTCCTGCAGGCTTACTATCTATCTACTTCGGGTTTCCAATTTCTCTTTGTCACGTTCACTAATTTAGTTTCATTCTAGCTTCTTTCTTCGTTCTAGAATTTTACTAATTTCTTGCTACTTTTCAGATGCCTTCTATTTTGCTATAATATAGATTCTATCTCGTTCCTAGCTTCTTCCATTTTAGATTCCTGCAGGCTTACTATCTATCTACTTCGGGTTTCCAATTTCTCTTTGTCACGTTCACTAATTTAGTTTCATTCTAGCTTCTTTCTTCGTTCTAGAATTTTACTAATTTCTTGCTACTTTTCAGATGCCTTCTATTTTGCTATAATATAGATTCTATCTCGTTCCTAGCTTCTTCCATTTTAGATTCCTGCAGGCTTACTATCTATCTACTTCGGGTTTCCAATTTCTCTTTGTCACGTTCACTAATTTAGTTTCATTCTAGCTTCTTTCTTCGTTCTAGAATTTTACTAATTTCTTGCTACTTTTCAGATGCCTTCTATTTTGCTATAATATAGATTCTATCTCGTTCCTAGCTTCTTCCATTTTAGATTCCTGCAGGCTTACTATCTATCTACTTCGGGTTTCCAATTTCTCTTTATCACGTTCACTAATTTAGTTTCATTCTAGCTTCTTTCTACGTTCTAGAATTTTGCTAATTTCTTGCTACTTTTCAGATGCCTTCTATTTCTTTTTCTCTAGCTTCTTCCAAGTAAATGGTTAGTTTTTGCATTTTAATTTATTTCTGGGTTCTTTTAGTATTTTTCCTTCTTACCTGTTTAGGATTACCTTCGTGTTTAGAATTCTTTTTGCACTGTAGCAATTCAAATAGTAACGGACAAAAGATTTTTGAAAACTTATTTGATAGTGCTTTAAGGCAGTTTGTTCTAATCTTAGAAAACAAGTTAATACATGTACCAATAAAACGTCTTTATCAATATGTTAATACAATTTTTGCCCTATCGAGACTAGAGTTCATCAGTTTATGATAGAGGAAACTTGAATTGAAAAAAAAACTTAAAACAAGTTTAAAAATTTGAAAGACATTCCATTTTTAGTAATCCAAAACAAAAAGTATGCGAGGTATATCAATTGAGTTATACATAAATTTCGAGATTAACATAAAATTGATCATAAATAACTTTTTTTTTGTTATAATCTTCTGTTTGTAAGTGTTGATGATTTCATCTCCGTAACTAAATCCCCCATCTTTTTAATACTCCATAATAACTTAATCCATCGAGGGAATATCTAATCCAATTTTTATGTTTATTCGATCGGTATCTGACCACCCTCTTTATTAATAGCATTATTCGAAGAGCCGATCAATCAGGAGACGAAACCGAGGCGCGCTGACAGAATCGGGGTCGTCCTCCGGGTCGATTTTTTTCAGTCTATTTTTTATACTGTCACGTCGAGGGCCCTTCAGGGGTTATTATGACCGCATTGTGCCAATGTTTATCCTCTGTCGGATGGACGGCCTTTAACCGACCACGACGTGGGGTGTGATTTTATTGACGCGTCTTCCCCTGGGATGTCAACGACCTATTTTTTTACTTACAAAGTAGCAGTTGGTCGACGGTTACTGCTGCTATTGTTATTCCACTTTTAAAAACCCGTTTGATGTCTTTATTTCCATTGAGTGATATGTTATATTACATGTAACAGGATATTTCGTTGAAAAAGATTTTTATTTCAAATTTAACTTATTTTCGTGATGCTAATCTTTCATTAAATACGTTACAAATAGATGTTACGTCCCGACGTTCTGTTCAATTAAAGCGGACAAATTTATAATGCAATAAGCTCGACGGAGTGATTAATCGTGTCGGTTTACAGCGTCGAGTGAAAGTAAGCTCCAGGAGACAGCGCTTGGAAGAATTAAAAGATAAATTTATCACCCGGCAACCGTAAAGTACACATTTCCCCGTATTATTTGCACGAAAGCACCTGCTATAAGAACTTTTAAACCCAAAAGAAAGAACTGTTGATAAAAAAAATGAATTACAAAGAAACAAGAATGAACGTTTGGTTGAGACGTGAAAAAATTAACGGCGTCGAATTAATGTTTAAATTGCGTACGCGAATTAATATAACTTATCGGTTAGGT